AAGGCTAAAGAAAGGGCATGGCTAAGGCACGGCTAGGACAAAGCTATGACAAGGCTAGGACAAGGCTGTTGCAAGACTAGGGCAAGGATAAGAAAAGGCTAAGGCAAGGCTAGGGCAAGGCTAGAATAAGGATAGGGCAAGGGTAGGGCAAGACTAAGGCAATGCTAGGGCAAGGCTAGAGCAAGGTTAGAGATAGTGGCAATGCTAGGGCAAGGCTAGAGCAAGGTTAGAGATAGACAAATAAAGTATAGGTATCATTAGTAATGACATCCCTAACTACCATAAAACAAAAAATCACTTTCAATACCTATAACAAAACATATGGTTAAAAGTAAAACGTCTCTTACTGAGTAAAACAAATTAATTTTCCTCTCAAAGGACCATTAATTCCGCCAATTTACCTGGACTACTGAGACGGATCCAAAGATTTTCGCAATTTTGTAATACGGAGGTCACATCAAAGTTTGAAAAAACACAAAAACTGATTGGTTTTGGCGCCAAATTTAAATTCAATGCCTGAATATTGATATAATTTTAAATTTAAAAGCAATTTCTTCAGTTTATAAGGTTAATTTAAAGGCAAATTTCATCTAAAAATCCTGTTTTTTGAATAAAAAGACTATTTTCTTACCTACTACAATATAAATTTAGTATAGAAAACAATTAAGTAATCTTCAAGTTTCTTCTTAGTTTGTTCGAATAATTCTGTGCCCTAACACCAAAATTTTGAAATTTGCTTTGAGAAGAGGCACAGAATTACTTGAACAACCTATAACTCGTTTACACTTTACTCTTTGGGTCCTACCACAAAAACCTCTATAGTTAATGCTGCTCTAAAAAAGCTATGACCTATCAACATATACCAAGTTGAAAAATGTCCTTTATTTTCCATTTCCAACGTTTCAAATACTCGAAATTGCAATTTCATTCCGCTGACATCAATCAAATGTGCCATATTTATAAGGCCTTCTAAGTGGGACAACGATATGCTATATCAAAGACATATTACTCATGTGATAGGGCTAAAAGAGAAGCACATAACGAATGTCAAAGAGTTATATCGAAGGCATATTATATTTGTGATAATGCAAAAAGAGAAGTATATTGTACTTGAGATAGAGCAAGTTCCAATGAGTAATATAGAAATTAAAGAGCGACATTACTCATGTGATAGGGCTAAACCAGAAGCATATTATACATGAGATATAACAGCTTCAAATGAGGAATATAGAAATGATAGAGCTAAATCAAAGACATATTATCCTTGTGATAAAAACAGATTCTCGGACTTGAAATGACTAATTAGTGCAATATTCAAGCAGTTGGGACAGTTGGTAATCATAATTAATTAAGATGAATTCAAAAGTTTGAAGAGACAGAGATTTGCAAAAAACTAGTAAAGGATAATTTACTAATGATAAGATATAAATCATAAGCCTATAGTAGTGTAGCCTAACCTGTAAAGCAACCGAGTCCAGTAAGCTCCCTTTTAGGTTTAAACCTAACACCTAACAGACGTTTTAAAAATAAAATTTTAAAAATTTTAAATATTTAACAATTCGCAACTTAAAAAAATCAAAATTGAAAACATTTCACAAAATTTCAAAAAATTTTTAAAAACTCCAAAAAAAATTCAATTACTACAAAAAAATATATTATCTACCCCATAACCAAAAGATATAACCCCATTAGAATGTAGTTTGGTCCAATTAACTCCCAAAATTAACCTCAAACTGTACAATGACTATGGTCGTATTTGCAAGATATCGCAATAAAATTTTATTGATCCGACCTCCTTATTACAAAAAATTATTTAAACAAACCAAAGGGTCATGACCACATACTACAACATCAAAAACAGCTACCAAACGTATCCTAAAATAGTTATCCAAAGCAGTTACTAGATGCATCTTAAAGCCCAGTAAAAGTTGTATATATCAACCTTGAAGCATAGAAAAAGCTGTATACACCAAGTATATACGACAAAGATAACCTCAATACGACATGTTGTGTAACACACATACGACGACCAAAGTAATGCTAATTTGAAGGCGGAAATGTCATGAATAACTCGAAAGAAAACTTTTTAACACAATTAAAGTCCTCTATTTGAAGTCGGTTTTCTTTGTCAACGTCTTTTAAGACACCTTGTCGTACTATAAAGGGCAGTACGGAGAGGAAACGTACTATAAAGAGCAATACAAAGAGAAAAACGTACTATAAACGGTTGTGTATGTACTGTAATTGACTATGGTCATATAGGAATCCGGAAATGCCAGGTAGAAAAAAAAGCTACCCTGCCCAACTCTACTCTACCTTATCTTACCTTACACTACTCTACCTTACACTACCCTACTGTACTTTACATTACCTTACCCTACTCTATTATACTTTACTTAACCAAACTTTGTTCTACCTTACTATACCATATAGTAATCTAAACTATCTTTGCTTTTCAAGCCCTACATAAGCCCTACCCAATCCTTCCTACTCCACCCTCTATCAATCCACCGACCACCCCTCCACCAAGCCTGACCACTACTATAACGTTTAGCATTGTCAAGTTTTTTGGTCGCAAAATAAACAAACTTATGAAATAAACCAAAGTCGGAGGAAGGGCCAAGAAAAGAAGTCACTCAATTTGCAATTTGGCCAAAGTGTAAAGGCAATCAAACGAATTTCGAAGAATTCTACGTTTTCTCGCCTACCACGTCGTACTGGCGTAAAGAAAAGTTGGAAAGGCTTGCAATAGGTTTAAAATGGCATTTTTGGTTCGAAAATTTAAATTGGAATTTGGCCAAGTTTTTTAAAATTCAAAAAAAAAATTGAAAATTCAAAAATAAAAAAAAATTTAAAATTCAACTAAAAAATATTCGAATACATCCACCCCACCCACTACAACAACATGAAACCCTTTAAAATCACGCAATGGACAGAGTAAACAACATCTTGTGAATGACCGCAATAGATATAACGCTGCGAGTATTTGGGTAGATGAGGTGAGTTTGTTGGCCCAGAGTTTGTTTGTTTTGAAAAAGAAGCCTTAAAACAATGGCTATTCGCTGACCCTGAGGGGATTAAAGCAGGGGAGTAGTGATTCTTGTCAATAATATTGTCATATTGTATATTAGTAGGCTTCAAAGAGATTTCTAATTTAGCCGAACGTAAGATAGGGTAAGACAAGAAAAGTAGGGCAAGGTAGTATAAGACAGGGTAGGTTAAGGTAAGTCACCATAGGGTAGGGTGGGATAAGATAGAGTACGATAAAGTAGGGTAAGGTACGGTAAGATAGGGTAAAGTATGGTGGAGTGATGCAAAGTAGGATAAGGAAAAATAAGAAAGAGTAGGGTTAAGTAAGATTTAAGTAAAAATACCCCTCCCTCAACCTCCCCCTCCCCCTAAACCCGTAAACAAAACATAGTAACCCCCATCGTATGTTTCATCACAATACCATCTCCCAACCTTCTGTTACCTCAAAAGAAGGCTGCTGGCGACACTGTAACCCACTCGAGTTAATTAAAAACGATAACCGACCACTTGGCGGTGTTTAGCCACCAACAGACATTATGTGATACTAAAGTGCGCTCCGAACACAACTGTCACACTGCCCAGTCAAATTAAAGCTCGGTGGTTTTAAAGCGAAAGATAGATGACATTAATGCCATTCTTTTGTGTAAAGTTTGCGATAACAAACAAGAAATTTGCATAAACATTATGGGCTATGTCAGTAAATTCTTGGGCTGTAACAAAGTGTCAAAACGTCAGTAAAAATGACGATATAACAGGTTGTTCAAATAATTCTGTGCCCCCTCTCAAAAATTTTTTTTGGAGTTAAGAGCACTGAATTATTTAAACAAACTAACAAATTACGAAGTGTCAAAAATGCTTTTAAAAAGCCACAAAATTAATTGAAGAGACTAATAATACTACTATATCGCCTTACATTATGTACATAAGCCGACTTATAGTAAAGGATCCCTCAATTTGAACCCCTTAAGCGCTTTGTTTAAGAGTTTCAAACATTATCCCTTTTCCCAACAAATTTCGGCACCATTAAAGTCGAGAGTCTCGACCTTTTTGTGTCTTCTTTGATTCCCACGCATTTACTCTGTAAAACCGTTTACTTTGATTTTAGGTGTTCGTACTTAATTCTTAAAATTTTTGTTTGAAGTTTTGAAAAAACTCTTAACTTTTGGTATATACAAAAGCTAATGAAAAACATACAAAAACATGTTTTGTTACCTAAAATTGAACCTAATATAAACTTTTTCCATTATCATTTTTTTGCTTAATCACAGTTTCTTTGCCAATTGATATTTAAGGTATAGCAAGTTTTCCGGTTACCTATTTTTATACTTTATGCTTGCTTCTGACGTTTAAAAGGTTTTAGCAATGATATTTCTCTCAAAAGTTTAGTTCCAATGGTAGAGAGATTTATCCGTTTGTTACTTAAAACCCCAAAAAAAACAAACTAACTTACCATTTTGTTCATTTTCCTCTATTTGATTTCTTGATTTCTTCTCTAATCAGGCTTCTCAAAACTAATCCAAAACATTGTCTACCATAAGATTAGAACACAACTTTCAGGAAATATCAAAATTAAAAAAAACAAGTAAATATTTAAAGAATAGGTAAAAATAAATGTTAATAAACATTAGATATCAATCTAGAAAGCAATCAAGATCATGTGCAAGGTATAATAAGCCATATGAGAGGACAAATTAGTACAGAACAGCCCAAAAGTTAATTTTTATTTATTTTCTTTGAACTGTTGACACTTCGCCCTCGATTTTTTGGCATTTCGCTTCAAAAAAGATATAAATTACGCACTGACTGGAGTAGTGATTTTCACAGTATTTTAACACAATAAAATATTATCTTTTGACCAATAAAGTATTAAAAATAATATTTTTTAGCCAATATAGCAATATAACCCCTACTTCAATATAAAAACTAATTTATTGTTTGTACAGAAGTGACATTTCGTGCATTATGTCAATTTAGGTGAGTTTAGGGATTCCAGAAGTCATACGAGCTTCGAAGCCGCAGTGATTCTTGCCTCTGAGGATCTTGAAGGTACCTTCATCTCCCCAGCCTTCGTTCCATGAGTTGGCCACCAGCCAGTACTTGACACCGTTCTCAACTCCCCATCCGATCACTCTCACAGCGTGACCTCCAGCGTATCGACCGGCTTTGTGCTGAAAATGTCATTTTATTGAAGGTATTTTTAATTCTTTTTGAAATTTAAAAAATTTTAATTTTTAAAAAATGGCATATAAATCATGGTTTTTGCCATTATCAACCACCCTTACCTCATAAACTCCACTCTTGTAGGTCAAGAAGTCTTCATACACACTGAAAGCAGCCTCAACTGGTCCGTTGGTGAGGACCTCTTGCATGATGGACTCCTCGTTTCTCCACACATTAACCGAGCCAGTAGAGCGATGTTTGTCCGAAGAGTAGGTCAGGTATCTGGTGACACACCTCTGGTTACAAGCTGGTGTCTTTTCGATCTTACTGGGACAGTTCTTGTACTCAGTACCATCCACATGATGAGCACAAGGCTCGAATGGGTATGGGCGACAGGTGTGAGTGTCACCGTACTGACCTCCAGATACAATACCTTGTGAGTAGTAGTAGTCCCATGCCGACTCTGGGTATCCTCCGTTACAGCCCATACCACAATTACGACAACAGCTCATCAGGTCCTGAGCTGATACGTGGACGAGAGTCTTGGCGTCAGAGTGGATACAGATTCTGTCACTGATGGCCGACACGGTGGCTACGGCCCAGCAACTGCCACAGTTGGACTGGTCCCGGATGGTACCGATGATCTTGGAGCACTTGGGCCATTGTTTACGAGCATCGAAGTCGGTGGGGAGGTTGGCCTTGATGGAGATGTGCGTGGAGGTGATGTTCTGGTACTGTTCTGGAGCATCGAGAACGCCAAGGAACGGCCGGACTTCTTCGGACTTCATTCCAAAGAAACGGCTGTCTTTGGTAGCCTAAAAAATGGCAAAAATGAGTAAGATAATTAGTGTTTTAAGCAAAAAAATGATAGTTTTATACTAAAGTATTCAACTTACAGTCCAAGTCGTTTGGATTTCATTGATGTAATCGACCAAAGCCTCTCCAGTAAGCTCTTGTGCGAACTTTGGCAGTTTCAGATGCTCATCCAGATGTGGAGTATGTTTGGCCAAAGCCAAGGCAGAGGCAATTAAGGCCAAAATCACTACGAAACTTCTCTGAAATTAACATATAATTATTATTCTTGAACCAAAAATTATACTTTTACCTATATTTAAGTATGTACGCTATTTTTAGTTACAGTATGAAATTGAATTAAAGTATGAACATACTGTAATACAAGTAAATAATCTTCCCTAATCTTAAAACCTACTAAAATATCACAAGGACTTATGTTACAGCTCAGAATATACAGAAGACAACAAAAGCCGATAAGTTACAGTAAGCTTACCATCGTGAAGAGAGAATCCGACGACCAGAGTAATGTTTACTTTGTTTCTTATCCTTATATACCCACTTATGGATGACGTTCATAAATTGTATTTTAAGCCAGAATTGATAAAAAGTTGATTGTTCTTGCAATTGTTCTCCATTGATAAGAATAAACTAATTAATTTGGTTTTGGAAGCCTGATAAGTAGTGTGGGAAATGTCATATGATGCTAAGGTTTGATATATTTTCATTCCTGTTTGGTTGGAAATGCATTAAGAAAGCAAAATCTTGGCGGCCGTAACCCTTCATCACGTTAAACTTGAACAAGGACGCTACATTCAAAACAAAACGAAAGAAAAGTTTCGAAATTGTGACATTCCGCAACAAAAATTTCGGTAAACTACGAAGCTCGTTATAATCAACAAAATTAATATTTTAAGTATATTTACTTTATTTAAATTATGCCAAATTTATTAAATTATGCTTCCTTTGTCTAACGTTGGTGTAGATGCTAACTCGGCCGAATTCAGACCGTAAAAGCTAAATTAAGCTTGTATTCGCTTCATGGAGAGGTTTTTAATTTACAAATCCAGCTTTCTGAACGAACCAGGAAACTTCAGAAGTCAAGAATTGATCTAGACGAAGCCAGGACAGAGTTACTACGTTTCAAGTTAAAAAATGGAAAACTTCAAAAACTTCAAAGTATTCCGAACTCTCCAATTTGTAAAAACCGTAAGTGCGTTTAAAACATATGTTAAATTTATGTTATTTCTCTATATAATTGACTATGTTAACTTTATGTTTCTTTTGATCTAGTATTTGTTGTTTCCTTCCTTGTGCTTATTAGACTGTGATTGTTTAGGGTCAACAAGATCATTTCTACAATACAAGCTACGGAGCAGAAAGTCAAAACTCGATGCCTTCAGTGTAATGGTATAGCATATAGCATGTAAAATTTAGAGCACGACACAAAATTTGATTTTTATACAAAATTTGTAAAAAAACTATTTTATTATTACTAAAAATTAATTTATTTCCAAATAACTAAATTTATATTGTATTTACAACAGTAAAATTTTAAAATTTTTCATAAAAACTCAAAACTATCTTATCACAAAGAGTTTTCCAAATTGAATCTGTGGATCCACCCATTCTTGTGTATCAATTTGATACAATCCTCCACCAGCAAGCGCACTCTCAGTAGCCACTTCTCCTCCCGTGCCATGTCCACGCCTTCTACATTACTGTGACTCTTCTTCAGGAATATTGGAGTCAACAGTATACATACGAACACTTGTGTCACTAAGGCCAGTTCGTACAATTCTTGAACGTTCTCTCGAGTCAACGGACATTTGACATTGTACCTGGCGAGTTCTGACTTTAAAGTCTTGTAGTAGGTGTCAAGAACGCCAGTCGTGATTTCACGACGGATATCTGCGTCTACACAAGCACTCATCCAGCGGGCTATGTCACACAGAGGGTTACCTAGACATTGGTGAGAGTTATGTTTATTGTAGTAGAGAATTTTAAAAAATGTAAAAAATTATAGAAATTTAAAAAAACGTTCTTTCGACCAAATTACATGCATTTATTACCTAATACATAAAAGAAATAGCAAAAAACGCTAAACTTCTAGCTCATATTCGGGTATCGCCACGAAAACACTTAAAAGGTTCAAAGAGTAACTAAACAGCCTTCTGACAAAAATTTCTCAAAAAATATTTAAAATTATCTTTAAGATTATTCAGTTTTTTAAATTTATTTATTTTTTGGTCCTGCCACGAAAACGTGTATTTCATAAAAAAAACCTGTTAAACTATAGTAAAATACGCTTTAAAGGACCTGTAAACCCCCAAAAAATCCCTTTTTGAAATATCGCCATGAACCTGGCATTATGTCTTATCGTGACGGGAACAAAAGGAAATTCTCGCGTAAAATATTTTCATAAATTTTTTTTCATGGATAACATTTTAATGAATCTACTTGATTTCACTAGGAATTGCTGTTCTAACTAATGTTTCTGTGTTGTAAAATGCTATTGCTGGCTCGAGTTTTCCCGGTTTTATCCGAATTTACACTTTTATTTTATTATAGTGTACTTTCCGGTAACGTTTTGAGAACTTTTTCCAGATTTAAATTTAAAAAACTTTAAAAGTTGATTGGTAAGTATTTTTTTATAAAATTTATGTTGTTTTAAATGAATAATCAATTTTTCAGACATTTATCATTATGTTTCAACAGTTTTGATGTGGTTTCGCACTTCGATGTTGGTATAGCGCAATGTCGAGCTAAGTTATCAAGTCTAAAAACGGTCCAAGCTTTCACCATTCAGCGACATTGCGCTATAACAACATCGAAGTGCGAAACCACATCAAAACAGTTGAAACGCCATGGTGGGGGTCTAAAAAAATTGATTATTCATTTAGAACAACATAAATATTATAAAAAAAACTTACCAATCAACATTTAAAGTTTTTCTAACTTGAATCTGGCCAAAGTTCTCAAAACGTTACTGGAAAGTACACTACAATTAAATAAAAGTGTAAATTCGGATAAAACCTGGAAAACTCGAGCCAGCAATAGCATTTTACAACACAGAAACATTAGTTAGAACAGCAATTCCTAGTGAAATCAAGTAGATTCATTAAAATATTATCCATGAAAAAAATTTATGAAAATATTTTACGCGAGAATTTCCATTTGGTCCCGCCACGATAAGACACAATGCCAGGTTTATGGCGATTTTTCAAACGCTATCTTTACAGGTCCTTTAAAATGCAATATAATTTAAAAAACAGAAAAAAAACAATACACCTACCAACATTGCACATTTGAAAGTCGATAAAGCATTCCAAATCATCTCCGACCGTGCCGTTCTCGTTCAGTTTGAAAAGAACGTTCTGTCCCCAGCAATCACCGTGCACGATGCCTTCTGCCTTCAGTTCTTTAGCTCTTTCAAATGCAGAATGGCGGAAGAACTCAGCTGTTCGAATGGTTTCTATCTTTGGAAATTCGGTTATGGCTGAAAGAAATGGTTTTTTAGGGTTATTGTAACTTGTTGTTTGGTTACTGTAACTTGTTGGTTACTGTAACCATTTTTAAAATTACTGTAACATTTTGTAGAATCACTGTTAAATTTTGTATGTTTACTGAAACATTTTGTAGGATTAATGTAACAATTTGTAGGTTTATTGTACCATTTTTTAAAATTACCGTAACGTTTAGTATGATTACTGAAACATATTTAGGCTTACTTCAACATTGTGTAGGGTTACTGTGTAAGTTGTTTTTCATACGGTACTAATATATAGTATTCTCCTCCTTCTCTACCTCCTTCCCTCTAACGCTTGCTCCCTCAACCTACCGTACTCATTGGCCGCTTCTTCAATCCGATCCCCAACAACAACCATTCTGTCACTGTAAAACGCATCCCCTTCAAACTTTCTCCACGGCTGACCCTCCAGCCGATACACAAAGGCATGGATCGTTGCCAAAGCTATAGTAATATTGATTGTCTGGTTCTTGTTGACATAATCAAAGTAATGTAGACCGGCTGTTCGGCCGAAGAAACTCTCCATCACTAATGCTCCTTGAATCTTCTGTTTCGGGTAGGTCTTGGCGGTATAATACACGCGTGGTACGAATGGTGCTGGTGGTTCTTGGTTGCTGACCATTTCGTAAAAGTCACATTCATGATTGTGGGCATCGAAGACAAATTGAGCATCTTCGTGGTCATCTGTCATTTCCTGGAAAAGGATAAGCATCTATCGTCAATGACAGAAGATTAGTTTAGATGGCCAAAATTTAAATAAAATATAAGTTTTTTCATTTTTTCAAATTTTTCTTAAGTAATCTGTACCCGTCTGAATTCAAACTTTTTATAAAGTACTAAATCGCGTTTTCTAGGAAATGACGAGAAAATCGAAATTAAAAAGTTGCATTTTGAATTCCCTGCTAAATTGGCATTGTGTTGCAAGCTTATAACTTTTAAATTTGTAAGCGTATATCATGTGGAAAGTTGAAAAAAAAGGCTTGAAACACAATGCCAACTTTTCCAAATTGGCGGAGACTTAAAACTTTTAAATTTCAAAACTTAAAAGCGCAAGCTAGAATTTTACTATTGGTAGTACAAAGAATTCAATTGAAAGAAGAACGTCAATTTTATGATCTGAATGAGACAGTTTGAATACTTTCCTTGTTAGTTGACTTAATTCTTTAATTTAAAAATAACTTACATCCAATCCAGCATCTTTTCTGACCTTGTTCAAGATACTGATAACTGGGAACTTGACAATGATTTCAAATGGTCGTTTGTTAGTTTGGAATTCGAAAATAACACGGTAAACCTTTGACAGGTGACCTTTACCATCTCCAATATCATTTATGTCAACCTGAAAAAGCATTTTTTAAAATACAGTGGAACTCCTGTATGAACTCCTCTATAACAAAACTTTCGTATAACAAACAAATTTCAAGTCCTATTCGTTATACAAGAGTTCCACTGTACTTTAAAGTTCAAAAAAAATCGAAAAGATTTTTCAAAAATTAAAAAAAATTTGAAAATTAAAAAAAACCTACATGTTCAATACTGTCGGTTACCATGATACTCCTAAAATACGAATGCTTCTCGTTCAGAATGTTGACTAGCCATCTTATGGTGTAATCACTGCCTTCTAGCTTCTGTTTCATAAAGTCGACTACATCTTCTTCGATTACTGTAGTTCCCAATTGTGAAGCCAATTCACATTCAGCGGCCAATGAGATTCTGAAGATAGTTTTTAGTTAAAAAGAATATTCATTAATATAGAGGTAGGCTAGGCTAGCTATTTATGAATTCATCTGGCTGAGGAGACCTGTAGAGAAACCAAGCCAGGCCCAACTTTTTGATCTTAATTTAGGAATAGGCCCTCAAGCCTACGGGTCTGGTCCGTCATTTTCAAATTTGCGTCGGCTCTGCCGAGCTGAGTCTAGCCCAGCCCGCATGTGCCGACCCCTTGCAACTCCACTTCGGTCCGGTCTAGTAAACCTTTCTAAGCCTCTACCAAAGATATAATTGTACGAAAAAAACTGTAGGTACATCATATATAATGCAAACTGTTATAAACCTCTTACTTTCTTCTTATCATTTTCGTACTTCGGCTGAACCTTTAGCTCTATTTGATTTAGCAACCTATCTGAAAGTGACAATCAATTACCGATATAAATAAAACTTCTCGATATATTACACTCTCTTTGTACAGTTTTTTTACTATCGAACCAACTACTCTCTGATCAGACCGGGTAGTTGATCTCTGACGTGTAATTGAATTCAGAACATAATGTTACTCTCAACACAATTTTGGTTTTTTTACTTTGTCAACGTATTTAATAGTTGATCATGGTTGAATAGACAGTTATTAAAAGAAAAACTTACTGTAAAAGCTACTACTTTATCTTTCACGTACTGTAGAGTAGTAAACAAACTTACAGTAGAGTAAGAAAACTTACAGTAGAATGAAAACACCTACAGTAGAGTAAACAAGCTTGCAGCCCAGTAAAAACTGTCTAAAACAGAAGCGCTAATCTCCTTTTATAGAATACTTAATTGAGTGTTACCTAAACAATCAACTAACTTTTAGAGTGTACCTAAACACATAAACATCTAAATACTCAGCTAATTAAGCCTAAAGGTACTTTAAGAGTCAAAGACTGAACAAAACCGTATTAAGTGGTCATTAAAACAACTTTTGTAGTAAGTTTGTTCCATCAATCGTTCGTTGTCAATAGTTCTGATAGTTTTTTTAAGTAAAAAGACTTTCTCACTCGTCAAGATTACTGTTTTTTGCTGAACATTACTAATTTACATACAATTTCCAAAATATTTTTTTTCTTTTAAAAATTGTTTTTAAAAAATTACTGCTTAGCGTTGTTGATAAAGCTGTAAGCGACAGACTTATTGACAAAAGTAAAATCAAATTAAAAATCGCACAAAACACAAATTGACAAAACGAAAAGTCTGGACTTGAATTGGAGTACTTTGTCAAATTGGATAATAAGCTGCCTTTTAGATTTATTTTATAATATACGTTATAACTATAAAAGTCCGTTTTTCAATACGATTTTGACAAAAGCTAGCCAAAAACCAATAATAATAAAAAATAGTTAAAATTAGTGTCGAAGTAATTGGCTATCCAAAGATAATTCGCAAAGAACGAATAATTTGGTATCACAACTTGAGCAACAAAATAGTTGTAATTGTTTGATTATACAATGTTACAAGGTTTATTCCGATTTACAACAGTGTAACACAATATAATAAGAAGCGTGTCGAGGAAAGTAAACTAACAAAACATAAAATATAATAAGTTATAAAAACAAAAAAAAATAAAAAATGATAAGCAAAATGCGCTATATAATACCCCTCCAGGATTTCTTGCTTGCCTGCAAGAAACTCCACGAAAATTTTTTCAAAGTTCCCCTCCCACCACCCAAAAAATTCTACAATAACAACCCCCCTACCATTCCACTCCCGCTTACTCCCCCCCCTGCCACATATTAGGTTGTTCACTTAATTCTGCGCCTCTTTCAAGGCTAATTTGTGGGTAAGGGGACGCAGAATTATGTTAACAACCTAATATGAAATTAAAAATATGTTTCTGCCGAGATCATCTGTGAGTTCCTGACAAGTTAAAAAATATGTTATGATATGTATGTTAGCCCTTCAAAACACGTCCAACTCGATGGAAATGTCGGCTCTTCGATCATCCAGCGTTTCCCGAGATCTCAATTCCTCTACAAAGTCAGTGATATATTCATTCAAGGCGCGACCCATGAATAGGGACGGTGGAGTGACGTCGTCAAAGTGGAGGTACGGTGTTAGCAATGAGTAGCTGAAGAGTTCGCGATTAGTCATCGTAATTGGCAAAACGGTTCAATACTGTATACAGTCAATGCTCTTTAGTATGACAGTCAAGAAACTATATCAAAGTACCATTACAGCCAAAGACGTTACTATGAGAGAGGATGTAAATGAAGGCCAATCCATCCCAAATCTAACTAAAAAACCTACGGTACTCTGTTGTAATGTCCGATCCCTCGCAACGTGTCCCTGATTTGATTCTGTGCTTCTATGTATTCTGGAGAACATCTGAATCCGTTGATTTCAATATGCAAAAACCGACATTTCAAACGAAACTCGGTCATGTAGGATCTGAGACCAGACATCATAGTTCTCACTCTAAAACATTAGTGTTACTACCAAAAATATAGCTACGGAATCAAGTGAACGATGCTAAATAGATCCACCCCCTAGAGCCGATCCGAAGGCAATTCCACATGTAGATAACTATACAAAACAAAAGGAAGAAAGACCTCCAACATGATAAAACCTTGTTCCCACTTACGGTTCAACTTGGTGTTTCTCCAAATACTCCTTCATGGTCATCTTCTCCTCCTCGGCGCCTTGTCCTCGGTCCGTCAGCATCACCACAACATCGATTCGGCCCCAATCGCCCATCAATCCTTCGCACAACTCTGTGACCGCCTTCTGATCCCTACCGTCCGTGATCAACTCTTGATGCGGTCCGTACAACCGGCATGGCCCAAAGTCCGTGGGTTTTGACTAAAATTGTATACTTTATCAATGTTTTTAAAAAACTGCCCCACTCTTTATATTATAATAGATATTAAGGCGACAAACTACAGTAAGACTATCTTCATTTCTGTTCTTATACCAAGACACATCTTTATAAGAATTCGGGTATTCAAATAATTCTGTGCCCCAACTACCAAAAATATGCTTTAAGAGAAAGCACAGAATTATGTGAACAGCCTAATATAGTCTATGTTGACAACAAAAACCTACAGAAATCAGACTTTGTCCATGTAATATGACATTGTAGCGTTTATGGAATAGATCCGTCAAGTAATGTAGAGCATGTTTTTTCGCTACTGTACGTTCGTACGGCGTAGTATCTAAAATAAAACACATTTTTTCAAGTAGTAAAATTCCTACCTTACCCTACCTTCCCTCCTCTCGCTATCTTGCTCTACCCCTGTCATTACCTTACCCCACCCAACCCCAATAATCAAAACTATATTTTATGCCGAACCTACTCATAATCATGACCACACTCTTGTCCTTCTGAATCGAGTCAGCTGGGTTCTGTTCCAAGTACTCTCTCAGTACCAGTCCACAATTTCTCGTGAAGAACTTTTCGTATATTTGGAATTTGGCCCTCGTTTCGAGTGACTTGCCCTTCTTCTTCCAACTGGTATGACAGAACTTGACCTCGGTCAGGTAACTATCGTACACTCCGGCCAGCACCATGTCGCCTTTCAGCACGTACTTGGGCCGTTCCGACTTTTGTTTGAACACATAACGAGGTACATACGGTTCTTCTGGATCAAAGAGGAACGTATCGTCAACTACCATCAACCTGTGGGTACTTCGAACTCTTCCGAGCTGAAACTAGACAAGATATTACCTATACATATTACACGTATATACTGTACAGGTCATACATATTTTACACATGGGTACTTTACAGATCTTAAAATACTTCCAAAAACGCAAAAAATGTAAGTTAATATCCACCCACATGATTAACAAATCCTGCTTTAGCATGGTAAGTGGCAAGTTCTGATGACACACCAGGTATAGGCTGTATCATCCAAACCTGAAAAAAAAACAATATTACCTAAAAATGCGTTTTTGTTTAAAAAACACAGATGTTGTTACCTAAAATATTTTTTGTCTATAAAAGTATCTTTGTTACCTAAAACAATATTTTTACAAAAAAATCATTTTAAAAACAAAAAAATATTTTTTTTCACAAAACTAGTTATTTGTTACCTATACCTTCAAAAAACTAACCATTCCCACTTACACATCCAGTCCAATCGAGTAATTCCTTGGTAATTCCAGTAACTGATCCCAAGTGCATATTTACTTTGTAGTAATCGTGGTTTACTCTAGTCAAGTCAATTTCTGGGTGTACTGCGCCAATAACTGCGACACCCGGAGGCCATTCGGTATGATGAAGTACATTAAAAGGCATCGTGATCTGTAGACCATGTATGAACAACTTGTACGCGTCTTTGCCGATTCCTCGCGTCATTCTAGTGTTTTCGAACTAAAATGTTCTTAAAATTAACAAATTTTCATTAAAATTTTAAAGTTAATCTACATTTTTGAAAAATACTAGCTAATTTGGTAGAAGTGAAGAAAATGTTACCTAAATTTAGATAAAAACCAAGTTTAAGCGCCCATTTCTAAATAAAAACCAGCCTTAAATAATTTTAAGCTTTAGATAAACTAAAAACTATAATTCTTGAAAAACAAACGCCTGTGAAAAAACCCATTTTACAAAAATTTTCCAAAATCTGTTACCTAAAATCGAAAAAAAAACAAAATCTTACAATATAACTTCTCACAGCTCGTGTAACCCCCTTTATCACAATCAACCCATTCATCTTCTCTTTCAAAAACTCCACATAAGTGCCAAAAGGAAACGATGCTATTTTATTTTTAATTTCATCGTTTCGAAGAATGATGAACTTGCCAATGTCAGGAACCACTGCTCGAGACAAAGGATATGCCATTTTGGTGCCAACCTCCATCACATAGTTGACAATGAAGTTGTTCTTCGAGACCGACGTGCTGGGCCAAATACAATAGCCAGAGACTGCTTCTAGCTAAAACAACTTAAAATAAGGTAATTCATACCTGTCGCAATCCATTACTTTAGCAATGTTAAGATACAACATTATTTTAAATAATAAAAACTATCTTTCACGTCAAATACATAAAAATGTTATTTATTATCTAATATTACAAAAAACACCAAAAATTTAAGTTACCTCTGATCGCTCCACATTCTGTTGTTCAATATATTGCACTCGCCCTTCTGGAATCGGGTAACCGGCAGGATGGATAAGATCTGGCGCATATCTGTCTTTTACAATATTGTTTTCCATGCTGAAGAAGCTGAGCGTTAATGTAAAGTAAATTTCATTTTTAAAATAAATTTTTAATTTTTGGAGTACTTCATCAACGGAATGCCACGAAATATTGCATCCTGAGCTTTCGTTTCGGGACTAAAATGTTGCAACAAAATTGTTTTTTTTCCTATCATTATCTGTGAAGTTAGCCAAACATGAGAAACGGGTTGAGTCTACAGAGACAATTCCGCGCCAAGTCTATGTTCTAATTTGGGCTGTCAGGTATAATCTAAAATAACTACACGGGTGATATCTTTTAGTTTGGAACGGCCTAAAACTCAAACCGGTTCTTTTTTTAGAATTAAGCTTGGTATGTTTCTAGTCTAAAACTTGGTCTATTTTTCAGACACGGCCGTTGAAAGAAGATCAACTTCGAATTCTTTAGTCAGGCCCAAGCACTCACTCATACCTAAACCTTTCAAAATTTTTGTTCAACCATGTTGCACCTTTCTGATCATCTTAACACTTTCACCAAGTAAGATTAATAAGTTAAACCGTTAAGATAAGACTGAAATGATTAAGCATGTCTTATATTATAGTGCCTACAACTTCAGGGCAACCGGTGGAATACCGACTCAATTTGCCTACAATGACTATACTTTTGACAATGTAGCAGAATGGACTGGACGTCAATATTATGATAAAGTTCAAGTTGGTAACTTGGTATTTCAATCTACTATCGGCGTCGTGGAGAAATCGAAGGTAACGGTCGTAACAGAACACAGTGGCTACCTTGCACTAGGTATGGCTGACAATGCGCTTATTAAACCCATCATGAACTACTCTACTCAGCCTCGGATTACTATTCAAGAAGGGATATACTATCTTAAGGTAAGGTAGCTTTTCAACCGTACCCTACCCTACTCTATTCTACCCTACCTTACCCTACCCTACCCTACCCTACCCTACCCTACCCTACCCTACCCTACCCTACCCTACCCTACCCTACCCTACCCTACCCTACCCCTACCCTACCCTACCCTACCCTACCCTACCCTACCCTACCCTACCCTACCCTACCCTACCCTACTCTACCCTACCCTACTCTACCCTACCCTACCCTACCCTTCCCTACCCTACCCTACTCTACTTTATATTCACGCAATGTTACAGAAAAACGGCACAGACCAAATACCACTTTTGGCAGATCTAGAGGGAACAATAACATTTGGGGAATATCGTGGTAAAGAATGTGGAACGTTCAAAGAGTACAAAACAATAACCGATGGTTTTTGGGTAGTGCTAGCGAAGTGAGTTATGCTACTAATCAATATACTAAAGTTTCGAAAAATTTTTAAAAGTTTGTAGAGTTTTAAGACAGTTTTGTTATGTTAAACTAAGTTAATGTTTCTTAAAGTAAATTCATCTTCAGCGTAAAAATAGGAGAAAAAGAGTACAATGGCCAAATTGTGGCATTAAATGTTGGCAAACCAACCTTAGTGCCAATGGAAGTTTACAATGATATTAAGAAAGAGTATGCATCAAAGGAAGATATGCCTGATATTACCATCACGATAGAAGACGACGAATACAAAATGACACCCGATCAATATGCAGAGTACGACGAGGAGGTAAACTTTAGCTTAGAAAAACTTTGATTGCAAGAAATACAATCTCCCCACCTCTCACTTCGCCATAAAAAACTAGCAAGAGAGTTGCTTCTAATATTATATTTATCGATTTTTACTACAGTATGCATCAACTATCTTCCGGGGTTTACTACAATACCTATATAGTTTGAAAGAGCAGAACTTACCAAAAAAATCATTTTCAACACAAAAATAAAATTACTTTAGAAAGACATATGGAAGCCGGCAATTGAATTGTCGAAAAGCACAGCCTATGACTTTGCTTTGGGCAGAGACTTTTTACAAAGTTACTGTGTATCTTTGTCGTCGACAAAAGAAACGACTGATTTGAAGATGGGTTTTGCCAAAAACACTCCAAAACTTCCAAAATCTTCTGCGTTTATTCTACAAACATCTTACTTTATAATTCTTCCTTCTATCGTAATATCACGGTTGTTTTTGTAAACGATGACGTAAAATACTATTCTTATATGTTTATATACAAATATTAATGTATTTATATACATATATACATATACATATATACATATATGTTGCTTGTCATCAAAATGAAAAATTTTGCTAAATGTAAAGACTATATAACAAGCGAAAGACAAATGTATTCAATTTGAAAGGTTATCTACGCAAAAGTAATATAAAATATGAACATAGCTGCATAGTTACATGATATATTATATTGTAGTAACATATACTTTAACATTCTCAACTTCGTAATAGTTGATTTTTGAGATCAGTGACTTCCTCACGTAGCCTTCGAACTTCCTTTTCAGCTTCTTCTTTAGCATCGAAGTACTTTAAAGTGTCTTCCTGGAAACAATAATATTATTCAACAAAAATAATGTTTTTAATACAGTTAGACCTGAAAGAGAGTCTACAAGGTTCAGCTTGTCTCTAGCCATTTATAATAAAAAATCTGAACCGGCACATGTAGACCAAAGAGTAGGGGCCAAAATCAAGACTAAACCCGTAATCTAAACTGAAAAAATGGGCCAATCCCTGCCCTTTTATAAATCTAAATACTGTAAAATACCGTCACAAGCAACGAAATAGGGTTGTCTATAACAGAATGGTCTCTAATAAGGCCTTTTACATAAACATTACTATATAAATAACTCTAAAAGTAATGACATACTTGTATTTCATGTAGTGTTTTGATCAGTTTCTCAATAGTAAGCCTGGCTTGGTTCCTCTCATTTCGTACTATCGACCATTTCTCTCTCCACATCGCTGTACATTCAGCCCACCATTTCATTGTGTTCTCCATGCATTCGGCACGGTCTTTGGCCTACAATGTTATACAATAAAATCTTTTAGTATGGCCCTTGATAGTGTGACACTCTCTTTATAATAACAGCTTCTTCGCCGTTCTTTGTAATAAAACTTTTATTGAAAGTAACTTTGTACTGTGTTATAAGAACTGGTTTGGATCAGTGCTTTATGTATCATACTAAAGAGTATGCCATTCAAAAGACTGGTCAAACCTGTAATTAGAACTGTAATTTCGATCTTAATTGTTATTGGCCTTATCAGTTCACAAAGTCTATGTTAATGATGTAATACTTGTTTTCATGTTATAAACATGCTTACTTCCGTCAACATTTCCAATCGTTTTTTCTCAAACTTTTCCCATTCTGAAAATGTCAGCTGGCCTTTCGGAATGTACTCGGTCGTTTCTAAATTACATAGCTTTATGGTAAATCTAAACAGGTTTTAAAATTACGAATTTTAATCATTAATTCTCTCAAAACAAATGAAATTTAAAATTTAAATCAAATTTTATTTTAAATCAGAAGCTCACCGTCATTGTCTTCATCATTTCTAGAATATCTGTTGAACAAAAATGACTCTGTCATTGAAGTTGAAGTCTCACAGTCAACTTCACTACACTCTGACATCATTTACACTTTTATGACAGTATTTAGTATAGTATAATCAAGTATAATGTGAGCTAACCCATTAAAAGGTAATATTATAGTATAAAAACAAAATCCAAAACCTAAACCAACTCTTTTAGATGTAAATCTTTAGCTCAAACCAATACAAAACCTTGCCTCAAGGCTTAGAAATTAAAAGTCAAATTCAAAGCAGATCAAAGCGTTTAGTGACCAGCGGCTTCGAATTCCAATCAAATTTTTGGGCCGAAAAAAGTGGTTTGGTGCCGGGTGAGGCGACAATTGTCCATCCGACAAATAACAGCGAATGCACTCTAATCAGCTGTTCACCAGCCTTTATTATTGTTTTTTCGAAATTCGTATTGTTCTAGACATCAATAAGGTAAAATTTAAGCTTGAATCATGGGTTAAATCATTTGAATAAAAAGTACCGCAACTTCAGTTGATATAAACGGCTTTTATTAAAAACATTGATAAAGGCAGATAAAGGTAATTACACGAGTAATCAATCAATTAGAATACAGTAGAGCTTTTGTATAACAAATCGATTTAAAAATTGTTCGTTATACAGGAGTCCTATTGTATATGCTTTTATTAGGTTGTTCACATAATTCTGTGTCCCCTCTCACAGAACATTTTTAAAGTTGGTGAACACAGAATTATATAAAAAACTTAATAGTAAAAACGATTATATACAGAAGCAAATATGGTAAAAACTAACAAGGAAACTATCCAACATACCCCACTCAGGGTCAGCTCAAAACCTTTATATGAATTCCTTGCACCTTGTGGTTTTGCACTACCAATAGTACCCGTACAAAACTTTAAATTACATTTGGTTTTAAAATTAAAATGTTTGAAGTTTTTGACAATTTGGCAACTTTGGCATTGTATTACAAGACCTTTTTTTATGTTCCAGATAAGGCAGGCTTACAAATTGAGAAATGTAGGTTTATTTAAAGGTTTTCTACTAGTATTTCAAAGAAAAATGATTAAAAGCCAATAAATGATAAAGTTATAAGCTTGAAACACAATGCCAATTTGGCGGAATTTCAAAACATAATTTTTTAATCTCAATTTTCTCGAGATTGACTGGAGTACGCGATTTAGTACTTCGCTGCAAACCTACATGATTTTTCTAAATAAAAAATTTAAAATCAAACAGAGCGGAGCAGGTCGATCACTTTCATTGTCAAAATGGTAAAAACTAAAATCTCAAAACACTTTTTGGAACAAAAAATAGTTCGAAGAAAGTATTGTTTATGCAAATTTGAGCCGGTATAAAAGCAAGGAAATTTGGGAAATGACTCCATTTTTGGTTTTTTCGTTCTCGGAGACCAGTCGACCGCTTTAGCCATAATTATGACTACCGACCCAGCAACTGTGAAGAAGATCGAGGAAGGCTTTGAGAAGTTGCAAGTGAGTGGAAACAAAGTTTTTGCGGATTTTAATATTTTTTTTGAGTTTTTCATCGTTGGATGTAACTCTACTTTTTTGCTGTTAATGGTAGTAGAAAAACACTTGCTAAAAGGAGAACAGTTGACCTTAAAAATGGTAAACTTGGCTCACTTCTGATAACTTGTAAATTCATTTTTACTTTTGATTTTGGCGTATTTTATGAGGTGGTTCAAATAATTCTGTGCTCCTAACCTTGAGAGTTTTTTTGAAAGGGGGCACAGAATTACTTGAAAAACCTAATATATTACTTTTGTTTTTTTTATTGTTGTGGTTGAGTTTATAGCGTAAAGAAAGTTTTGACAATTTTTATGAGTTGATGTAAACAAGTTTTTGCATTTCAGGCTGCTGCGGACTGCAAATCGTTGTTGAAGAAGCATCTGACAAAGGATGTTGTGACCAAGCTCAAGTCCAAGAAGACCAAGCTCGGAGCGACGCTTTTGGATGTGATTCAATCCGGTGTGGCCAATCTGGATTCTGGAGTCGGTCTCTACGCTCCAGATGCCGAATCCTACACATTGTTCAAGGACTTGTTCGATCCTGTCATTGAGGTAAGGTTTTTTGGGGGTTTTAAGGTGTTTTAGGCTTGTTTAGGAGGTTTTATTACCTAAAAAATTTTTTTTAAGAAGTTTTGGTTTTTTAGGTAACAAATTTAATTTTTGTTTGGTTTTTGAGGCGCTTTAGGTTTATTTTGGTTTTTTTATTACCTAAAAAAAGTTTTTTTTTTTGGATAAAAGCTTGAAACTTGTTTTTTAGGTAACAAATTTTTAGTTTTTAATATATTTTTACAAATTTCAATTTCCAGGAGTACCACAATGGTTTCAAGCCCGCCGACAAGCAACCTCCGATGGATTTGGGCGAGGGAAAGATTGCCGAACTTCCCGACCTCGACCCCGACAACAAGTACATTGTTTCGACTCGTATTCGATGTGGCAGATCTTTGGCCGGCTACCCCTTTAACCCATGCCTCACCGAGGCCAACTACAAGAACATGAAGTCGAGAATGAAGGCGACTTTGGAGGGAATTAAGGACGAGGACCTGAAGGGTACCTACTACCCATTGACTGGAATGAGCAAGGAAATTCAGGACAAACTGATCGCTGATCACTTTTTGGTGAGGATTTTTGAATTCATGACAGTATTTTATAAAACATCTGATTTTTTTCATTTTTAACTCTGAATATTTTAATATTGTTTTAGTTCAAAGAAGGTGATCGCTTCCTACAAGCCGCCAACGCCTCCCGCTTCTGGCCCACCGGTCGTGGTATCTTCCACAACGAAAAGAAGTCGTTCTTGGTGTGGGTGAACGAGGAGGACCATCTTCGTATCATCTCGATGCAAAATGGAGGTAATGTTGGTCAAGTCCTGGAACGTTTGGTGAAAGGTCTGAAGGTGATTGCTGCCAAACAGCCATTTGCTCGTCACCCACGTCTTGGCTGGTTGACTTTCTGCCCCACCAACTTGGGTACCACTGTCAGAGCTTCCGTTCACATCAAGCTGCCCAAGATATCGGCCGACAAGGACAAGTTCAAGGCTATTTGCGACGAAATGAAGCTTCAGGTGGGTATTCTTAGTTTTTTGACTTTGAAATTTTTTAAATGTAGTACCCTTTGATTTAAAAAATTTTTTTGGTACTAAAATTACTAACTAAAACTATTGTTAACAATTAAATTTCAGATTCGTGGTATTCACGGCGAACATTCTGAATCAGCCGCCGGCGTCTACGATGTCTCCAACAAGCAACGTTTGGGACTTACCGAGTACGAAGCCGTCCGCCAAATGTACGATGGAGTCAAGAAGCTCATCGAACTCGAAGCCGCCGCTCCATAAATCTAGCTGATCTTTGATTGAATCTGTAGCTTATCATTGAATAAACGGATTCTCGTTATTGTCTTGTGTATTTTCGTTATGAATATTGTTATGAAATATTGTTGTCATTGTTTAATTCACGTTTGTTTCTTTTTTAGAGTTTGTTTTGATTTTAGGTTAAATTTTAAAATGCATTTTTGATTTAAAAAGCGATTGAAGTTAACAAAATCGCTTAAAACTACAGTTTTTGTGCGTGTGTATCAATTATCTTTTCTTGATCACTTGTTTTTTTATTTTCTGAAGATTATATTGTGTATTTTTGACAGTTTTTTTAATTTTTGAAAATACAGGGCGTTTTAACGAATTTCGTTTTTAGAAATATTTTATATCTCTTCAATTTTAAGATGCCTCCACCAGCTGGAATACGGGTGATGAGCAAAGCAACTAAACACAAAACACCTGACAAACATCCATGGCATGCTTTTACAGTCGATGGGGAAGATACATTTAGGTACCGTTAACTATTGCAGAGTGTTACTTTTTGACCTCTATTTAAAAGTTTTGGGCAAAAAAAATTTTTTTAATGTGAGAGGGGTGGGGTAAAACTTACTTACTCGACCTCAAAAAATATGTACTTCTTTACAGTTTCTCCGGCATTCACATCCTCCGTCATGGCTGGGGGTACGGTGGTAACACGGCATCTCTTGCTTTATATGCGGCTTTCAAGACTGTTCCTTCCAATATGATCTTTTCTAGTTTCCATTCTCAATTCATACGACCGGTCACAAAGTCGACAGTAAAAGTGGTTGTGGAACGATGTAAAGATGGTGTAGCTGAAGTTTTGCGGCTGGTAAAGTTGTTTTGTGATGACAAATTGGCATATACCATGGATTGTCGCTTCTGTGTGGGAGGTATGGTAAGTTTAAGTTTAGGAGGAATTTTTTGAAAAAAGTAAAATTTTTCTAAAAAAATTCTTTGAATGTTAAACATGGTCCCTTGCCAACTTAAAAAAAAATCCACCCCCTTAATAAAAAAAATTTAATTTAGAATTTCAAAAGCGCGCCAAAAACACCAACCAAAATGCCACAAGTCTGTGCTCCTGAACAGTGTCAAACCAGCTTCGAAGTTCTCCAAGATTACATGAAATCTGGTGGAGATATGACAAATGTCAGGAATATCACCTTCCCCGATGATCAGCCTCATATTGATCATCGTCTACCTGAAGGAGTCAATGGGATTATTGGTTACAGTGAGGAACGTTATGAACAAACCATATGGTCACGGTACAAGTTGAGCAATTGTAAGGATAGTAGGATATTTTATTGTCTTTCTAATAAGTCTGTGCTTTCTAACCTCATTTGCTTTGAGAGGGGCACAGAATTATTTTAACAATCTAGTATAATCAAGTAGAGTAAAGTGGTGCGAGGGAGAGCTGTAAAAAACGCTTTTAGAGGGGAGGAGGAGTGGAAGGTGGCCAAAGTCAACTTAAGATTGGCATGGACAAGGTGGAGCTTAGTGAGCAAAACATTTTTTTTTTAATTTCCAAAAAAGTATGTCATGATCTTCGAAAAATACGTCATAAAACTTAAAAAATATGTCATAAATTTCAATTCAGATGACAGCGATCGAAACTTTAGTGAATTGATAGTGACCAACCTCTCCGACCTTGGTATGTGTTATGCTGCAGCCTTAATGTTTCCCAATGAATCCTTCAGTCGTATCGCTTCTTTATCATTGTCAATTTGGTTTCACTGTACAGAGTAAGTCAGTATTAATAAGCAGGAAGTGACAAACATATTAGTTTTCAAATGTTTTAACCTGGTCGTCACTTTTTTTAGTTTTTTGGCCGAAGACTTCCTCCTTCAACGACATGTTGTGGTGGGCCATAACCACAATCGTTCCTTGATTTCTGGTCAAATTTGGTCTCGTAACGGTAAACTAATAGCTACAACGATGCAAGAAGCCATCGTAGAACCTGAGAGTATAACCAAAGCAAAATATTAACACAAAACTAAATCTTGTTTACTCTACAATAAAGCTACAACAATCATCACAAGAACCGCTGACAAGACCTTTGCATTGCCAGCAACCCCATTGCTCATACTGATGTAGTCCTCAGGGTCGTATTCGTCAGGTTCGCCCTGATGCGAAGCTGGATGCAGCTGGTGAATAAAGTACGCCTTAGTCGGTGTCGTGGTATTTGATTCGATGGTTGTAGTACTCGTGGTAGTTGTAGTTGTGGTCGTCGTTGTAGTGGTGGTGGTCGTGTATACAGTAAAGATCTTATCCGAAGGCTGTAAGAGTGGCATAACCAGGTAAGTGCCGTCAGCTAAAGTCTCATGAAAAAGAGCCATCTTGTACAGGACCCTAAAATAAGATTCAGCTGGTTGGTTAGTCGGTGAAGGAACCAAGGCCTGCAGTTGGTCCCATCTCCAAAGAATGTTAGATATTAGAATGATACAAAACTCAGACATACCCATCAGGTCGTTCCAGGTAATAATACGGAAGGAAAGCATCGTGAATTCTAAAAAAGTAAGTATTATAGAATAATATTTCGAGTAAAACAAATAATGAAGAATATTTTAAGTACAAAAACTGCCCTAAACTCAGATTTTAAAACCTTTTTTTCCAAATCCTTAAAAATATTCTGACGTACACTACCCAACTTTCTGTCAAAGTCCAGCCATTCATCACCATAACAGCATGTCTATCCGGTACAGCCGTACGTACTTCGTAGCTAACATTATCACGGGACCATATTGGAACGCATTCCTTATCATTCTAAATTTAATTTTTTGAAGTACCAGAGTGATTAAACTTTTAAAAATATTCCAACGTAAATTCTTGTATTTCATGAAATTAAAGACTAATAAACATTAAAATGCCTTACTGCAAAGCATTTATCAAGAATCTCATTCGCTTCTACTTCTGAAATACCGTTCAACTTGGTTTTGTTTGCTTTCACCTTCCAAAGAGATAACCTCACAAATCTGTATGAGTAATGTTTAAACGCCCTATTAAAATTCAAAAAAAAAAAATTAAAAATAGGCACAGGCGTTCCAACCTCAAAAGTTGGTCATACCCTGTGCATTCTATATATATATCATGATAAAACACTGTAAACTTACGAGTCATCACTCGTCCCGCATTTATTCGTATTGACATTTTTATACGCTGCTTCGATGGAAATTATAGTATCGTTACTTAAAAATAAGTAATTTTTGAATACGAATGCTTTCTTAACGTTAAAGTCGACGGTGAATAAATATAGGTTCGTGTAAGACACGCATTTATTGCTGAAATATTAAATTTATTGTGTCCAACTGTAGCCTGTAATGGCACAATACCAAAAAATCATTTTTTCGTATAAGATTATGTTACACCCACCCTTCCACGTGCTGAAGGAATCGTAGAATGAACTTCTCGACCCATACATAACGATTAGAATCCGGAATGATCAATTGGGATACCCTAACCACATTGCTGAAAAATGTTGAATTAATAAATCTTTAAACCACTAGATTGATAAGGACCAGGGCCGAGCGCTGGGGGGGGGGAGGAGGTAGATGTCAGTGGCACAATTTACAGTTTACCTTCGACCCCCACCCCCAGACCAAAAGTCCCCGCCCGGCCCTCATAAGGACATTAGTCCAAAATACGTTATATATAAAACCAAAAAAAAAGATATTGGTCCAAAATAAATTAGACTCAAGTTAAAATTGTCAAAAGACAGTTGAGTTTTACTCAACATAACATTTCACTAATAATGTCGTATTAGCCTTTTTTTCCATATTAACCATAAAGATTTATACCTTTTTAATAAAAACGAAAAAAACTTACCTTGAAAAACTAAGCATGTATGAACGTCCTTTACTTCCATCACCATAGTCTGAACTAGTAAATATTATGTTGATACTTTAAAGTTTTAAATTTTCACTTACATATTCGTTGATATGTGTCAGAGTACTCCTAAAATAACAAATTTCCGTTATTCAATATCACTTTTAAATTATAAAACTCTGAATTTTGGTCAAATAGATATAGATAATAAAAACCAAATATCTCTTGCGTATTATATGTTTATGCAAAATTAACTGAATACCTACTATATTATCAAATATTATAACCCAAACATCTACTTACGGGTATTGTCATTATCCAAGTTTTAACCATGGAACGATTAACTTCACCAGAACATTCCTCTGAGCCAGTATTCTTTTCTGAACATTCCTTCGATAGTACTACTACTATCGCCAACAGTACTAAAAACCACCAAAACTTAGCCATAAGAAGAGCACGTTCTGTCACTCACCATTCCAGAAAATGAATTTTTGGAAATGAAGATTTTGGAAAATGATGTTCTGAAAATTTTAATATTTTATTTAAAAATTAAAATTATTTTCTTATTAAATATACTTCAAAATCTAAAAAATGAAATTCTCATTTTAAAAATTGATTTTTTAGTTTTTCGACCGGCAAAAAAAGTATTTAATCTGCCCAACTCAAAAATGTCAGAATCAGCTCATAATTTTTCTATGAATTCTTTGCACCTCCAATAGTACGTACCCGTACAAATTTTTAGCTTGCGCTTTTAAACTTTAAGTTTAAAAAATTAAAGGTTCCTGCCAATTGGCATTGTGTTTCAAGCCCTTTTTTGATGTTACAGATTAGTTGAAAATAAAATTTAAAAAAATTTAGGTTGATTTGAAGGTTTTCTATTAGTATATCAAATAAAAAACATTAAAAGTCAAAAAATGACCAAGTTATGGGCTTGAAACCTAATGCCAAGTTGGCGAGAATTCAAATTGTTTTATCTCAATTTTCTCGAGATTTGCTGGAAACTGCGGTTTATTATAATACTTTGCTGAAGACAGTTGAATATTACATCTTTTTTTATTTTCTTTCAATTTTCAAACAATAAAACCATATGAAGTTTACAAATACAAAGCAAAGTTAACTTATACACACAAAACCATTAACGTAATAAATCTTGTTTACTCTACAATAAAAATACAAAAACCATCAACATCATAAGAACCAATGTCAAGGCCTTTGCATTACAAGCAACACCATCGTTTATACTCATGTAGTCCTCAGGGTTGTATTCGTCAGGTTCGCCTTGATGCGAAGCTGGATTCAGCTCGTGAATAAAGTACTCCAGAGTAGGTGTATTGGTATTTGATTCGATGGTTGTAGTAATCGTGGTAGTTGTAGTTGTGGTCGTCGTTGTAGTAGTGGTAGTGGTTGCCGTGTATAAAGTAAAGATCTCATCCGAAGGCTGTAAGAGTGGCATAGTTACAAAACGATCTGAGGAGTCCTCAAGCATGTTGTACTGGTCCCTAAAATAAGTCTTAACTGGTAGATATATATAAATAGGTTTTTGCAAGCAGGATCGGGTTCAAAAAGAGAGAGGGGAAGGTAGGCTACCAAATTTTTTTTCGAAAGATCAAACTGGTCTTTAAGTACATGTGCCTTCATGCCTTCAGACCCTCTTCTCTCCTCCCCCCCCTTCCCAAAGATAAAATCACCCGCCCGGCTTTGATTTTACTCTTAAATATTCAAATTACACAAACTTCAAACGTACCTATCAGGTCGTTCCAAGTAGTAGTACGGAAGAAACTCACATTTAAACCTAAAAAAATTCAAAGAAAATTTTAAGTAAAAAAGCCGTCCTAAACTCAGAATTTAAAAAGCTTTTTGAAACGGTAAAGGTAATCTAACTCACTGCTTCCAAACTTCTGTCAAAGTCCAGCCATTCATCACCATAACAGCATGTTTATGCTTTTCAGCCTTACGTACTTCGTAGTTTTCAGTATTATCGGACCATGCTGGAACGCATTCCAGACCGTACTAAAATTAATTGTTTGAGATTGTTGTAGAATGTAAGACTTACCCTGCCCTACCTTTCGTACCCTATTCTTACCTACTTCCATTCTAACCTACCGTTAATAGACATACTAATTCTAATGACTTACTGCAAAGCACTTATCAAGAATCTTATTCGTTTCTTCTTTTGAAATACCAACCAAGCTGCTTTTGTTTGCTTTCAAAATCGTAAGGTTTAATCTAAAAAACAAGATTAAAAATTTAAACATCGGTACAAACTTTCTAACCCATCAAAAATTGGTCATACCTAGTATTATACATCCTAGATGTAAGACAATGTAAACTTACGTCGTACTTTGCCCACATCTACTCAAATCAAGGTCGTGATACGCCTTTTTGATGTCAAGTATAATCTCTTTGTTCAAAAATAAGTAATCCCTGAATACGAATGCCTTCGTAACGTTAACATCATCGCCAGATACATATAAGCCTTTGTCCTCGAGTTTTGTGTAAGATGGGCAGTTAAGGCTGAAATCTTAAATTTACTGTGCCAAATCGTTGACTAAAATGGCAAAACGCCAAAACATCCAAACCCAAGGATACTGTAATAATATGTTACACCCACCTTTCCAAGGCTTGAAAGAATCGTATATCTTCCTTCTCGACCCATAGATAGCGAGTAGAGTTTGGAATGATCAATTGGGATACCCAATTCTCATGGCTGAAGAAAGTAAAATAAAGTCTTTACACCGTTAAATACAGGGTGTTTCAAGAAATTTGTAACTGTTGAAAAATTTATTACTCAGCCATGAAAAAAGTTAGGAAGACAAAATATGGCACACGTAATATACAGCCAATGTATATTTTTTATAAAAAAATTTGGGATTTTAAAGTGCATATGAAGGTCGTTATGGATTTTTGAAAAAACTCATTTTCACCCAAATTACACAAGTTTTCAGTTGAAAATCACTTTTTTCATCAAAAATTTCTGTTTTCGGCTATTTTGTGGTTGGAAATGCATTTTAGAGACGAAAATTTATGTTCTCCGCGTTGGCGGAGAGCTTTAAATCATCGGCGGAGGCCATAACTCGCTTCAAACTTTATGGAGAAACTTGAAACCAAAACCGATCTTCCTAATATTTTATGCGCTATCTTCCGGTGTATAAATTCTAATGAAATATTAAGGTGAACACAAAAGATTACTGAAAAGAGACAAATCAAATGTATAGAAAAATAAAATGTGTCATTTTCTTTTTATGGGCATAGATACAGTTAAAAAAGTTATAACTATGTTACTTAAGGAATTTAAGTTACTTATTTTACTTTTTTTTAGTATTATATTGTAAAAACTACTCAAAACGAAAACAGAAACTTAAAATTTCAACAAACTTTAATTGTAATAATTATCTTTTTAAAATATAAACCAAAAATTGACTTTTCATGATGATAATAAGCTAGCTTTTAAAATTTTTGTTTTTGTCTTAACTTTTTAATAGAATTTATACATCGGAAGATAGCGCATAAAATTTTAGGAAGATCGGTTTTGGTTGAAGTTTCTCCATAAAGTTTGAAGCGAGTTATGGCCTCCGCCGATGATTTAAAGCTCTCCGCCAACGCGGAGAACATAAATTTTCGTCTCTAAAATGCATTTCCAACCACAAAATAGCCAAAAACTTAGAAATTTTTGATGAAAAAAGTGATTTTCAACTGAAAACTTGTGTAATTTGGGTGAAAATGAGTTTTTTCAAAAATTCACAACGACCTTCATGTGCACTTTAAAATTCCAAATTTTTTTATAAAAAATATACATTGGCTGTATATTACGCGTGCCAAATTTTGTCTTCCTACCTTTTTTCATGGCTGAGTAACAAACTTTTCAAAAGTTACAAATTTCTTGAAACACCCTGTAGATAAGGAGATTAGTCCAAAATAAAATAGATTCCTATTAAAATGTTCAAAAGAAAGATTGCGTTATAATCAATATAACATGTTAATACTAATGTTATGATAACCCGACTTCCACATTATCCATGGATTTGTACCATTCTAGATACAAATGCAAAAAACTTACTTTGAATAACCTTTTATAACTTGCTTGTCTCCTTCTGCTTTCTCACTATAGCCTGAATAATAGATATTACGTTGATATTTTTTATTTTACGAATGTTCACTTACGCAGCTTTTGCTCTATGAAGCTTGTACTAATGATATCCTGAAATAACAATTTTGAATTAATTCATAAAATATAAAAAATAAGACATTTCTCACGTATTATATGCAAAAATAAAAGAAAAATTAACAACATTAACTAAATATTAGATATTATAACCCAAAGTTCAATTTACGGTTGTTGTCAGAACCCAAGTCTTAACCATGTATTGAGAAATCTTTGTATACCCATACAAACCCGCAACATCCACCTCCGTTTCTTCACATTCCTCCGATTGCAACCGCGATGGTACCACTTCCATCGCCAATAGTACGAGAAACCACCAAAGCATAGCCATAAGAACAACGCGTTATGTCACTCACCATTCCAAAAATTGAATTTTTCAAAATTAAAATTTGGAAAATGTAGCCTCAAAATTTGAATATTATAATCCACTAATTCAAAAAAAATTAATTTTTATAAAAAATAGAGTCAATCAGAGGAATCCCACCCGTTAAGACCCGGCGCCTTTTAAGACCCAGAACGCCCGTTAAGACCCCGTGCTGGATTTATCTGGCAATTCGGCGGAGGCTTTTACAAATTTGGCGGAGACTTTGAAAATTCGGCGGAGGGTTTAGTTGATTCGGCGGAGGGTTTAGGGGGTTCGGCGGAGGGTCGGCGAAGGCTTTAGGGTATTTGGCGAAGGGTTTAGGGGGTTCGGCGGAGAGTTTGGGGGATTCGGCGGAGGGTTTAGGGGGTTCGGCGGAGAGTTTGGGGGATTCGGCGGAGGGTTTAGGGGGTTCGGCAAAGAGTTTAGTTGGTTTGGCAGAGGGTCGGCGGAGGTTTTGGGGGATTCGGCGAAGAGTTTAGCTGGTTTGGCCGAGGGTCGGCGGAGGTTTTGGGGTATTCGTCGGAGAGTCGGCGGAGGTTTTGGGGGGGGCTTTAGGGGTTTCGGCAGAGGGGAGGTTGGCGGAGGTTTTAGGAGATTCGGCGGAGGCTTTATGAGATTCGGCGGAGGGTCGGCGGAGGTTTTAGGAGATTCGGCGGAGGTTTTAGGAGATTCGGCGGAGGCTTTATGAGATTCGGCGGAGGGTCGGCGGAGGTTTTAGGAGATTCGGCGGAGGCTTTATGAGATTCGGCGGAGAGTCGGCGGAAGTTTTAGGAGATTCGGCGGAGATTTTAGGGAATTCGGCGAAGGGTCGGCGGAGGCTTTAGGAGATTCGGCGGAGGGGTTAGTGACTTTTCGGGTAGGGACATTTCGGGTAGCGACTTTTCGGGTAGGACATTTCGGGTAATGGATTTTTCGGGTAGGGACTTTTCGGGTGATGGATATTTCGGGCAATGGTAATTTCGGGTAGGGATTATATGATTTAGTCAGATTGTGATTCAGTCTCCTACCGTTTATAGCATAATAAATGAAAATAATATAATTCATGGTTTATATATTATTAATTATTTAATTTTTTAGTTTTTTTTAAAATTATAATTACGGTTTTTAACATTGCAAGTCATAATCTTAAGTCTGGAAATTTTATTGTAATTATCCATAACTTAATATTTTAAATTACACGAAAAGTTCCTACCCGAAATGTCGATAACCCGAAAAGTGCTACCCGAACAATCCCTACCCGAAATTACCATTGCCCGAAATATCCATCACCCGAAAAGTCCCTACCCGGAAAGTCCATTACCCGAAATGTCCTACCAGAAAAGTCGCTACCCGAAATGTCCCTACCCGAAAACTCCTGCTCCCTCGGCGGAGACTTTCGGGGATTCGGCGGAGGGTCGGCGGAGGTTTTATGAGGTCCGGAGGAGAGTCGGCGGAGACTTTATGAGGTCCGGCGGAGGGTCGGCGGAGACTAGGGGATTCGGCGGACGCTTTAGGGTATCTACCCGGCCCTACCTGACCCTACCCCTAACCCTGACCTTTTTAGCCCTACCCTACCTTACCCTTGCCCATTTCTTACCCTATCCAACTATACCATACCCATCCTTTATAATATACCATATTTTCTTGTGTTACCTACTCTACCATACCCATTTTACTAAACATATCTTACCAAACTATAAAACCATGTTCTATCATATTGTACCTAATATACCATATCCTACCATAACCTATCGAATCTTCCATAACATACCCTACCTTATTATAACACGCCATACCCTACCATACCATACTATACCAAACTGTACCATACCTTACCTTATTCAATCTTATGCAACACTGGGTAGGGTAGAATAGGTAAGTAAAAGAAGATAAATGGCATAATATAGTCAAGTATAGTATGACATAGTATGGTATAATATGGCACGTTACATTAGGGTGTGGTATGGTAGATATGATAGGCAATGGTAGGGTATGGTATAATAGGTAGGACGTGTATGGTACAGTAAGGAAGGGTTAAAAAGGTCAAGGAAAGGGTCGGGTAGGGCTAAAAAAGTCAGGGGTAAGGTGGGGTAGGGTTAGGTTAGGTAAGGTCGGGTAGATACCCTAAAGCGTCCGCCGAATCCCCTAAAGTCTCCGCTGAATCCCTTAAAGTCTCCGCCAACCCTCCGCCGAAACTCATAAAGCCTCCGCCGACTCTCCTAAAGTCTCCGCCGGACCTTATAAAGCCTCCGCCGAATCTCATAAAGCCTCCGCCGACTCTCCTAAAGTCTCCGCCGGACCTTATAAAGCCTCCGCCGAATCTCATAAAGCCTCCGCCGACTCCCCTAAAGTCTCCGCCGGACCTCATAAAGCCTCAGCCAGACCTCATAAAGCCTCCGCCGACCCTCCGTCGAATCCCCTAAATTCTCCGCCGAATCTCCTAAAACCTCCGCCGACCCTCCGCCAAATCTCATAAAGCCTCCGCCGACCCTTCTAAAGTCTCCGCCGACCCTCCTAAAAACCTCCGCCGAATCTCATAAAGCCTCCGCCGAATCTCCTAAAACCTCCGCCGACCCTCCGCCGAATCTCATAAAGCCTCCGCCGAATCTCCTAAACCCTCCGCCAAACCAACTAAACTCTCCGCCGAATCAACTAAACCCTCTGCCGAACCCCCTAAACCCTCCGCCGAATCCCCCAAACTCTCCGCCGAACCCCCTAAACCCTTCGCCGAACACCCTAAAGCCTTCGCTGACCCTCCGCCGAACCCCTTAAACCCTCCGCCGAATCAACTAAACCCTCCGCCGAATCTCCTAAACCCTCCGCCAAATCCCCCAAAACCTCTGCCGAAGCCCCTAAACCCTCCGCCGAATCAACTAAACGCTCCGCCGAATCTCATAAAGCCTCCGCCGAATCTCCTAAAACCTCCGCCGACCCTCCGCCGAATCTCATAAAGCCTCCGCCGAATCTCCTAAACCCTCCGCCAAACCAACTAAACTCTCCGCCGAATCAACTAAACCCTCTGCCGAACCCCCTAAACCCTCCGCCGAATCCCCCAAACTCTCCGCCGAACCCCTTAAACCCTCCGCCGAACACCCTAAAGCCTTCGCTGACCCTCCGCCGAACCCCTTAAACCCTCCGCCGAATCAACTAAACCCTCCGCCGAATCTCCTAAACCCTCCGCCAAATCCCCCAAAACCTCTGCCGAAGCCCCTAAACCCTCCGCCGAATCAACTAAACGCTCCGCCGAATCTCATAAAGCCTCCGCCGAATCTCCTAAAACCTCCGCCGACCCTCCGCCGAATCTCATAAAGCCTCCGCCGAATCTCCTAAACCCTCCGCCAAACCAACTAAACTCTCCGCCGAATCAACTAAACCCTCTGCCGAACCCCTAAACCCTCCGCCGAATCCCCCAAACTCTCCGCCGAACCCCTTAAACCCTCCGCCGAATCAACTAAACCCTCCGCCGAATCTCCTAAAACCTCCGCTGACCCTCCGGCAAACCAACTAAACTCTCCGCCGAATCAATTAAACCCTCCGCCGAACCCCCTAAACCCTCCGCCGAATCCCCCAAACTCTCCGCCGAACCCCCTAAACCCTTCGCCAAATACCCTAGAGCCTTCGCCGACCCTCCGCCGAACCCCCTAAACCCTTCGCCGAATCAACTAAACCCTCCGCCGAATTTTCAAAGTCTCCGCCAAATTTGTAAAAGCCTCCACCGACTCTCCGCCGAATTGCCAGATAAATCCAGCACGGGGTCTTAACGGGCGCTGGGTCTTAACGGGTTTTAGTGCAATCACAGCGGGGCGGATCGGGCACTTTCCTTGTCCGTTTTAAAATTTTTTAAATATATTATTTTTAAATATTACCTATTTTTTTATTTTTTTTGTCTATGAATTCATATGAACATTATACCCTTTTATTTTCTTTCAATTTTCAAACAATAAAACCATATGAAGTTTACAAATACAAAGCAAAGTTAACTTATACACACAAAACCATTAACGTTATAAATCTTGTTTACTCTACAATAAAAATACAAAAACCATCAACATCATAAGAACCAATGTCAAGGCCTTTGCATAACAAGCAACACCATCGTTTATACTCATGTAGTCCTCAGGGTTGTATTCGTCAGGTTCGCCTTGATGCGAAGCTGGATTCAGCTGGTGAATAAAGTACTCCAGAGTAGGTGTATTGGTATTCGATTCGATGGTTGTAGTACTCGTGGTAGTTGTAGTTGTGGTCGTCGTTGTAGTAGTGGTAGTGGTTGTCGTGTATAAGGTAAAGATCTTATCCGAAGGCTTTAAGAGTGGCATACTTAGAAAATGATCTGAGGAGTCCTCAAGCATGTTGTACCGAGTCCTACAATAAGGCTTAACTAGCTAGGTATATATGATAAGGTTTTTGTAAGCAAGGTCGGGCTCTAAAAAAGAGCAGAACAAACGTAGCCTCCCAATTAAAAAAAACTTCCACCTCCTCTCAGTTGAATTTTAAAAAATATGTAAAGTCAGCAAAGGTACCAGTGCCTTCAGACCCTCTCCTCCCCTGCCCAAGACAAAATCACCCGCCCCGTCTTAATTGTAAAATTTTTAAATATTCGAATCGCAAAACTCAAACGTACCCATTAGGTCGTTCCAAGTAATAGTACGGAAGCAACTCACAGTCATCTCTAAAAAAATAAAAAAAATTTTAAGTACATAAGCTGTCCTAAACTCAAATTTTAAAAAGCTTTTTAAAAACAGTAAAATTAATCTAACTCACCGTTTCCAAACTTCTGTCAAAGTCCAGCCATTCATCACCATAACAGCATGTCTATGCTCAGCAGCCGTACGTACTTCGTAACTAATAGTATTATTGGACCATACTGGAACGCATTCCCGACGACCCTAAATTCAATTTTATAAGACACCAGAGTGATCTATAAGATATAACTTTTACCCTACCCTACCCTCCCCTACGCTACCCATTAATAAATATATTTTATAAATTTTGAGAAATTGATTAAGAATTAATAGACATACTAATTTTAATGACTTACTGCAAAGCACTTATCAAGAATCGCATTCGCTTCTGCTTCTGAAATACCATGCAAGCTGCTTTTGTTTGCTTTCACCTTCCTAAGATCTGTTCTAAAAAATAAAAATTTTTAAAAATTTAAAAATCGGCACAAGCTTAGCTTTCCGATCCATCAAAAATTGGTCATACCTTATTCATCCTAAATATAAGAAAATGTAAACTTACTTTTGCTTTTGCCCTGGTTCAGATACCTCGAGATTTACATACGGTAGATTGATGTCAATTATAGCCTCACTGCTCACAAATAAGTAATCCTTGAATACGAAGGCCTTTTTAACGTCAACTTTAAGTTCGGTTTCATTAAAACGCATCTTTGTGTAAGACGTGCCTTTATGGCTGAAACATAAAATTTACTGTGTCAAATCCCCGACTAAAACGGCAAAACAGCATAACATCCAAACCAAAGTAAGGTGTCCAAAAAGGTTTAAAAAACAATACATAACATGAAAAGTGAAACTCCTGCATAACGAATCGCCCAGAAATATTAAAGTTGTTCGTTTTAAAAGAATCACATGCAATAATGTTAAACCCACTTGTCCGAGACTTGAAAGAATCGTACATCGTACTTCTCGACCCATAGAAAGCGAGTAGAGTTCGGAATGATCAATTGGGATATCCAGTTCTCGTTTCTGAAAAAAAGTAAAAGAATTAAGTCTTTAAACCGTTAAATAGATAAAGACATTGGTCCGAAATAAATTAGATTCCAGTTAAAATCGTCAAAAGACAGATTGCGTCATAACCAACATTACATGTTAATAATAATTTTATGATAACCCCTACTTCAACATTATTTATGAATTTATACCTTTTTAAATACAAATGAAAAAAAAACTTACTTTGAGAAACCTTTTATATTTTGTAAGAGTCCTTTTGTTTGATTACTGTAGCCTGAATAATAGACATTATTACGTTGATATTTTTAATTTAAAGGTTTTCACTTACGCATCTGTAGATCTATACTCTTTGGATTCTTTTTATAGGAAACCTGAAACAGCAATTCTCGGTTATTCAATATTATTTTTAAATGCAATCGCTTATAATTGTATGTTTCCTGATAAAGATAAAAAATAAACGTGATACGTAATAAGAAGTAAAAGTAAAATTAACTAAATACCTACTATAATATCCAAATTAAATATAATACTATAACCCAAACTTCAACTTACAATGTTCATCTGAACCCAAGTCTGAACCATGGATTGACTAACCTTTGAATAACCATACAAACCAGTTACATCCACCTTCGTTTCTTCACATTCCTCCGGTTGTACCACTTCTGTCGCCAATAGTACCAGAAACCACCAAAGCATAGCCATAAGAACAACACGTTATGTCACTCACCATTCCAGAAGTGAATTGTTCGAAATTAAAATTTGGGAAAATGTAGTCCTCAAAATTTGAATATTATAATCCAATAACTCAAAAAAATTTTAATTTTTTTAAAACCGACTCAACTGGCTGGCCAAATCATTTGATCAAGGTCGTACATGTAAAGCAATGTACGAAGCTACAATACGAATCGTTTCAAACAACAATCAAACGTAAAAGAATCGACGTCGATTTGACAAACTTCAATGTTTTTTCAAGAACATCGCAAAAAGTTTATTTTACAAAGTCACAATTTATAGCCCTGGCTCAAAGCGTGAATTCAAGTTTATTTTTACCTTGTAAACAACGTTTTTCTATTTTTACTTCATTATTTGTACAGATAATATAAATTGCTATGGATAACATAAATTATATGTGAAATATATGTGACATAATTTACTTTATCATAAAATCGTGTTTACTATCGCTTTCAACGATTTCAGGAAATAAAATTTATCACCATCTATCACATCTAACTCTATCCTGAAGCTTCGATCGTATTATTGTTAGCTACTCTCTTTCTGAAGCTTTCCTGATTCCGTTCCGAACATATTTGACTTTTCAGTTATTACTAAACAAATATTTATTTGTTTTAGAAGATGTTACACATCACAAACATTTGCTTGAACCTTTGAACTAACACAATGTTTTTCATTTCGAACTGTTCCGATATTGTACTTGGTTTTTAGCTTAAAAGCTACTCTCTGCCCTTGAATAGTTTTAGAAGCTGTATTTTAGTTAATTTTAGATATTACATAAAAATTTTACACTAGAATTTAAACAAAAACTTCGAGTTTGAAGGAAAGGATGTGTTTTCATCGAATAAGACGAAAATAACTATGATGACATATTTTCTAGACGAAAACGTGGCATATTTTCTGGATTTCTTGATTTCGTGACGAAATTGTGTTTGAATTTCGTTTTCATAATTGAAGAATGTTTTATTACATTTAAAGCTCTTTTTTATTATTTTTTTACACATTTGACTCTTGATTATTCAATGAATTGTAATATTTAAATGTTATGTTTGTTTCAGCAAGCTCCAAGTTGTTGTAAACGTCAGAACAACGGCCACAATCAACGGGAAATGCAGATGTACACTGTCGTCGTCTTGAGTTGCACGCTGTTTTTGCTTGGAGAAGCTGCTTGGGAATGTGGATCTGAAAACGATGGATATGGTGGATTATCAAAGGGCTCGTCTCAGTTCTTCGTTCAAGTAAATTGTCCACAACTGTTGGGTAAGGAGTTTATTGATACTTCTGGGTTTTTAGGTAACAAGATGTGTTGTTATATAGTTTTGCGGAAACAAGTTATGTTATTACTCGGTGTTTGATCAATATTGTTCTTGTTGTTTTAAAGCTGGAAATGAAAAATTTTTATTATAGTTAATACTTTTCAGATGGGATCAACAACTGTTGTGTTGTACATGATGACTGTTATGAGAAGCAACTCGGACAAAAGAGCTGCGATGAAACCTTCTGTAAATGCTCAAAGGTAAGTTATTTGATTTTGATGCCTTATTCTTTATTTTTTACGTTTCAAAAAGAAAAAACTTATTATTGTAACCGCAGGGCATCCGGTTGTCTGATTATTGTGTTCACAAGGCTACTTTATGATTGAACTACTAATTTATAAGCGAATAAGCTGTATAATTTTTTAATTTGGTGTTTGAGTCAAATAATGTTGTTACAGGCGGCAGTAAAGAATCATCCACGATGCAGAAAGCTGCGTGATGTTTTATGCAAGGCTGTTCAAGAACATGGAGCTATTGCTTACGCTGCAAGGTAGGTATTTTTAAATAAAAGATAATGTGTTTTTTTCACTTGTTATACATTCAGTGTTTTACTGTTTTTTAAAATATTTTTAAAAATATAAAAACAATTTTGCAAATTTTGATAGACCAATACTGTAATAACAATAAGGTCATACAGTGTTCCACATTTAAAATTTTACAGCGGCCGAAAATGAACAAAACATGAATTATGGCATTAGGTCAACAAATTTCTAACCTTCATTCCAGCATATTATGGTAAAAATATGTAAATAAGCGGCATTTTGTAACTGTTTTTATATAGATATATGTTTAACATACTTTTAATACTTCCAGTTTTTTAAATTTAACTTTATATAGTCTATGTCGATTATTTGAAATAAATTATTTTGCTTGTTTTATAGTCAGAACTGTCATTTATACATTTTTTCTTTGAAATTTAATGTTAACTAACAGTATTGCATCGCATTTAGACAATTTTACTATCAAAAACTTTAATTTTTATTACGTACTAAATTTTACATAATATCTTTATAAAATAATAGTCATAATAGATAGCATTTATTAAAATAAAATATTTGGACAAAATCGGGATATACGGTTATCAATTTACCCTACAGTTTGATTATTTTGTTCAATATTGTTCTAAAGATAATGCTCTAGAGTGGTGGTTAGAACAAAAAAAAACAATAAAAGATGATGTACAACAAGACCAGTATACAGCTAATTTCATTTCAATCTGGTTTTCCCGGGAGAAGAATAGAAAACATAAAGGTAGTGTGCAAAGTTATCATAAAAGTTCGTCCGTTTTGAACGAAAGAATAAAACAACTGCACCTTTACGGTACCACACACTTTGTACGGTACCAAACGAAGAGAAAGTAACAAAAAAAAACTATTGAAAGAAGAAAAAAGCCGATTAAAAGTGGTTCCAGTCGAGGGCGCTATTGCGTATGTTGATCTCGTACTGGTTGATCACTTCTTCGGCCACTTCTTGATGTAGCCATAGGCGTTGGAGACGTTTGTACAGTTCGGTGCTCAAGAATAGGGGGTTTCCTCGTCTAAAACAATATATGTTTAAACTGAAGAAAGAAAAAATTGAAGTTTACTGGATAATAAACTACATATAATATTTTTATAGTAATATAATAGAAAACAGGGTAAAAAACCTTTCATATCAACTCCAAAAAATATAAAAACCCGTATCTTAATAATTTCTGTAATAAAAAAGGATAAACAATACTCACCTGAATCCCCAATCTGTTTCCCCGAACTGATCCACGTATGGTGCACTTTTGATGCATCCTCGCTTAGAGGCGGTCAAGAAGATGACCTGACACTCGCGGATTCTCAAAAAGATTCCGGTTTTGCCGCTACAGTAGTACATGTGATATGTGCACGATCCCACTTGTTCGCCTTTGATGTTGCGTTGACAACAATAAGATTGGGAACAGAGGAGGTCTCCACAGACCAGACACATCGTTACCACCGCTCCACACATTCCATCGGTCTTTACACTAGGGCAACGGTATTGGGCGGCCATGTTGACGAGATCTGTGTAGTCGTGAGGGAGTTCGACCAATGTTCTTGGCTTCAGAGGACGGTCGACTTTGGTCAGGGCTTGAGGAAGGCGGGTGTAGGAGGACCAGCTAGAATAGATTAAGTTTATTGTAACATATACGTTTATAGTTGCTCTACGAAGAAGCGAAGAACATCAATTACACGTCTATATTAAGGATATACTGCAAATCAAGTCTTTTAATTTGGAAAGCTACTTACAGTTTAAACAATCGTTCCACGTGCTCTCCCTTCAAGATCTGAAGCAAGCCCACAGGCATATCTAGGTATCTACATAAAGCCTCGAACTCATCCATCGATGCGTATTTCAGCACATCTGGAGGCGGAACCAACGTCAATGCATTGTAGAACATTGCAATCGGCTTCAAGAATTCCACCGTGCATCGCTTCACGTTCTCCCTCAGCCGATCCAATTCGATTTTTTCTGATTTCTCTGGTTTGACTAACTCCACCAACTTCTTCAAGCACTCCTCAACTTCTTCATTCGACTTCTGATGCTCTTGGTTCAACTCCATTGAGTCTGCTGTCGCTTGATCTTGTAGCTGGATTCTGCTCACATCGTCACTGATCGAGCGGCTAGAGTTGTGGATTCCAGATTGGTCGTTGTCGACAAAGCAAACAATCGCCTGGTAGATATGGCCGAGTAGGCAGAGTTGTACGCAATGGTACTCGTCTACACTGCCGTCCGGTACCCGTGGTGGTCCTTCTTCGACTTTGCCAATGTTGTGAAGGAACTGTTTGCCTCCTTTCACGACAGACCAGCCACTCAGCATGGCCAATTCGATGGCCATACTGATCATGTCGACGTTGATGATGTTGATGTCTACGAACGGATTCTGGATAGACTCGGTGGATGATTGGTACGGTGGAGTCGAGGATTCTGGTTCGAACAACGACTGACTGGTCGATGGTCCTGGCGAAGCTGGCGCGGTTGAAGACTGGGATTCTGGTTGTTCGGAGCGCTGCTTCTGGTGGTCAGGTTGATGCCAACGGAGAGGGTTGGCTCGAATCTGCAACTACAACATACACAGTGTTTTACTGATTATGTTATCTGACTTACAGAATGCCAAAGCGATTGAAAAAAATACAATAAATAGAAGTCACCAACAGTAAAAAAAGAAAAATTATACGAGACTAAAAGAATAACCAATATAAATCACACTTACAAAGCTATTCAAATGTTTTCGGATCTCCACAATGTTATTCAAGGTCTTGGCCGTGTACAACTGAGATGGTACCGGTCTACTGGCACTCAGAGGAATCAAGAACGGTGTCAGAAGACGACTCATCAGAAGTCTCAGAGCGATGGGTTTTGCGGTGAATGCCGAAACGGCACAAAGACGGACCATTCCGTTGATGGAATCGAGTTGTCGAGTGTTCAGTGCCCCAAACAAGGCCTTCTTTTCGGCTTGAAGAATGGCACAGATCGCTCTCAAGACGTAGCCCATGGTGGTGTAGATGGTGATCAAGTCGACGATGCCGTCGGCGTCTTGTGGGGTTGGTGGCATACCCACTGGAAGCTTTGTGTGGCGGTCTCGAAGGGACGAGAAGAACGGTGATAATGTTCCCCAGGCAGAGTAGTTGGTTTGCCTAAAGAAATGTGAACATATTAATAATGACATCAAATCTACCTACTGATTTACAAAAAAAATTGTAAATATTTCTACAATAACATCTTCAACAATACAAGGGAGCTTCAATATGAACTTACATTTTCTTTGCATCCATTTTGCCCAAGAACCCTTTGATCGTATCCAAAGTTTCGTGCAAGAACGTTGTCAACGTGTCGGTCGACCTCAACGTGCTGTTACTCAACGTATCCGTGGTCGATGTTGATGTAGACAGATTCCTCGACGAAACACTCGTATTCTCGGTGGATGAAGATAATGAAGTGCTCAGGGAACTGATGGCAAAAGGTACACACGAAGTGCTGTTGTTACCTTCCTTCGCCTGATCTTTGCGGATGTCAGCCAGTGATCGTTCCGAATGGGAACGTTTTCTTGAATGTGATTTGACTGGGTTGTCTCCATTACTGGCTGAGTAGACTTGTTGAGTACAGAGTTCTCGCATTCGCTGGATCCAGTCTGGGAATTCTTCGTGAGGATTCTTTCGATTTTCCGAGAATCTAAAACGATACCCAAGATAATATTGTCTGGATAAATATTCATATTTTTAAAGGCACTGCTTCATTTTATAAACATTATGTATTTCCACTTTTTACATTTTGTGACCTTATTTTTCCCATTTTTCTTCATAAAACACAAAAAAAATTAAACTCAACTCATAAAAGCCTTCTAAAACTTACGGCACAACACCCTTCAGCTGTTCCAACGTTGGCAAAAGTGGCATGGCACAATTACACAGTCGTTTACATAAAGGGCAATTGTATTCGTTTCGTTCTGTATCCAGAATCCGAGGCGACATTGCTTGAGTTCGGTTTCTTTGGCGATCGTTGGCTTTCATCACACTCATTAAGGACTTGTAGCACGAGAAATGCATCGTATGTGCACAGGTGGAGATGTGGTTTCCGTAGTACAGGTCGGACGGAGCATAATGAAGGTAGTCTTCGGTTCGATTGATGTCGTCCTGAAAAATTTATTTTTTCGGAAAACAGTATCTATGGGCGAGGAAACTCCCAGAATTTTTTTTTGGGAGAACAGACCTGTCTAAAACAATATAACCAAAATTCATGACCATTAGCAAGTTCTTACCTCAACTTTAGTTTGAGCGAACAACCTAGTACTCTCGATGTAAGCCGCACATACTACACCAGTATCAAACGACAGAATCTCCTCTTCTTGACACAGGATACAAGTAATTCTACGCTGTGCCTTTTGTTGAGCATGAAGTCGGTTTGGACCTAGACATACTGGGAATCCGGCGTCTGGAGGTAGAATCCCGGTTTCTGGTTCATCATCGTAGTCCAGGCTTCTTTGACCGTCAACTTCCATTGGCTCTTCTTGGCTTTGTGACGAAGTGGTGGGTTGGTCTTGTCCACCTCTTTTCTTGTTTGGTTCTTCTTCGAAGAAATCTTGATGTTGGGTTCGGAAGTTTTGTTGGAGCTTCTTCATTCGTTCCAATGCCTAAAACAATAACTTAAAATTTTACAAACATCCAACAATAATTAACTAAAAACTATTAGTATCTTTATAGTATATTAACATATACATAAAAATATCCGATTACCACATAGATACGACATCTACAAGAACATCAACCTACCATTTCCCTTTTCTGCTTAGCAATCCTCGCCCTTTTCACAGCCTTATTTTCTGAATCGTCGCTCTGTTCGTCCAACTTCTCCTGATTCTTGGGATCGTCTTGTTCTCCTTTCCATACCTTCAACGCTTCTTCGTACTTGGTCTTCGTCCACCACCACAAATCTCCGTAGCCGTTCTTTTCGGCACGTTGTTGACATTTCTTTAAATTTTCCAGCAGGTTTTGCGCTTCGGCGTTCTCGATGAATGCAAATCGTTCTGGTACTGTTCTTTGTTCATTTTGAGCTGATTTTCGGTCGGCTTCGTTCAGGAGTTGCTCGTTTATCGCTGCTCCACAAAGGAAGAGGGCACGGTGGATTAGGCCATCGCTGGAGAAGCGAGATTGCTTGGCGTAGCGTTCGAATGTGACCCGTAAGAGTTGGCTGAGTAATCTGAAAGAGAAAACAGTTTAAATTATAGTAAAATATTCCTGAATCAAGAAAGGTAATAATATTTTTATATTAATATATATTACAGTGAAAACTTCCTTTTTTAGGAAAAAACCTTCTTTTTAACCAAACACTCACTTGCACTCTAACAACTTGATGATAGGTTGATAAAACGGTTCGAAACTGGGGCACAATGGAGGTGGACAGGCCTTGATCTCTCGACTCTCCGAAGATCGATCCTTCTTCTGTTGTTGTTCAGCTTGACTGATGTTGACACGAGAATAGTGCCAGAAGAAAGCGTTGTATTGAGTACGTAAGCTTGGCTTCAGAGCAAAAACACCAGTCGATTGGCCTGGTCTTCTGAAGTCGCCGACTTCTCTCACAATCTCATCCAATGACAACTTGACATAGCTCTCGTTACCTTGGAGGAAACGCTCAATATGACTGAATGGGCATGGTCCCATTGACAATAAGTGGATGATTTCTCGTTTTAGAGTTTCTTCGACATTGACCTAAAGAATTTTTGGTTATATATAGGTAGTTGAATTATGTATCGTTCTTAATTATGATTTTTGTAGTAAACTTATAATAATATGATATCACAATTATCCAAACTGCGCTTTTTAATAACCCTTGAACGTATTTTACCTTTCCAACTCCCTTCTGATACCGTTCCATGACAACATATATCAAGATTTGGAAGAACTCCTCGGCCAACGTTACAGTAATCTTCGATAAGTCGTCGAAAGATGCTGCTGGAGTTGAGGGTGTGTTCTCGAGTGACTGACTCAAACCCATATCTTCGAATCCAAACGTAGCAAACCGGACCAACGAAAATCTGTCCAACATTCGAATCAAGAACTTGTTTGGGTCTGTTACGGCCGCCATTGCCTAAAGCAACACAATTTTTAATCGGAAAATGTAATCTTATCTACAATTCTAACTAAATAATTTTAAATTTTAAAGCTTGCTTAGATAAAAACTTATTTGAAGCATAAGAACGTCACGGTCAAACATTTCACATCGATAAATCTGTTGCATATACGAGTGAATTTGATTGGCCAATGAAAATCCATTCCGTCGCCATAGTTGGGCATTTACTTGGGCTCGCAATACGATACACCTTAAATATTTTGACCGTTAAAACAATATAAACCGAACACAAAGCTATATACCATCAGGTATACAAAAAACCCAAAATAACGACAAAACTTCGATAAAAACATTGATACCTTAAAGGCATTTCCATCAAAATCGTCCTGAACCCCTTCAACGATCTTTTTGAAGGTTTGTCATGTGGTTTCCACTTTGTTGGACTGACATTGTCAGTAACCTTCGGAGTATTAAAGTCCGGATGTGATGGATCGTCATCACACACAACATTCTTTATGATCTCCGGAGGTGCTGTAAATAGTGCTGCACAATACCTCCACAGTGGTTGCCAGATAGAGATGGGCTCTTTTGAGACGTCAAACTCGATACTCATGGCTTCTAGATCATTCACCTTGACCAAACGACGTTTCTCTTGAAATTCGGTCATCTTCTCGGCTTGATGAAGGATTTCTTGGATACAGCGAGTCAGAAGGTTGATATGGACTTCTTCGTTCACTACACTCCACCTGATGATATCGTGAAGCGCTTCTTGGATTCTGTACCATGAAGAGAAGGCGGTTTCCCACTCAGCATCAGTAGCTTGGTGCTCACTGTACTGTCTCTTGACTTCATCCATGTGTTGGAAGTTCCTGATCAATCGCATAAATTCTGTAGCGCCACGAAGGAAGGCTTCACTCATATCTTCATCCCATTCCTCCGGCTTCGGGACTGATGACAGAAGGTAACTAACGTCAGACATTGCAATTAAAGCACGTTCAAGAACGGTGGGCGTGGAGTTGTTGGTAAAGTCGAGGACTGGGAGACCACGATGAGAGGTTTTGACATATTGTTTTAGGAAGTTGGACTGGTATTCGAGGATTATGCTTAAAGCGTTGTCTTCTTTGATCAAATGACGAGCAATCGTAGGAATGGTAAACACCTGGACCGTCATCGCAACTATACTGAATTTGTACTCGTGGTCATCATCAACATAGTCGTTGTAGATGTCCGAAAAGTGCTGAAACTTCAAAATTTGAAAACTTTTCATCGATAAATAATATAGAAAACCGGTAATATATAAAACATACTTCAAATAATGGTTTTATACAAAAAATATTGTGTATCATGCACTACTCAACGTACCTGAATGAACAATCGGCCAAAATTCTTTTTGTGTTTGAAATCCATCAACAGAGAAGTCATGAAGATCTGATGAATCGATATTCGAGCTTGTTTCCACAACTTTCTATCCATCAACATGAACCGAACACACGGTGACTTGTGGCTACATGATGGAGATATCAAATTCGTGTCAAAATCGATGGTTGGAATCAGTTTTTCGCGACAAAAATCAGCTGAATTGCGACAATCTTTCGAACATTCATGTAGGAGAACATTACCAATGATTGTGCCAATTGGAGCTAAAATCTTGGTTTTAATTTATATTTTATATAACTTTTCAACATTTTGGTTATAAAATAAACAGATCTATCCAACATAATATATCAGTCAGAATAAACAAAAACCTACTACAACATTATTTGATAGCGAACATATGCATATACATATTTGTACTTTACGACAACTTACCAAAGCACTTGACTTGAGAAGTGAGCCATTGAAGTAGATAAACAGCAAATGACTGACATGCTACGACTGAGCTCCTCATTACCTTTACCAATAAAGGACCCGACTTCTGAGTACGTCTACTGGAGTCTTTTTGTGTTCGACGACGAATACTGTCTTGGACCATGGTACAACTTTCTATTGACCCCACGGAAACAATAGTTCGACCTTCACGATCTACAATGGCAGCCAGTTTCTTGGCTTGATCTTCATCACAGTTTATCGACATTGTCAGGGCCCGTATTACCTAAATTAGCAAATTTAATCAGACTAACGATAAATAAAAAGTTTAAAAAATCTTTTTCATAAAAATTATAAAAGTTAAGATAACACTTCATTAACCTTTGCAAAATCATACCTAAAACCAACATAATAAAAGTTAAAACTTACACTGTCGTAAGTGTGTGTTTCATCATTGAACAATATCGTTTGATGCACATCATTGCCAATCTCCCGAAGACTAAAAATGAAAATAAGATTAAAAAATAGCCTTACTCAATAACAGTAGGCAAAAACAAATCATTGTTATCAACATCAGCCATTAAAACTTCTACAATGAACTTGAGACAGATCAGAACAAGGGAATGAAGTCTTGTGTGTAAATCCTTTGGAAGTTGTCTGAAATAACTTATTTTACCATAAAACTTGTGAACTTGATAAAAAGCTTACAAAACGTTTTTAAAAATCTAAAAAACAAAATTTTAAAAATTAATATTGGATATTAATCTACAAAAAAACATTATAATAACCATACTTGTCCAAGTTATCTTTTTCCTCTTGTGACGGTAAATGCAGTTTACAGACTGGGTCATTCAAAAACGCTTCTGGATCACCACAATCACAGTAGCCATTCCCGCTAGTCGGATGCATCTTGTACTTGTGATTCACATGTGCCGAGTTCTTGAAGCAATCGTAACACAACACACAAGTCGGATCATTCGCGCATTCTCTAAAAATTAAAATTTTAGGTATTAACCTTAATTTCAGACTATTAACTCCACCATTACGCTTTAATAAGGATATCAAACCAGATTTTAAATAGTCCTAGCTAGCTAAATAAGCTGTTTTAGATTAACATAATCAAGAGTTTTTAAGATTAAATCTGTGTAAAATACTTCTTATAACATTGGAAATTACGTACTTGCATGAATATGTCAATTCCCCGTATTTGAACATTCGGCCGCAGACTTGGCCTCTTGAAATAAGTGAATTCGTAGGCTTGAAGCCTGTGATCTCAGCCAGATGACCCAAAGTCACTTCTCCATTCACTTTTTTACATTTTGTATCTCCAGTTAAAGCCAATGCCAATGGATATATCAACAGCTCGTCTAAAGATACAACTTACTATTGCTAAATAAAAAATTTTTTCATTTTTAACATCTAAAACTATTATTGCACTTTATGCCATTTGAACAAAGCTTTCCTTTCAGAAAGTAATTGCTTAACAGCATGTTAATATGAAGCAAATTTTCGTATATTCTTCTTCTGTTCGTACCTAAAAACATAAAAATATAAAAAAAACTTACTGATCTTCTTTTCATCGTCAAGTCGTTCCCAAGGCTCTTTCGAATGAACCTTAAAACAATCTAGAACGTTTTTGGACCAAGTAGAGTACAACAACTGAGACACCCGACTCCATTCCTCAGCTTTTACAGCTTGATGTAACTCATCAGCTGCCATTATCGTCGCCCTCCGGCGACGTTTCAGCTGATTTGAAGGTGTGCGAGACAATTTGAAGTTTGAGGACACTGATCTTATAAAACTATGCTGGCCACTTAACACTAACAAACTTGCAACCTTTTCTTCCTGGAAAAAAGACAAATATTATACATACAAAGGTTTTTAAAAGGACTCAAATAGGAAAAGACTGACCGAAATATGTTTTAGAATATTAAAATAGCACTTATAAAAATAGCACAACTTATAACAATGCCTAAAACAAAGCTTTCCTTAACAAAACACAATGTTAACCTTGTTTTAGACCTTCTTTAAACCTGAAACTTTTAAAGTTTATGTTATTACAACCCAAAAAACCAAAACTGCCCGCATTTCAACGAAACTCCATTAAAACACGAAACTACATCATATTAGTGCTTATTGATTCGACGTTCATTTTTTCTTAACAATGTTTTTCGAGAAAAAAGACGAAGAACAAGAAAAATTGAAAAGAATCCAATAAAAACACAAAAACGTCTGTTCTATATCTTTAATAACATCAGTGTTACTTGAGCACTAAAATTTTAATAAGTGTAAATAATTTTACAAAATCTGCCACACTTTTTTTCTTTTTTCAACACTTTCAATCCCAACGAACCCTTCGCACCGCGGAGCGCGGTCTGCGTTGCCATTTTATGCGACAAAAGGTGTACTTTTTCGAAACCGAAATTCGTTAATATTGTTGTAAAACTTGAAAACAGTATTATTTTACTCAATCAAAAATATTTTTTAGTTTTTTTAAGTTAAACAAAACTAAAATTTAAACAATAATTTTGAGCAAAGTTTAAAAGTTTATAATAATGTATGTATCAACAAAAACTGCAAACAAATGAGACAGACTGAGAAACTGTTTTGTTTAAAGCTTAATATTAAACTGTTTTCAAATATATTTCACTGTTTTATAGTTTAATATCATTTAAAACTTAAGGCTTATTAACATTTTCCGGTATACCCCTATACGCCTTACATTACCATCTTTAAACAGTTCCTATGTAAATCCAGCACTATCAACATCTAATTAAAAAACTTTATAGTAGCCCCAATAACTCTCCAATCGTATTATCATCGTTTTTGAGTTGAAAGATTTACGAAATCAGAGTTTGTCACAACTTTTAATTATCCTCTCCTATAGCCCCACGTTTCGAATCATTCGCAAATCGTGTCCTCTCGGTTGAAGCCTCGAGGCCAAACACTTTGCAAAAAACAAGTCCGGTTCTCAGCTGATTTTCACAAACTCTTCGGGGAGAAAAGTTCGATGCCTCGAGGCTTTTGAGTGGAAAAAGAACTCTTTTTCGTACTTTTTTGGTGTTCGAAGAGTCAAAACAGGGGGGATAGTGGTGAATTTTGCGTTAATTAAGTGTGTTTTCTTTACCTACATTCTTGTAAAGTGTTGTAAAAGGTTTTTGTTTTAAAAGTCATTGGAAAAAGTGGAATAAAAAAGGAGAAATGTTGTTTTAGCTAGTAATTTCAAAGCTATTTTTAAAATAAAAATTAAAAGACGATTTCTGAGACCGTGAAGCAAGGTGTGCACTAGAAATTTACCCCCCGTTTTTATTTGCTAAATCTATGAGATAGACGGTTTTAAGGTATGTGGTAAAGTGATTTCGGACAAAATGCCGTTTTGGCACTTTTATGCCATTTTTTGTTAACATACTGTTAAAATATACCAAAAAATCAATAGTCAGCCAAATGTTCTGAAAATTTGTACACTTACGTTTTTGACCATGCCAAAAAATATTGTAATTGAAAATTTTTTTCTATCGGTACCGTAACCTACCGTAATCAAAATTTCACTATGGCTTTGCTAATGCACTGATAAGTCTAAAAATTTGCATGCTTACGTGTTTTACCATGCTGAACAACTTTGTAATATAATTTTCTCCCTGATGACCGGTCGATTATAAAAGTGCAATTTTCTAAAAATTTAACACGGTTGTCCTTAGTCAATTTTAGCATATTTAAAATCTAAATAAAAAGTAGATATCGATAGGCTTATAAGCTCATCTTTAAAACTGCCAATTTTGAGGATAATCGACAAGCCGGGTTACGGTAGGTTATGGTACTTTTAAAAAACGATTTTTTATTACGAAGTTGTTTAGCATGGTCAAAAACATAACCATGCACAGTTTCAAAGCGTTCGATGCATTATTGGAGTTTTAAAAAAAAATTTATTGTTTGCACGGTCTGCTACCGTAATTTTTCAGTCGACCAAAAACTCCCAATACCCATCGGACTAGAAACGGGGGTATAGACTATGCTGCTCCAAATTTCATGGAGATTTTAAATATACAAAAATTGCCTATGAGGATCCGTGTTAACTTTTTAGATATTTGCACTTTTATAATAAACCGGTCGGATTACGGTAGGTTACGGTACCGATAGAAAGAAATTTTCAATTACAATATTTTTTGGCATAGTCAAAAACGTAAGTGTACAAATTTTCAGAACATTTGGCGGACTATTCATTTTTTGGTATTTTTTAACAGTATGTTAACAAAAAATGGCATAAAAGTGCCAAAACGGCATTTTGTCCGAAATCACTTTACCACATACCTTAAAACCGTCTATCTCATAGATTTAGCAAATAAAAACAGGGGGTAAATTTCTAGTGCACATGCCTGTTACAGATGCTTCATGGTCTCAGAAAGTCTCTTTTAACTTCTTTGTTTTTATTCCAAGAATGGTAACATGACGCTATGGTAATACCATATCACACGATCTTAGCATTAAGATAAACCTTGTTACAGAGCTTTAAACAGTCATATTTTCAAGCTTTAGCCAAAATAATTTCAAAAAATCCAATATAAACCCTAAAATCCCATTAAAACGTCTGTTCTACACATTTTTTGCCCGACATAAATTAGCAATTACTTTACTAAGGTAGCACATCATTTATTTATCCGTATCTCTCTACAATACACTGTTATGGCATACAACTATAAAGAGATGTCAGACGCGATATAATCTTATACTTGAGTTTAGATATGAGGCAAGAGACGAAATAATTTGTGGCAAAAAGGTTTATGCAAATTAAGGTTAGGAAAACAAAATATTGTCGTGAGACCCGTTACTCTATTGTTACCAAAAAAGAATGTATTCATTGTCTACAGTAATAGGATGTAAGATGATTATATATATTTTATGCTACTGTAACTACTGATAAGGCAGCTAAAACACAAATTTATTGGAATAGATGTTATGAAAATGCAAAATTAAAAAAATGAAAAAAGGCTGTTTTTAAAAATTTGCCAATTAAAAAACACAGTGACCAAAGCTACAGTAATATTTAAAATACTGTAACCCACTGTTACAGTAAGAGCAACCCAGAATTAGAAAAGTGTAAAACTGAGAACACAGCACCATACAAATCCGTGGATGATACTAGAAGTAGCACCACATAGTACTAAAAGAAGCACCATATAGTACCAAAAGTAGTGCCAGTCAAAAAAGTATCTTATAGCACCAAAGATAGTACTAACAGTCCCATATAGTAGGAAAGAGGCACCCTTAGTAGCAGCAGATGCATCGGATCAAGTTGACAAAGATCGACAAGATGATCAGTACCACCATGATGGCAATCAATAGCACGGCCCAATCTTGGAGTCGGAAGCAGCAAGCAGAGTTCATCTCACCACAACACTTGAAGTAGTACAACGGGTTGGACTCGGGACATTGGCCTCCAACAACGGGTAAGGGACATCCGAGTGGAGATTCTCTGAAAACATCAGTTATTATTTCGTATATTACTCATTATACTATAACAAAAGCGAATATTGATATATGGTACAAAAAATATTATTCATTTTTTAGTGTAATTAGAGAATTTTTTAACAAAATCAAACCAAAGCTACATTTTTAATACACATTAGATACCCAAAAACACAATAAAGGCCCAAATATAGTCATAAGCAACCCGTATATATTACAAAGAACTTACTGCAACTTGGTAACATCCATCTTCTTGATCTCTTCGATTAAATCGGCAGCTTGCACGGTTTGAACGTAAAGAACGGCGAACACCGTAAACAATGTCAAGAACTTGAACATCTTGGATTTGTGGCGAAAGAACGTGCTCTGAAATTATTTTAGGTAACGCTTGTCCATCAACAAGGTAATGCAAAAGCAGCCACGGATATCATAGTAAACACGTATATTATTAAAAAAATATAAGCCATAAAATGTAAATTTGTGCCATAACCAAAAAAACTATAAATCAAAATATAAAGATTACGCTTAACTACGTCAATATCAATATAACACCATTATCTACCTCAACATAACATTATCCAGACCTTCAAAACAATAAAAACAGTAACTAATTTACCAGTAAAACTTTTTCCATTTAGAAAAGTGAGTAAGAGGTAAGGAAAACACCTTTAATTATGTTAACCATGAGACTCATGACTCATTTTTTTCAAATCTCTCCCTCAACTTCGACCCAAACCGGAAAATGGGTAGACGTCGGAGAAATCAATTTGTCAAAGGCGGATCTGCTCGCATAAAAGGGATCGTGGTTCGCATAAAAGGGATCAGATTGTGTTTGAAACAAGCTGATCATAAGCATGAACCTGGTTTTCTCACCAAAGGTCCCAGATTTTTGAGTTTTAAACTTGAAAAACTGTTGGAAATTAAAACTATAGATATAGTAAATGATTAAAAGTTTGTCTAAAATATCTAATGAAGATCTAGCTGACTCACGATAACCATAAAATCATAAAACAACCATGATTTTTGCCAGAAATTGCCTCAAAAGCAAAGAAAAACCTCGCGCACTCCACAAAACCAATTGTGACACTTCGTCGTTTTTGCCTAATAAATTATAATTTGAATTGTAGTTAAACTAAAAAGCAAAAACCCTTCTTTATGTGCAAAGGAAAGTTAAACAAGCCCGTATTAGACAAGTTTTATTCAAGTTGTGATTAGTTTCCTGCTGTGTAAGCATGATAAATCATATTACAGAAGAAAGGAGAACATAAAACTGGGTGTGCGCGGAAGACGATTGATGGAATCTTCAGTTTTGTTTGTTTTTGCTTTAAATTTCATTGTAAAGTGGTAACGAGTAGCGTTTTAATTGCACTGTAAAGAATTTTCGACAACAATCAAGATTAAAGTTTGAAAAAAATGGGGATGGAGATGTTATTTTTGATTTTTGGTAAGAAAAAACGATTTAAAAAGTAAGACAATAGCTAGTCAATGATAATACAAGCAACAATTGGACGTTATATATAAAATTTTTAGTAAAAATACCACTTTAAGACACATTTTTTAGGCATCTTCCCTCTTAAAATGGCTTCAAAACGCTCTGTAAGCCTATGTTCCGCCAAAAATTCGCCCATTCATCGACCCATAAAGTGAAAAGTTTGATGAAACAGGTAGTTAAAAGCTAATTAACCCCGCATTAACCAATGGAATTCGAGAAAAAAACGATTTTAACTGCAAAAAACGGCATTAAATCGCCAAACGCCTAGATTTCGAAGAGAAAACTGGGTAGGAGAAGATGGGGCTGAAAACGCGCAAAAAACGACGCCGAATCGAAAAACAGGTAATTGTATTATATCATTCTAATGTTTACACTAATCTAATCATATCATCGCGGATCTGTGGCTGAGTCTACAGTATTTATTTTGAAACGACGTGTTGTAGTGGAACATTGTGACATATAATAACATTATAAATCACAAAATATATTTAAAAAACGATTTTTATATATTCTTAAAATACATTCTTCGCTACACATTTCGTCTCGTGAAAACCGAGACAATGAATCTCATGTTCTTTTAGTAAACCTAGAACTTTTCCTTCAAAATCCTTACCAAAAGCTCAATAACAACTTCGATCAACCTATAAAATCATAGAATAAGATCACAAGTTTATAAGTAAAGAACGTCGCAGTAATATAAAGACTCGTTTCTGAGTATTTAGTCTAAAAAACGTTCGAACCTTTTTAGATCAAGAAAAAAAAAGTTTGAAAAGTGCGTTTGATGGACGAACGCATCGTATGTTCCGCGCAATAACACAGACATACGAGTCGCTCTTTCATTGTTACTAGTCCAAAATATGGATCGCGCAACCTTGGCGTTTTGGTAAAGCATTACTTTTAGAGCATTTGAATAAGCAAGTTTGGTTTTGCAAAGGTTTTGTAGGTCAAAAAGTTTGTGGAATAGGTAGTAAGCAAAAGTACATGGTGAAACGTCTTCCTTTGTTTAAAAAAAAAGATAGGTCAACAAGTTTATAGAAAATTTCATTGAGAAAAAATAAGTAGTAATCAATCAAAAAATAACTAGAATCAGCGTCCTATTTCTCCCTTTACTTTCTACTTTCTATCTTTGTTTTTTACCTTACCGCGGTATTAAAAAATAAAATTTTTATAAAGACCTCTGTAGTTAATCCCCTAAAATCTCATAATTTCATGCGACTCTATGAAGCCCACCATAAATAGAGACTACAACTGAGGGTATGGGAAAATGAGGATGAGTGCGGTGGGAGAAAAGGCGGTCGAATTAAGGGCATGAACCTTAAAAGGTTAATGGCAAAGTTCATTCTTTAAAGTTTATAAACCTATTCTGAGGTTTATTATGTTTTTAAAAATTAGTAGCCGGAGGTGAAAAGCGGTCAATAGCTTTGACAGTAGTGCTACAAGAGCTTAAAGAATTCTTGATAAGGTATTTCTTATAATTTTTAGTTAAAAACCTTAATTTTTTTAAACAACAAAAAAACCATGCTAAAGACCTCATTTGTACAAAAAACAGCGACGCTGGCGAGTTTTTGTCAAAAGACTCAATAAACTTTCATCTTGCCCGGTAAAACGGCGCAAAGTCAATACCCGATGACCTTCTACGAATCAAGTGTCCTTTGTTGCGCGACGTAGAATACTTTTATCATGAGCTAAACGAAGCCAATTAGGTTAGCAACTAGTTGGGTACAAGGTAACGGTCTGATGCTTGTTAATTTGGAGGTATAGCCTTGTTATTTATGGCTAGATTAGGTTAGAAGAATAATTTTTATAAGAAATATTGAATTTGAAATTTAAGACCGTGAAAAGTTTTAGAATTTAAAAAAAAATAAAAAACTCAAAGAAAAAATTGAAAATTGCGCTTTTTATTTAACAAAAATCTCGTTGTTGAGCTAGCTAATACTTTAAAATGCATCAATATGGCTTCAGAGTCAAAGATAAACTAAATCGCTTACTATTACTATATTTCCCTTACCACCTCATATCCTTATCCCTACCAGTCTAAAACAAAAAGCCATCCATACCTACCGTACCGTACCCTTATTTCTACCCCTACCCCAAAACATAACCTTCAATCTTCGAGATCGAATATTGAAATTGATAGCCCAGTAGGACTTAATAAAAAAACGCCCGAGCCCCAAAAGTCCTTAAATAGCCGAAGGCATCGGTTTTCCTGCCATTCTGGCGCAACATGTCCTCCTCCTCGTCTTCATTTTCTGACAATGAAACTCCAATTTTTTACGTTTCCATTTGTCATGCAATGCGCAAAGGGAACGTTGTCTCAAATTTAAAACTATATGACAGCTTGGCATAGTGCAGAAGCTATAATATATGTGGGGTTGTTATAATGGTAAAGTAACGTCGGAGCAGAGTTTTTGAAAAAGACATAATAAAAATGCTTTGGGACTAAAAATGATTACTAAAAAGCCATTTTTGGTGATTTAGTGTTAAATTATATCTATAAAAGTGTTTACATGACATAATTTTTAATACGAACCCTTAAAAACATTGAACAAGAATTCTCATTTTAAAACAAAAACTATACTAGAACACCGGCTTCCAGTTTCGACCAATCTATTGTAAACTAAAAGGCATAAAGAGGCCTGAATATGAATAACCACATACTATTACAAATCGCATTAATCATTCCGAAAAGTTTAAATTTTTTTTTAAATTTGCGGCCATAAATTTCAAAAAAATTAAATTGCAAAAAATTGAAAAAGTTTAAAAAGTTTATGGCCTATCAAAGAGATATTATATTTGACATGGAACATAGTATTCGAATCATAAAAACAAATGTTCCTTTTGTTTTTAGGAAAGGGGAGGAGTGAGTTCATTTGCGAGAAAGTAAGACGCATAGAGAGGCGGTAGGAGAAAGAGAGAGTAGGAAGAAATAAGAGAGTAAAAGAAAGAGAGAGAAAGAAGGAGAAATATAATAGAGAGTTAGAGAAAGAAGGAGGAAATGAGATTAACAAATGTTTATATGCAAATGCACTTAATGCAACTCGCATTTCTTTGAAGACGTAGATTGATCGCGATTAACACAACGGCATTTTAGTGGCGACTCTTTGTTTTATAAGCAGTGGGACGGTTATTTATGATGAGCTATGATCAATTGCAATATAATATATGAATTTTTAACAAAATTTCAAAACTTCATTTTAAAATGGCAGTAAAACATCAAGAAATTTAAAAACTTGGTTTAAATCTAAAAAAATTTTTAATTCGATTTTTTTTTCGCTCAAAGAAGCCTGGACCACTATTCCAAAAACCCGCCAAATTCAAACGCTTTTCAAAATTAAAAAATTAAAAATGCAAAATTGTATTAGAAGCCTATACCCCAATATATCCCGCCAGTCCAGTTCGAAACGAATGCAAAAACAGAATATTATTGAGAAGTAAAGGTCGTAAGGAAAGGTCGTCTCCATAGGTAACAATAACACTTTTTAACGTGGTAAAAACTTGAAAAGCCATAAAAACTCTCACAGAACATAACAAGTAGTGACATTCCTTAACTACTACTGCCTTGACTCTTTTCACTACCGTACTTTGTTTCTTTAACGAGTTTAAAAGGTTAAAGCTTTCTGTTTAGCTATTCAAATATCAAGGTTTATCTGATACAACATAAATTTTAAGGTAAATTTACATTACTCTTACTAAAAACTAGACTAAAAATAAAACTTTTTAAGCCTAAATAATTAAAGATTACATCGGCAAGCATTATACGTTAAAAAGTAACTCTTGTGTAAGTAAAAAGTTCACATAACAATCGATTAAAGAAACAATTAATGGCAATTTTCTCGGGCCTTTGAACGCACTCGAAATTCAGCAAACGCATAATTAATGACCTCAAGCTTCCTTTGACACAAGTAATTTATATTTTTTCTGTGAGGGCTTCTGATCAACCTCAACTTTTTATACCGAAACAATCTCAACCAGGGGCTAAGATTTGGGTATCTCGTCGATTTCATTTTGGCGTTTTGCCGTTGTGACAAGAAAAAAAATTTTTTTTTGGCCTTTTTGGCTGGCCAAAAAAATTTTTAAAAAACAAAAACTATTTTTTGGCCAAATTTTTTGATATAATATTCAGTTATTTTTGAAAAAATTATTAAAAAATATTAGTTTTTTTAATTTTAAAGGTACATCTTTTAAACACATAAGAACATTGAGCGTACTGTAAATCGCTAGCCAAGGTCATTTAGCATAGTTTAAAAATAATTTTCCTGCTAACTTTTTACACTCTTTCATCCTATATGTGTCTCGTTCTAAAAGCCGAGGGATATTAGGTGCAACTTCCTCGTTGGTTCAGAAAAAATGTCAAAGTACCATAAGCGGTCCCCTTGTTAAGTTTCATTATAATATCATATCCTCCAAGGTATAAAAATTTAAAAACTAATACATTAAAAACAAAAACTTTAATTTAAAGTTTATTTAAAAACGTAAATACATTCTGCTTGAGAGTCAAGCTCGGACTACAACTTTAAAGGAATAAGAGAGTAATCTTGGAGATTTTTGAAGAATATATGGTAGAATAACATGTAAAAACGCATTTTACTCATGAAAAATTTCAAAACCAACTATAAATTTAAGACTATCACATACACGGACATACGTCAATGTCAGAATACAACTCGTAATATCGAAATTAACACAAACAACTGAATCGTGCTGCAATTACAACCTTGCACAATAAATAATGACCATAAAAAGATGAAGATAAACCGAAAATTGTACAGCAGTACTACTAGTTTGGCAAAAATTGTAAAAAGCATTAAAAAACTTGCAAAAATCTCAGGCCAAACTAGTACTCAATATCAAAAACTTCAAAACTCAATTTCAACAAGTCAATTGTCATCAAAATACCCTTAACAATCGTCATATTAAACTTGAAAATCAAAACTTTCGTACTGAAAATACCTTGAAAAACTGTAAATGCGTACCAGGTTATTCGAACACTTGATACGCGATACCACGGATTCCTTGTCGCTTCGTGTAGAAGACGTACGATCCCACCGCAATGCCCACTCCAAAGATGAAAGCGAACAAGCCCAAAATAAACATGGATCCTCCCGTGTATCCGTTATAGCTCGGTGGAGGGAAGGGGTGATCGTCGGCCGTCGATAACACTCCAAATCCGTTTACGGAAACAGTCTGAAACATTAATACAATATTTTCAAAACGCTCTACGTAAATTATATGTGTCGTTCTAAAACATTTATATCATTTTTAATTTTTAATAGTAGTTATAAGCTCACCTGAGTTTTATGATCGTCAGTAACAATATTCACATTAATTTGTTGAGTTTGAAGAGTACCATTTAACAAGTTTCTTACTTCAGTAACGTTCTTCTCAACCTGAAACCAATAAATGAACAATATCATCAACAATTCAATCCAATAATTAATTTTAAAATCAGCTAGCTCATAGTAAAACCATAAATACTTTCTGCTTTATAAACCTAAAGTATTGAATATACACTTGAATTTAAGCATAGATACACCAAAGATATCTCGAAACCTTTAAAATCAACCTTCCTATCCTACAACATCAATATCCCCCTCAACCAAAACTCACAATCAAATCGGTAGTGTTAGCCGGGTCCATAGGATTCTTTTCGCCCAACAAGAAGCCAGCCATCAGTTGAGTATTCAGTTGTTTCAGTAAGAATTGTGAGATCCTCAAGACAGAAATATTGGCTGTTTTTGAGATGGCTTCAGCCAACGCACTTTCCACGTTTTCGTAGCCAATCTTTTGCAAATCCGGCAATGACTTATTGACCAGCTTCAAGTAGAAAAAGTTGTCCGATTTGCCATCAGCAAGGCATGGGAATACAGTGTGTTTCGACCATGATGTGCCGATTAAAGTGTTGTTGCGGATTTGATTAAAGTAAATAATGCTTGTTTTGGTCTCATTCTTTTCGTTCTGATGATATTGTTTGATGGAATAAATCAAGTTTACTGAACCACCTTCCAACTTAAAGTCTTTGTTGTAGAACAAGTATTCCGCCGTAATGTTTTCCTTTGTGTCGTTATTGTATTTCTTGACCACATATTTGTCGTATGTCACTCCTTCTTGTATAACCTAAAATTTTAATTTTTATGATTAAATGTTTTTTATTTTTAAACTTATTAATTTAAATAATCATTTTATACACAACTATTAGGTTGTTCCAAAAATTCTGTGGCCTTTAACCCCAAAATATGTTTTAAAAGGAGGCGCACAATTATTTGAACAACCTAATACAAGGCCAAAACGTAAAAAATGACCTACATCTTCATCCTTATAAACATCTTTCTCGTCCTGATTAAAGAACACATCGTTCGGTTTCTTCAATCCAATTTTACCATCCTTCTCTTCGACGGATGCCCATTCCTTCTCAATAGCATTAACAGCTTTGCATGCTCTGCCATCCTTACTTAAAACATATTCAAAACCAGATTTAAAATCCAAAAAGATCTTCGCTTTCCCCAATGACTTGGAGGTTGTAGTATTCGAATTCTGAACATACGGAATGTCGCTGTCAGCGTTGAAATCTAAACCAAATGCCAAGATACGATTGTCTTCATCGTACATCAATTCAGCTGTGTTGATCAACTTGTTTTCTACATCAACATAAGTTAGATCAGCTTCGAATTTAGGGGGAAGACCAGCCGGTAGCTTGGCTGGGGTTGTGTTTTCGCAGAAAACGCCATCTGGAGTCTTCAGCATTGACTTTATTTCTGAATTGTCGATCTTCTTCAACACCAATATGGAGACGGTCAGGTCTTCTTTCACTTCTGGATTCACTGTGTCATTCACTACTGCAAGACAAAGTTTAAAAGTAAGCCGAGAATCAAAAATTAAACCCAAATAATATAGTCAAAATTTGATTTTAATATAAACTAACTCATCAAAACCTTACCAGAATAATTGTAGCTGATGAACTGAATATTCAAAGCTTGTGGCCATGAGTTTTCCACATCAAATGGTGGTTGAACAGTGTCTTCGCCAACAAAGTTCACTCTGATTTCGACTGCATCTCTCTTATCAGTACGATTCACACAGCCAAGCCATTTTACAGCAGGAAAGCCATCAACTTGAACCACTGCTGTGTCCTTCTGATTATTATACGGTGTTCCCAGAATACTTGAAACAATATCTTGAATATTGGTCAAGTTTTTGAAAACGTCAGCAAAGACTGCAGGGAAAGGGTAAATATCTTTGGCTACGTCCAAGTTTCCTCGAGAACACTTGGATTCTGAAAACAGTTGCTAGATACGTAACATAATATTATATATAATATAGGATGATAGGTTGAATAAACAGTCAATTAAATTTTAATTCCAAATAGAATTGTCGTAAAAACCTACTAGTAAATAATGTTGTAACATTATCCTTGATAATGTAATGTTGCACATCTTGGCCTTTCTGGGTCCTCTCAATATGCCTTACACCGTTAACAGCTCTTTCCGTAAATCGAATAGATGTGTTCGTATTTCGAGCCACAAATGTAACAACGGCCTGTAACGAAAACTTGAAAAGCCGTTTTTAAAAGATTCAGGACCTTCAATATGACTTAAACATCATTCATACTGAATGTACTGAAGAAACCATTAAACATAGACAAGTTCCCCTAAATCATAAAAACGAAGGTAAAATAATTACAGAATAATTGGCGGGAAGAGCCAAATTCTTGGGGAGATCTGTAGTCAACCATTGAGTTTTGTTGTTCAAGCATTCGATGTTAACAGCAGATATCAGCGGCAGAAGCGCCGCCAAGAGTAATATCCGCATCTGAAAACCAAATGTTAAAAAACTGAACGTAGAAAAATATTAAAGCTCGTATATAAATATGAGGACAGCTCAACATTGAAATCAATAGAGATTTCGTAAAACTCAAATAAACAAAGTTTAATATCATCCACAACATCAACTATTTTAAAGCCAATACACTTAGAAAATCCACTTTTGAATTAAAACTTTTAAAGTCAAACCCAAAATGTTAATCAACAGATTAGTGTATTAACACGTAAAACTCGATAAATTAATCGAAATGTAATAAAATAACCGAATTCTCTTGCGAGCGATTAGTCTATAACAATATCGACCCATTTTAAGTACACATTTCAAAAGAAACCAGGAAACAAATAGCTGAGTCAACACAAAGTTAACTTCTGAACGTTATTATCAGTGGGAAGATTGCTTCCAACGTAACATAGATAATAAACAATGCAAAAACAATGAATAATAATGTCCTCAGGGATCAATAATGAAACAGTTTGACTAAAAATGGTTGTAAAACATGTTATTATTTAAGTTACTGAAGATTTCGAAAATTTAATTTATTTTTATATAAACATTGTCATTGGACAAGAAATTGTTATGTGAAGTAATAGATAACATGCAAAGCAACAGTTAACTCAAAACAAATAGTTGTGTCAACTTTTGCTCACGTGTTTTTCTTTTTTGTTTTGGGCGCAAGCCGCGTAAAAAAATAAAAATATTTTTTCAAAAAAATTTGGAAAAATATTAAAGTGACGTTGATGTAAACAATAATATAAAGTAAATTATATATAGTAGGCTAATAGCTATTTTTTATTTTTTCTAAAATGGAATCAGTTTATTCGCGTATCGACAACGAATATTGTGAACAAACACAGTTGTTAGCATGGGAAGTTACGGCTGATTTGGAACGTGGAAAGTTTCTGCCTTTACTATATAACTGGACAACGAAAAAGTTTGGATGTTCAACGAATTTGGCTGTTTCTAGGTAAGGTGTCTGTTGATATTGATGGTTTTGAGTTTAGGAAGAGTAAAAACATTGCTGTGATAACGTCAGATGGAGAACTGAGCATTTTGTTCGTCAAGGATGGCAAACTGGTAGTCAAGAGTCAGGTTAGAGGTATGGTATTTTATTTATTTGAGCAGAAGAGATTGAAAAATAAATTAAAGATGTTAAATTTTAGTATTATTGGACCCATATCCAGAATTTCGACTTCTTGAGTTTAATACGGCCGAATCTCTCCTGTTTTCTACACGTTCTAATGCTGTTGTTGATGTGTTTGAGGCGAATGGAATGTTTTTGTATAAAATTTCATTAAATGAAGACAATTTGGCTGGATCGTCGTCTTCACAGATTGTAACACAAATACGAAGTCACAGCTTGGAGAACAATGCCCATTTCACTGATGATTTGTTTGCTTTGCAAATTGATGGCACACTAAATGGGTTCAGAGTTGGGTGAGTGTTATATCTTTTTTGGTTTTGTTTTTAGGTACCTAAATTTAAGTTCAGGATAGCTTCAGAGATGTACTTACTTTCAACTGTCAAGGAAAGTTTGTACATTTTTATAAAATATTTTTGGGTTTTTTTTCAGACACGATGGCTATCACAGAATGTTTAGTGTACCATTGGACGACCCTCCAGTTTGTAATTTTGTACATATACCAAAGTATCATCTTATCATAAGTTCTTCTGAATATCAACGACAGCTTCAAAGCGAGGAGGATATGGATTGTACAATGTTTGGTTTAAATGTGTACAGACTTCTACCAGACTTTCCTTACATTGATTGCTTGAAGAAAACTACTGTAAAGGTAAAATGGATTAGGTATTTACTATGATAAAACATTTTTTAATGTAAGAAAAACGGTTTTTATATTATTTACTGATATATAGGGATAGATACATAAACTATTTTGTCGCAGTCAATAATTTTAAATTTTAGAGAGGTTGGCGTGAAAAGATACCATTCTTGTCTCAAAAACGAACTGTGATAACATCGATGGAAATGTCTCCGGATGAGAAAACTTTGATAGCTATTTCAAGTGTTGGCGATGTTATATGGTTTGATTTACCTTCATTGAGAATAAGACGATTTGCAAGTGCAGAACAAAATGATGTTACGGCCAGGCCGATGGAAGTTCAATGGACGGATGAAAAGGTAAAATACGGAATTGATTACGAATCTTTTGAGACATTCTGTAAAAAAAGTAATTTATTAAAGTACACTTTAATTATAATATAACATGATTTTTAAAATTATAATTAACAAGTTTAAATTCCAGGAATTTGTGATTCTCCACTCCAACGGCCAAATGACTCGAGCCAAACCGGATGATTACTTTGATGGTACAACTGTAGACCCACCATTACATTGTGTAAACCAATGTAAACGAGTTCGACTCGTAGATGATCGAACAATCTACGCTTTAACCGAAGCCAGAACAGATGCAATACCAATTGCCAGAAAAGAGAACAATAAGAGGCGAGTTGGAGTAGAATTTACATTGTTTATACTGTTTTACATTACATGGATATTCAAGTTGATCAAGGCTATGTTTGCCTCATTCTTTGGCGGAAATCCAATCGAAGAATTGAGCGAAAAGACTTGTGTGGAACAGTCAGCACAATTGGCTTTGTATGCTACAAGGAACATCACTTTGACCGATTATATCGAAATTCAGGTATGGTTTTTTGATTTAATGATTTTTTTTTTTAAAATTTATATTTTTTTAAATATATTTTTTTACGTAGTTTAAAGGTCAAGGTTTTAAAAATGACTAACTTTTTAGCTAGCCAAACATGAATATCAAGTAGCGATCGATTTGGCCACGCAAAGTAATGGAAAGTACGATTTGGACTTGGTCTATAAACAACAGTGGAATGACTTTAAGAAAAGTGGAGAAAAAGTTACACTAGATCATCTGAAAGTGCTGGTAAGTATTTAAAAAAACAATTTTTTTAAAGTTTACTTTTTTCACTTATTGATCTTCTACTTTTTTAGCACAACGTGAAAGACACAGAATGGTTAACCAAAGAATGCCTCAACTTCAACAACTGTGCTACTTTAAATAATCATCTTTTACTGATTCAACTAGCCAAAAGAGAAATTGAAGCGCGACAAATCGAAGACGAAATTTTGAATACGGCTGTCAATAACGCTGAAATTGTCATCGAATGTTTGGCACATACTAAGAAACACGAAAATGATGCTCTGGAGTTGTATTTGAAGTACAGAGATAGCAATCTATATGCATTTACATTTTCAATGGCTGAAGAAACAGAATTTGAAGTGTTGGAGGTGATTTTGAAACGCCACAGGAGGCAGTTGACGGGCTATTGGTTAGTCATACTGTCGGCGGTACCTGAAAGTACCCAGCCAAAGTTCTACAGCAAGTTCTTGCCAGCTGTGTAAGTTATTTTAGCTTGTCAATAATATTGGTACAGTTCTTACTTTGCGTCAATTTTGCGATAAAATACGGTGCTTTGTTATTATAAAGTCATTTTTACAGCCAATGTTACCTAATTTATTAACAAAATGCAATTTTATGGTTTTCAGAACTAATGAAGACTTGCCAGAGCAGTTGTTCTACATCAACGATGATGACGAAGATTGGGAAAAGCCAGAACCTGTTCGAATTCCATTTAAATTTGACAATTTTAGTACATTTTTGTATGCGGATTCCAAGTCTATGGTGGAAATATCAGCACAATGGTTTGAAAAACGTGTGGAGTTAATGGATATGTACAGTGGACTACCGGACGACGTGTTGGCTTTGATTGAGTTGGGATTTTTGTGTGGTTTTGAGGTAGGAATTTTAAATTTAAATAATGCTACACGTACGGTATTTAAATTTATTTTTTAAACACGTAATAGCAAAAGATAAGTGTACAAAGTAACTTTCTATTTTACAGGATTTGGCAGAGGTTGGTCGACAATACGTATTATACGCTGATTTTGTTCGTTTCACAGCAGCAGTTCATTTGAACTTCAAGGAGTTGAAGCAGTGGGATACTAAGAAGGCAACAGAGCATTTGGCTAAGCATGTGGGTTATATTTTTTTTTATTTTGATTTTTAAAATGTATTTTGATTATTGAGACAATCATATTAATTTGACATTTTAGTTGAGTCGAACAGATTTACTTGCAAATTTCGAAAGAATAATTGAAGTTGTTGACTTTGTAGACCAAGGAAAAGGCGATATGAAAACAGAGGTCATGAAGTTGATCAAACGAAATTGTCAACATGATTTCGAGGTAAAATACGGAGCTCTAAATTGTATATTTTTTACAGAATTTTACATTATTCGTTACACGTTTACATTATAATGTCCCAATTTGAATTATAATGTTTTTACAATTAATAACCTTACTTTTACAGTTACTATCAGCCCTACAACAAGTTAAGCCAGAGTACCTAACTAACGACACTTTAATAGAATGCTTCTACGAATCAGAAGTCACAGGTGAAGCGTTGACGTCAGCTATGAAGAGCTTCAACGTTAGTGCTGGGCTGATTGAAGTACTCGAGCTGTGTAATCTATCGAATGATTCTCTTACTTTCGCACAGATTCATTCTGCCAGCCGGGAAAAGTCAAAAGCCGTTGAACTGACCGAAAAGTTTGTAAAATCAGCGGTGAAAGCAAGGAATTTCAGTGAAAAGGTACGGGCTTTTGGTTGTAAAAAATATAAATTTAAAAAATTTGGTCTAAAACGAATATACTATATGTTTATGTTGATACTATAGCTTTACGTATGTTTTCAGGACAAAAAGACAGACCCAACAAGAACCGCCGAATGGTGGAGGGAATTGTTATTTAAAGCCAGACGTCTACGGTCAGCTGCATTCGAATCACTGATATCTGATGAGCAGATACTAAACTTGATATTGAACGAAATGGTAGAAGTTGCTGTAGTTGATTTACATCCAGAACCAAAACCTTACTTAAGAGCTCCATTCCATCTTGTAGTCGACTTAAATGGTACTGCTGAAAGCGCTAGAATACCGTTGTTGAAACAGAGGTAAGGATTGCTGGATTTGATTTTTCGGCTGATAAAGTCAAATTTATGGTACTTAAATGTCATTCATATTTTTTAAATATGATTTTGTAGACGGCACATACTTTGTATAGTCTAGTTGTCATAAAGCGGTACTTTCTTTTAACATTAACCGCTTTTAACAACTAATTTTTCAGTGTTTTTGAGAAGATATTGTGCGAAAAGTCCCGAGCCTTTATTGAAAACGCCCACCCAACGTTATCAGATCCAAATTTACTCCGTGCCGAATTAGTCCTACAGTGTATTCTGACCGGTAAAAGAGCTCTTCGTCGTATTTTGGCTCAACAAAAACAAATCGAGACCGTTAAGATTGCCATAAGGTTGGGAAGTGAACGATTACCGGCAACGTTCTTGTATTGCGACAAAAACGTTCTCCTGGCTGAAAATGTAGCTATCTCGGATAACTACAAGGTTGTGAAGAAGTGTGCCGAACTGGCTACGAATTTGGAGCTACCCACGCCTGGAGCCACTGCTTTGGCCGCATGTGCTGCCGCGGCTTTGGAAAAGGTGAGAAAATATTAATTTAGGTTTTGAAATCCGTTTTTGGTTTAAATTTTAGTAGGCTTACAAGTGAACTATAAGATCAAAAACAGCTATTCAAAAGCGAAATAATAACCAAAAAATTGCAGAAAGACCTCCACATTCTACGTCAATATGTAAGGGAGCTAGCCAAGAAAGCCCGCGATTTCCCTGTCGTATATAAAATGGCGAGAAGGTTGCTACAAGGAGGAGAGTTAGATCGTGAACTAAAAGAAGACGCCATAGCTTGCCTACTACACAATTGTCCAGATGAAGAGCTAAACAATCTGTTTGAGATCATAAACAAAGTCAAGAAAGAAGATCACGAACAGAAACCGGACCTGGACGAAGACAGTGATGAAGATGACGCTCTGTATGATCTACGAAAGCTAAGCAAAATGTGCTTTAGTCTAAAACCTCAACACAACATATCGAGATATGAGTAACCGAGATGTGGTTAGTTATTTTGTAGTGTTTTGGTCACTTGTTGGACTGATACTTCTTGAGGTATAGCTGACAACGTCTTGTACCACGTGATATTTTGTTTTCGGGTTTATTTATTGTTAATAGTTAATATAATATATATTTATGAAGGATACGAACTTTTAAAACCGATTAAAAGTAAGGAACTAATCTGTTTTATTATCTTGTTACAAAAATACGATTAGCATCAATATTCAAATATGAAATTAATCACCGATACTACCACCAATAAGTAACTGTAACAGCATGAACATTACTGGCGAGTAAATTGTTTATAAAATTAAACAAAGTCAATAACAGCCGGGACTGGGAAGGTAGACGGAGGTAACAAACTTTGGCATGACTTTTTCGACAATATTGGCAGTTGTCCTGGCATCATCATCGAATTGGCTGGGTTCGTCGGGGCACATAATTTTAAACACTTCCTCAAAGTCCGGTCGTTTTTCGGCGTCCTAAAATTGTAGATTTAGTCATTGTAAATTGCAAATCAGTATTACTTTTGCCTCCGAATAAGAAATGATAACCCGCGCATGATTCCAAAATATTCGGCAGGTGAATTCCCTCCCCTTAATGAAAACCCCAAAAACCTTGACTTTCTAAACCCCGTAAACAATATAAAACCTTACAAATGTCCAGCACTTCTTCATGACCTCCTGAATATCCTTTGGAGTAATCTCGGGTGGATCCATTGGCTGCACTCCGCTCAATACCTTTTCCTTGGCCTTCTTGTTTGTCAGACTTGGGAAAGGTTCGGTTTGACAGTGACTGAAAATCTCCCACAACATGATTCCAAAGGCCCAGATGTCGCTCTTCTGAGTGAACAACCCGGTCTTGAATATCTCTGGTGCTATCCACTTCACAGGCAACTTTGTTCCTTTTATATGTTTCAACGAATCACCTTTCACCGACAATCCAAAGTCACTGATTTTCACTTCATCGTTTGGTCCTAACAAGCAGTTTCGAGCAGCTACGTCACGGTGAATCACCTAAATTTAAAATTTTATTAAAATGACTTTATAATTATACTTAAAAAAAATTTTTTTTGCCAGACTTTTTCACAAAAAAGCAAATTAACAATGCCACACTAAGATAGTACTAGTACAATCATTTTTCAAAGTCTTACCTTTCGAACAGCCAAATAGCACAACCCACTTACAGCATCTTTTGCGTATCTTACCAACTGACTGACTTCTATATTCGGGTTTGCATTTAGTTTGTTGTGCAAACATCCACCAGGACACAATTCCAATATAATCATCAGAGGTTCTTGCTGAAAAACTTGAATAATTCACAAAATGCCAACAAATTATAGTTAAAGTGACAAAAATGAGTTATTGTAGATCAGAACGATAATAGCTTCTTTAATAAAAAGCAATAATGAGAAACATCAATGGCCATTTCGACTAAAAAAGACTGTTAGATATTAAACGATAAGTTAATGTACCTGAATCGCAATTCCATGCATCGTGACAATGTTTTTGGCGTTCTTGAACATGACCATCAGTTTGGCTTCCTTCACAAAACCGTGTTTTGTCTTTCTGTCCACATTTCCCTTCAGTGTTTTGATGGCGACTTCAATAGTGTCATCATTCCTTTTCCATGTTCCTTTGTTCACGGTACCAAATGCACCACTGCCCATCTCTTTTCCCAGTGTAATGTTGTCATGGAAAATGTAGAATTCAGGACGAGTAATAGGTGTCTTGATGTAGTTTCTTTCATTGTTAACGAACATCTTCCCTTTTATCGACTTCTCAATCAGTTCAGGTATGGAGGGGTACTTCTGGAAACACACACTCCAACCGTCAGCATCGTGCTTGAATCCGAGGTGTCGATAATGACCATCGAAGATCAGGCTGAGGGTGATTCGGACCAGGTTGGTCTTGGCTGTTTCTGTCTGAAATATAGGTTTGTAAACTTGATCTGCAATATCTACTATAAGAAACAATTCTGCAAGTTTATCACCAGAAAAATCGTGATTTTTATGTGGTATTCACATTACTACACCAAATTTTTTATTATTATACTTTAACATAAAGATAAAACAATTTAAACAAAATTTAAACCTACCCTTCTGACAAGAAAATCACCGTCATTCTTGAGAAAGCCTTCGATCTCCTCTCGAGGTGTAATACCAAAGTAATAGTCACACTTTACCAAATGTTTGGCAATCTCCTCCTTCTCTGCAGCGTCTGACCCACCTTCGTTTCTGGGTGTTCTACCCCTTGAGCGACTCACAGCTTCTTGACTTCCTGGACTTCTGGAATCTGAGGAGTGACGTGCTGGCGAACGCTTCGAACTTTTTTTATGTTTACTATCTGCCATCGTTAGCAACCGGCTTCGAATTGGACAAATGTGAAAAATGAGCTGATATCGTGAAGCGACGAATGGAATTCATCATAAAAGTACATTTTTAAATTGTAAATGGTTTTAAATTTGACTATTTTTTACAATTTTCGTAATTTGCATACAATATAACTTTGAAATTCATTGCAAAACTTATATAAACGGAACGCCAGATCTAATCTTTCGCGTTAGGACTAAAATAATTTTTTTATTAAAAATCTTTTTTCGCGCATGAAAAAGAACCTCTTTAATCATGGCCGATAGTCGAATAAATCGACTTTCCCAGCTTTTGGAATCTCGAAATCGGGTGTTGAGGTCAGAAGCTGCTACACAATTGGCCCAATTTCCACTGACTAATGTTGGTTTGGTGCAGATTTTGAGGAAACAGCTTCAATCTAACAGTTGGGAGACAAGGTCAGCAGCTGCAGATGCTCTGGGACAACTTCTAGAACGATTGAACAAGAGATTGAACGTGGAACCAGTTGATTATTCAAAATTTAGAGCAAGAGTTTTGAGCAAACTTCATGTTCGAGAAGTTGTGAAGACTTACAACTTCTTAGTCAGGTAAGTATTTATGTTTTTCTTGCTGATTTAGATTTCAAATTATAGGCTTTGCCTTGTATTTGTGCTAACTAACGTATAAATTCAAAACAAAGTGCTTTCAGTTGTGATGAAACTTCAATTCCATTAAAAAAAGGAGTAAAATTGTCGAAAAAAGAGCAAAGACAATTGGTAGATCAACATCTTGAGCTAAATTCACGAACTGGAGTGTCTTGTGGTCAATTTCTAGCAGATGAAGATTTGGGAAATGAAGCTTCATTGGATTCAAATGGCTCACAATCAGAAGAAAAGAAGAATGATTTAAAAACTGTTGAATGCCAGTTATCTAGTCCATCTAAAATAAAACAGGAGATTAAACAAGAGGTGGAAGAGACAGAAATAAAAGATGAAGACAAGTTTAGCATTGATGAGGAAAATGTGAGTTTGATATAGTTATTTTAAATTTTGAGTCTTTAGGTCTTTTACGAGTTGTTGACACAAATCTTGACTGCATTGGCATCTCCCAAATGGCAACAAAGACACGGAAATGCGATGGCTGTTAGTAAAGTGATTCAAAATGCTTTTAACTTACTGACGCCGGAAGCAACAGAAACTTTGGCAATGAGGATGATAGTTGTGTTGGCATTGGACAGGTTTAACGACTTTGTAACTGGGTCTAATGCTGTAGCTCCAGTGAGAGAAGCTGTTGGTCAGGGCTTGAGTTTACTTATGCTTAAAATTGGCATAGATACTCCATTGGTGACGGCTATGATCAATCCTATTCGGCAGTTATTGTGCATGAAAAGTGAAGATGTACGTTTAGTTTAAGATTTTTTGTAAGGATTTTTTATTTTTAGGGTTTAGTCGTGTAGTATAACATGACTTTTGGGATTTAAAATAATATATTTTATCCTTTTGACGAATAATTTTCAAGTCTCATTGATGAAAGTATAAGCACGGTTTCAGGCATGGCAATGCCGGCAAGCAGCGCTTCTTGTACTAAAGTATTACTTTACTATGTGTAATTCTGGAGAAAAGTTTTTCGAATTGTTTGATTATGTAGTAAAGGCAATGTATGACAAGATGGATGAGGTTGTGTCAGTATCTGTACATACATTAAGTTCACTTTTTAATAACCAAAAGATAGACCCAGTGAAAAAACGGCAACATATTGATGTTGTCATGAAAAGTGTGTGGTGGATGTTAATGGAGAACGACAATGATGCTATGGTAAGTTTTAATATTATTTTGAAATAAGATTTCGTTTAAACTATTTGTTAATGTTGAATTTTATACTAATATTATTAGATTTAACAACTTCTAAATAATGATGACTTTAGCAAATCAACGATGGTGTCTCTTCTCTATTGATCGATTTGATAGGTATTGTACAGAACTGGCTGGTTGTTGTAGAAGATTCTCAGCTCACTCATTCTCAATTTGATCAGATTGTAAACTTAATCGATCCTAGTCAAGTTACTTCTACTTTAAGGACAATGGAATGCATTTGTTTGTCTTTAGCAAAACCCAACGATTTTAATGGTAAAGTAAGTGTTTTCACGTTTTAAATTATGATTATTGGTATGTTTTGTTAAGTTTATTTTTGATTTTTTTTGCCGAAATGTGAGCAAAAATAAATGAATTTCGCTTTGAAAGTCTGCTCTTTATCGCCGTTTAGGGGAGAAGCGAATTCACACTGAAAAAGAAGAAAGAAACGCTCGAGCATTGGTGGTTCAGTGGTAGAATGCTCGCCTGCCACGCGGGCGACCCGGGTTCGATTCCCGGCCAATGCAAATGCTTTTTTGGAAATCTGCTTTGATTTTTTCAATTCAAAACAGATAAAAAATCACTTTTTAAAGAGAAAATAATTTTTTTTCTATTGTAAAATTTAAGACATAGTTTAACGTATATGTTTTAGCCGTTTATTACTTATATTTTTTATTTTCAGCAAAAATTCAACCTAATCAAAATGCTCTACCGGTGCTTACTATTTGTTCAACCTAGTGATTCAAAACGTGTAATCGACCTAATCTTTGCCACTCTGATGAAATTGATCTCGACGACAGATGAAAACGAGCTTTCAGCTATTCCTGAGCTTCAGAACTCAATTGGCTACTGGATTGGATGCCTAACATACGATCTTAAAAACTCTGAAGTCGACGTCTTCTTACATAATGTGAATGGAGCTTCGTCGTGCGTCCAGAATTCGAAAGAATTGTTGTGTGGAGACGAATTGAGGTTTTTGGATGAAAAACCAAAGCATGATGCATTCATGGATCGAAAGTGTTACGCCGCCAGGTTTCTGTCACCGTTGATTGACACCTTGTATCGATCGAACGTTCTGATTCAAGATCAGCCTCTTTATTTGTCTTTACAGCTGCATTTTATACCGTATTTGAGGAGTAATTCGTTGTATCATCGAATGGGTGTGGCTTTGACTCTAAATTGCTGGTCGAGAATGTTTAGAAGGGCTTTTAATGCTCAAAAACATCAGGTAAATTTTTCAACAGTTCTAATTAGATCTTTATCATGCTATGTGATGAATATTACTATGCATAAGATTATTAATTTCAGCATTATCCCACGATAATAGCCAATGAATTAGAACGTCTGCTGTCTGAAGCTTCTGTTCGACCACCTTACGATGAACCAGCTGCGATGATAAAGTCCTTGACAGCCGAATGTAATGAATTTCGTCGTCATTGTTGCCAGAAAGGAGTGCCTTCTGAACTCTGTCCTGTGATCGAAGCCCATACCAACGTTGATGATGTCATTACCGAGATGTACAACGTGTGCAAACTATACTTGACGAAACAACAAGACCTCGATGCCCTAGAAGGACGTAGAAAGTATCTAAAACAACTAACAGAAGCCACCCGACTTCAAATATTGACCAACAACAACAGACTCTACGCCCTCTGTGCCAGTACCTTATTCTACTTTGGACATTGTCTCGCTCAGATGACTCCGATGATTAAACCTTTGGTTGACAGTCTGAGCACGGAGGACAACGAACTAATGACGGAAGAGATCTTCTACGACAGCTTCACGATATTATTCAGCGTCACGAGGCAAAGGAATCCATGTCCACATCCGAAAGTCCTAAAACAACTTAGCAATGGCCTTAACGATTGCTCTGAGTTCCTACCAAAACGAAATGTTTACAGTAGCCAAGAGATCATATCGGTCAACAATCCACCTACAATACCAAAGAATATCAAGGCCAAGAATGCACAAGTCGTGCTGAGAAAGTATGGTGAACAAGTAGGACTACTTACCACTGAGATTTGTCCTTCAATTACGGATTATCTAGACTTGAAGCAGGATTTGAATGATGAAACTGGGATTGAGGTATGGTTTTACCTTGGATTTTATCCCCCTGTATAAACTAGACCGAATTCAAATTTAAAATCGATTTCAGACCTACCTTTGCAATGTGGAGTTTGTGCGAATATTATCCATGCCAATGGGATACAAACCATCAGCCGAGGAGATAAACACCCTGAAGAACGGCTTATCACACACAGATCCGGCCGTCCGCTTCCGTACAGCACGATGCATCGTGGAGCTGGCTGTTGCCGACCTGAGCTTCGTCTTGAATAACTTTTTCAACGATATTCGAGAGTTTTCGAATCAAATCGACAATGATGCTAAACGATGTGGTGCCGTCGAATTCTTGTCAATTTTGGTGAGCCGATTGGATCCAAAACTGCTCATCACAGCAGCTTCGTTATTGGCACCATTGGCTTTGAAGATGATAACAGATCAAGTTGAAGCGGTCAGAGAGTTGGCGTCAGTATCGTTTGGAAAATTGGTCGCTCTGATTCATTTGGAAGCGGTAAGTGTAGATGTGAGAAGGGTGCTAAAAATTGGAGTTTAAAATTTAAAAAATATGGATATAATAGTGCAAAATGCGAAGAAATAAGTAAAAATCTTGTTTTATTGGCGAATATTGATGAAAATATGCTGAAATTTTTGAATTTACAGTTACAAAGGTAAAATATAATTACTAAACATCAATTACAACATTCTATCCTATCGCACAAAAAGATTTTACCTAAAAAACCAAAAACGAACGACTTTTTGTCGCGGCGAAAGATAAAATAAACGCAAAAAGGAAGAGAAGCGAATTTAGACTGAAAAAGAAGAGAGAAACACTCGAGCATTGGTGGTTCAGTGGTAGAATGCTCGCCTGCCACGCGGGCGACCCGGGTTCGATTCCCGGCCAATGCAATTGCTTTTTGGAGTTTTTTGCTTTATGGAACATTACTAAAATTGTGGCAGAAGTAAATTTAGGTATTTTTTATTGTTTCAATGTCTTGTATTACAAATTTTGTTTAAAAAAACTTTAAATTATCGCACTTTTTGAGAGTTTTATGAAAAGTTTTTAGGACACTGAACCTTTGATGGCACAGTTAACGCCTGAACTCCAAGTTGAATTGGAAGAATCTAAAGACTTTGTCAATGTTCTTAGCCAGCCTTCAAAGTTACCTTTATTAAAACAAGCTGAAGTACCCGGTTTGAAGCCGTCACTTCAGTTGAGAGCGTATCAATTGGAAGGTATTACTTGGCTTCGGTAAGTTATAGTTTTTTGTTGTTTTGTGTGTTTTTATAGTTTTTATGGTTTGTTGGTCTAATAAAGATCTATTTGTTGGTCCAAATATTCTAATTTTGTTTTTCCAGATTTTTATCAAGATTTGGTCTAAACGGAATCTTGGCTGATGATATGGGTCTGGGCAAGACAATCCAAACATTGTCAGTACTTTCAATGCATCGAAAGAGCACTCCTCAGTATCCGTCGTTGATTATTTGTCCAAGAACGTTGACAAATCATTGGTGTAACGAATGGAAGAATTACTTTCCAAACGAAAAGCCAATGCATCGTGTAGATGTTGATGTGAGAAGACTACCCAACTCGGATGAGATTGTTGTCGTGTCATACGAGGAATTGAGGACTAATTCGAAGCGTTTTAAGTGAGTTTGGTTGTAGGTTTTGATCATTTTGCGCTGTTTTTGTGGTTAATTTTACGGTTTTTGGGCATTTTGAGGTATATTTTATGTTGTTTTTGGTAATTTCGTGGTTCTGTTTTAAGTTATTTACAGCTTACAATTGTGTAAAGCGTATATAATAGGGAATAAAAGTGTAAAAAAGTGGGGTTGTTGACAAAAATTTCAAAAAATAGCTTATAATAATATGTTTTAGTGCTTTCCCATGGAAGTTTTTGGTGCTGGACGAAGGACATTGTATCAGAAACCCGAACACAGCCCTTTTTGAAGCCATTATGACCTTAAAAGCCAAACACAAGCTCTTGTTATCAGGAACTCCGGTCCAAAACTCTCCGGCTGATCTTTGGGCCTTGTTCAAGTTCTTAATGCCTGGATATTTGTTCACGAGACAGCAGTTTCAACAACGATTTTTGAAGCCGATTTTGGCTTGTAGGAATCCGAAAGCTTCAGAGGAACAGACTAAAGTAAGGTTTTATGATTTTTGAAGGATCTAATGGAAAATGAGAGTAGTGCAGAGAAGCGGGGGAGGTTTTTGGAGGTATAACCTTAGAGGGTGGGGGAGCCTTTTGGATCTATAACCTTGGTATGACTAGCTAGTTCTTTAAAACTTCAAAATAAAGTTTTACGAATTACTTTTAGCAAGGTGAAGAATCCCTACAACAACTTCACCGCCTTATCCTTCCCTTCGTTCTACGCCGTCTGAAAACTGATGTCTTGAAAGAACTACCGGACAAAGTGATCCAAGATTGGATTTGTCAGCTCACAGAGACTCAGAAGAGAATATACCAAGCTGTGGTTGACCGTTGCTCTTTAGTTAAGAAGGAAAACGAATCTGAAGCCGAACAAAAGCGACGCTTATCACCTTTACACACTTTGATTGCGTTGAGACAACTGGTCGATCATCCACTGATGATTAATGAGGTTTTGAAGAAAATTGAGTATGATACAAGGAGCTTCGATCCGAATAGTGGGCAGGGAAAGGTAAGAGATGAAAGGATGGGTATGGTTGTAGTATCAGTTCTCAAAAGTCTTGTTAATTAATTTTTTTTAAATTCCAAAAGTCATTGTTATGGTGATATATCACTGTGGTGTTCATAATTCACTGTAAAAAAATGATTTTTAGCACAATAAAAAAAATTTTTTTGTTGTTGTTTTAGGCAATGGAAATGAGTGGAAAAATGATGGCATTGAAGGAAATCCTACAAGAGTGTCAGATTGGAGAAAGAGAAGAAAATGGAATTGATGATGGCTCATCGGCTACGACGAGTGACGTTTTAGAAGGTATGAACTGGCTTTGAGTAACTGTGTTTTACTTTGTCTAGGCTTACTTTGCTAAATATTTTATCTTTGACTTTTGTTTTGCTATACTATACTGTACCTTACTCTACTCTACCCTGCCCTACCTTACCTTTTCTTACCATATCTTATACTTCTTTACCCTATTACTATAATCAACTTTACTTTACATTTATATAGCCGTATCTACCTTTTTCTACTTCATATTACTCTCATACCTTACCCTATTTTTTGCCATACTGTATCTCACCCATTCTCGTATGTATAGCATAAGTTGATAAAATGACGTTTCAGACCTACCTCTCCTCACTCAGCACCGTGCCCTCATCTTCTGTCAATGGAGAGCCTCAATTGATCTAGTAGCCACATATATTCAAAATGAATCACTAGGCAAGAACATCAAGTTTCTGCGTCTGGATGGTACCATAGCACCAAACGACAGACAAGCAGTGGTCGACAAGTTCAACAACGACCCAACCATCGACCTTCTACTTGTCACAACTCACATCGGAGGTGTGGGCCTGACCTTGACCGGAGCTGATGTTGTCATATTTCTGGATCACGATTGGAATCCGGTCAAGGATCTACAGGCTGTGGATCGTGCTCATCGACTGGGACAGACCAAGACAGTACAAGTGTTCCGACTGATCACTCAGGGATCGATTGAGGAGAAGATCATGCAGTATCAGAAGTTCAAAACTGACACTGCTAATGTAAGCTTGAAATTTTTTAAATTTGGAAAGACAGTTTTTGCAATTTCTCAATTTGTAATGAAGGTTCTTGTCATTTTATGATCTTTCGTAAAATTTATTTTAAAGTTGTATAGCAATATAATATAAAATGATATTGTTGTAGGCGCTAGTCGGAGCCGACAACCGCTCCATATCGTCGATGGCTACTGACGAACTTCTGGAGCTTTTCAATTTGTCCGAAACCGAAACAGCTGAACCGTCACCAAAGAAACGAAGAGTATCGAAGGAAGCGGCGGCCAATAACCCTGAGGAATACTCGATGGAAGAGCTCTGGGACTCTTCACAGTACGAGGAGTCGTACTCGATTCACGAATTCATGAAAAACGCTAAATAGAGCATTTTAAGTTAGTTTTTTTTTGGTTTTTCAGGTAATAGGTTAGGTTGAATTTGGAAAAAAAAATATTTTGGTTACATATGAGGATTTTGCTTCATTTCAAGTTTTCGTTTTAGTACCTAAATTTGGAAGAAAATTGTTTATGGGTGTTTCAAACATAAAATTAATAGTCTTGTGGACTGATAGTGCATTGCGGTGTCATGTAATTATTTTACAATTTTTTAATTTTTTGTCGATTAATGTCTTCGCGGTGAGACCTATAAATCTTGAGATAACAGTACTTTTAAAGCGTTTTTTACTAGATATGTGTTAGCAATCATTGTTTACTTAAAATGTTATTATTTTCTGCTTTTAAGGAGTTATAATGTCTCAAAATTTGTTTTTGTAATTAAAATTTTTCGTGGTGGGACCAAAAACTGGAAAAATATAAATTTAAAGCTAAAATTGAGTGAACATGACGTTTTTACAGTAACTATTAAGCCGTTCACTTAATTCTGTGCTCCCTCTCAAAGCAAATTTTCTAATAATTACTTTTCAGATCAAAAACTACTCATTTTATCCTATCTACTGTACAAGGTGAAGTAGAACTACTCGGTTTGATGGTATTCTTCAAAAGGTGACTAAAACAATATAATCTGGTAATCTCACTGTTACCTCGGTTTCTCTCAACTATTCATTTTATATGTTGACATTGAAGTTCATGACTTTATATTACACTTGCTACTACTTATTTGGTTTATTTAAAGTTGTATTACTGTAGTTTTGGATTTTCTCTTACTGTAGTTTTAAAAGTTTCATTACTGTAGTTATTAAAGTTATTTTACTGTAGTTTTTGAAGTTGTATTAGGTTGGTTTCTAATGTTACCTTACTGTAACTTCTAGGGCTGTATTACCGGTTTTTAAATTAGTATTACCGTACTTTATCAACTAGCATTACGGTCGCTTTTTTATTATTACAGTAGATATTAGGTCGTTCAATTAATCCTGTGTTTTTAACCCCGAACATTTTCTTTGGGGAGAGGCACAGGACTATTTAAACAACTTCATAGCTATATTTAGGTATTTCTTAACTGGTTTAGCGAACTTTTCCTCCGGGTTTTCACATTGTTCATGGTCTTCTGATGGTCGAGAGGCTCTTTTTGTTTGTTTTTACAGAGTAAAAAGTTATTTTTTACTTTGTATACGAGTTTTTTTGTTTACTTGTGTATTATGTCTACTACAATATAATTTTGAATCATATTTTCGATTTTTTGAAAACTGAATTAACGTTAACTTATTGTGTCAAAATAAACTGTAACTTATTGTTTGTTGAAGGTTTAGCAATTTTATTGAAGTTGATTGACTTTCATATGATATCTTATACCTAGATGTTAGTTAATGGTAACCATGATTTATAGTGGTAATGACAATTTATGTTAAAATTATTCAGTTTATTTTAATAATGATGAACTATATTGAGTTATTTGTATTTTTTTGATTTTAAAAACACTCGTTTAGGCGGTGTTTCGCGTATTATGTGTTAGATGATCAGATATAGAATTCCGAGCATTATAGTGCTGATTTCAGTACTAATCAGTACGACAATGGCGGATCAAGTGACGTTAAAATTGAAAGAAGCTGATGATAATAAGGCGAAAGAAGTCGCTGAACTATATGGGTTCGAAGTTAAGGTAGGTTCGGTCTTATAGTTAATTTATTGGCTTTGGAGGGTTGAGAGTAAACATGGACGACGGGCCGGGCCATTCCATATTTTTCTAGGTCCGGCCCGTTGTCTATGTCTAGTTAGAAAGGGGATGGAGCTTATTTTGGCTTGAGAAAGGGAAAGGTAGGGTGTCTTGAGCTCTGGGTAAGGGCCGGAGAGGGGGGGAGGGGGGTTGATTGCGCGAGGACAGATAGGTTCTTCTTTTGGTACTCTTATCACTTTGAAAATAGTCTTACCTTTCATAAAATAAAAGTCAAATTCTATTTAGAATAAATATAAATCAATACCTTTAGGGCGAATCTTTTATGGAGTCTCACTACTTCCTCCACTACAGTAACCCTTCCTTGACTGTAGAACAGAAGCAGACCCAATTGGAGCAGCTAAACAGTGATCCATTTGTACATTGGGCCAAATCGACGAGCCCAAAAAGCGTGTAAAGAAAGTTTTGGACGAATTTTGAGGTTTTTGTATAGTATGAAAGGGCTTATTGTGTCTGGAAAAGTTTATTCACAAGATTATATAGTATTAGGTACAGTGCTTTATTATTGAAGTATTACTGTGTCAAATATGCAAATTGCTATAGAGTTGTTGTTTCTATTTTTCTGCCGCTTTGAACAATCTTCTGGCTATATAACATAGTGTAGATATTAATCTTGCTGAGAATCTGCAAAAAGTTAGCATAATTAACATTTTCTTGTAACTTTATTGGTAATAATATATCTTCGTTTTATAAAGTGCTTTTTAAAACAATATAACCTTGGTTATACTATATCTAACTGTAATTTAACACAATAAGTGATAAATGATACAATAAATGATAGTATTCTTATAAGATTCATTTATTTTTTTATATAAAAAAGTTTGTTCTCATATTCTGTTAAATTAAGTACTGAGGAGGCAATAAAGTTTAGATGCTGATCAGGAAAGGATTACAATAGAGATACAAAGACGAATATAGAATTCGATAATGAGATGGTACGATTAGTGAGGACTATGTCTTGTGGGGTATGTTGTAGTACGTACTGCAGCCAATATTAGGTTGATAGCTACGCTTGATATGTGGCGGTTTTTGTTGGCGATGAACTCAGCAAGGTCTGTCTCCTGAAAATAGTTGTTTTCTAAAGTTTGCCACCTCTATGGCTACATTATCCCGGCCACTGACCCCACCACAACACTAGTAAAGCACCAACTAGTCTAATTGAAGCCTTTGCCTGGCTCTCTTGGTCTTCCTGATACACCTGTGGCCTGTAATTCCCAACCACAGGCCATTTGTACTTTAAAAAATGACATACTGATAACAAGTTAAAAACAATTTTATTAATAACAATTTAACAACGACTTATTTATTTGGGTCAACAACATACATTTTATAATTATTAAGGATAGAAGCATACAGTTGTTGTTGGCAAGTCTCAAAATGAGACCGATTCCTCTTAAATATACTAAAAGACAATGATATTGTGACAAAGTAAAAATATTTTAGAATGAACGAAGAAAAATTGTAGATTAAATGTAATTTGAATATAAAGTAAAATTATTATAATTACTTTTAAGAGTATATATAATTATTAAGACAATAATTAATTATTTGATATTTTACTTAGTGCATAGTATAACTAAAATACATTTTACACAACTTAATTAACACGTATGTAGATTTCACCAAATATTACGTTTTCTTGGCTCTCCCAGCTTTCATCATGGCCTCGTGTTCGGCCGCCTGGTGGCCAAACTCTTCAATCCTACGCCAGACTACGGTTTCATCTCAAATCATGGCATGAAACCGATTGCTCTCCATTACGCATTAACCAAATACTAAGGCGCCGTGGAGGGCTCGGCGAACGATGCTTTGTTTCAGGCGTTGGAGGCCTTGGCCCGTCTTCGGCCGCGTTACGACCAAAGAATGATATCCTTCGCCAATCGACGGTATCATCATTGATCATACGCTGAAATTGCCCGCTCTCCATACGGCACCAGCCGAATAAGTTCTCTACCCACAAGGTTACCCTTGTGGTGTTGTAGATGGACCTCCAAAAGTTGTCCGCCTACCTTGGCTTGCGGCCAGTAATTGACGTTTTTACGTCAGGAGTTTCTCGCTTGCTAGCCAGCGCGTAGCTGGCCCCGACGATTCGTTCAACTTCTCCACCTCCTTCTGCTCTCCCTGACTCATGGTAATTTCGCACACGAAATGTATCTAAAAAAGCGACCGCGTAACTCTCTGGACTTTTTGACCTCCCCCCCCCCCTCAATCAGTTAGATAATAGTACAATACAAAAACACAGCCACAATTCTGCCCTTCTTCTTAAGTGCAACCATTCTCTGTCTCGGTATCCCTACCGTAACCCCGCCACCTGCCCCAAAACGCAGGTTTTTTTCGAATGAACCTGCCTGGCACCTTTCTTGGCCACGCTAGCCCCTTATCAGATTAATTAAGCGCCTGCACAACTTACCCATCATCCCTACTTGTCCTGGCCCGTGCGCCGATTGTGCCTTACATAAACCCTGACCACGGCCATCACCTGAATCCTGGCGGTCCACTTGCGCTGCCCACTCCACTTTCCTTCCTGTCTCTCCGCGAACCTTGTTCGGTCGTGACTGAACTGGCATGACTACTTCCGAGTTAGCTGTTCAGGTTTCTTTTCGAAGAGTTCGCGCCTGAAACGTAAACAAAAAGTGGCCAAGTCGCGAAAACTTATTCTCCCTCTCTCATCACTTTAAGTCGCTTTTACGCAAACCCCCATTTCAGTCTAATGACTTTCAAGTTTTATAGTGACCATACACCGACTCAAGTAGGCTTGGTTGGAGCGTACTTCGGTGTAGTGGGCTTCGCTGGAGCGGAAATTCTTGGCCTTTCTGCCAATCTTGGTGAGAACTCCAGATTTTATCCATATTTTGTGCCATTTATACCTGAACAATTACGCTCGTTCCTACTCCATCAATGCCATGCTACTTCTCATACTGGCGCACATTTTAGCACGAACAAAACTTTAGAAAAATTAAGGCGCTATTTTTGGCCAAACATGGCTCGCGATTGCAAAGAGTACTGTTCAAACTGCATATTATGCCAAAAACGTTCAGTCCCGTTAAAACCCCGCCGTACTCCCATCGTTCCATAGATAAACCAGGCCAATTTCCCATTTAGACTTGTAGCTCTTGATCTCTGTAGCCCCTTCCCCACTTCTAGCAATAGAAACAAATATATACTAAACATGATCAACTCTTACAAAATTCATTGTATCAGTCCCTCTTCCTGATGCCACGGCGTCTACAGTTGCCCAGGCCGTCTTAGATCGACTTATTTTTGTCCACAGCACCCCTTCCTCGTTTATCACTGATAATGGTCCCTGCTTTAAAGTTTAAATCTTTCAGCTCTTAACTGAACGCCTAGGCATTCAGCATCTCAGAACGGTGCCACACCATTCCATTGGAAACGGCACGGTAGAGAGATCGTTCCGTACTTTCCATAGTATGATCCCTAAGGCCTTAAAGCCTGGCCTGGACTTCGACGAAGTTCTACCGGCTCTATTTTTTGCTTACAATTCCACTGTCCACTCTACAAATTCCTCTTACCCTTATTACTTAGTTTTCGGCCGTGACCCGCAATTTGTTACCGATTTAATCTTGCAAGCACCCTCTATTCATACTGTCCTCCGCGATACCGATTTAACAGAATTTCGTGCTCGCCTTACGATAAATATTTGCTCGGCCTGGAGTTGCGCGCTCCAAACTAGTCAAGAAGCCGCTGCACAAACATCACGCCGTTCTGAGTCCCAGCTAAATCGAGTTACCCTCACCCCAGGCGCTTTAGTCCTCAATAAAAATTTTAACATGTTGCCTGGCCGTTCCCTCAAGCAAAATATGAAATGGGATGGATTATTTAGGCTTACTGAGGTCAGCGACCCCCATGGCTACATTATCCCAGCCTCTGACCCTTCCGCAACGCCCGTAAAGTGCCATTTGGACCAATTGAAGCTTTTTTCTGGCCCGCTTGGTCCTCCTGACACCTCTACGGCTCGCATTTCTGATTCACAGGCCCCGCACTGCTACAACTTGCGCAGCCGTGGTCCAGCCCCTATTTCTACTTAAATTATACGTACGGCAAGTTATTCAGTTACCTAAATCTAAAAACCTCCCTTTTCGCATCCCAATTTTTCATTCTGCTCTTAGATTAACTAATTATCTAAGTGATTTTCGGCTTTTTATGAAATTTTCTTGAATCGTTATCACAAAGAAACAAAATTCTCATAGATTGATTTTTCCACATCAAAAGAAATTTAAATTGATTTAAACTAAGTCAAACTTATTTAAACAATCTGATTTAAACCTACTTAAACCGATTTAAACTAATTTAAACTAACAAAAATAAAAAAAATAGGTTACATATCAAAATAAATTAAAGTCTGCAATAAAACAAAGTTACATTTTTATGAGTAATTGCCATACACACCCCGGCTGTTCATGCTAAGTCCCAAAATTACAGCTTTCAATTCAAGCTGTGTACAAACTGCGAGAAAATACAAAATTATTAAGTATCGAAATCGCTTCTTTTCAAGAGAAAAAACCCCAGGAGTGGGAAAACAAAACAAAAAACACCTTTTTGTTTTTTTTACAAAATTTTCCCTTTTTCATCGCTTCCCCACACGTCTGCCCACTGACTGTTCTTTGATACGGGGGACATATTTAACAAGCTTATTTTAATCAACAAGTTTAACAAGTATGTACAATAATAAACAGCAAAAAAATATAAGTAACATTCCTGGAGGAAATGTTTTAGCAAAATTAACAAAAGTGGCGCGGGACGGCCGCTGGCGGCGGCGCACCACGCCTTTTTCCCCCTCGTCCGCGAGCGTCTCTGCAAGCAACAACAATCATAACACGATATCCATCTCCCCTGCTATCGTATCCTCGCTAAGTAAAACATTAACAAAAAAAATAATATGTACTTCTCACAAAAAAAAGCTAACTTACGGTGTTGTGCCAAGTGACTCCAAAAGTTTTTGACTTCCTGCGCCATCCGGGCTTCAATAGCCCTCTGACGCCGGGTCACGAGGCGTGCTCTCGGCCAGGGTGTTCATGATGCGCAGGCTGGATCGCGCCAGTCGGCGCGCTGCCTCTTCCAGCTCGGCATTCAATAGCCGGCTCCTCTCCTCCGCCCTTCGTGCCTCCTCTTCACGGGCCTCTTGATCGTCCTATTGCTCTGGCGCATCTGAAATTACGGGATCACAAACATAAACTTATTATTCGCAATCTACCCCGACCTATTTACCCTTGCTCCCGTTTTGGGTACCCCGATATTTACCTTCGCCAATCTCGGCCAGAAACTCGCCGATGATGTCTAGCATCTCCTCTTCTGATGTTGTAAGCCACTCTAGGGCCATGTTCATCTCCTCGTCGTTCAATTGGAACTCGAAGTTCTCCATTGCTTTTTAAATTTTTTTTGGGTGAGTAGTGGTTGAGAATCTGAAAGGTAAACTTATTTATTAAGGTTTAAAAAATACATAATAAACACGACCCCTACCCCCAAAACCATCCCTAAAAATCACTGCCTTAATGTAGTGATTTAAGGCAAGGTGCGATCATTGCCGGTAATAGACCGGCTCCCTCTTAGCGGCACCTGCGGCTGCTCTCGGTTTGTCTGATTCCCACTTAGTATTGTAACAAACTCACCATCTCTAGCAGATCCTTATCTGTGTCCTTTGAAACCCACATGGTTTGTGATCCAAGGTAACACAGGAACGACGATGGATTACACAAGTCCCGTCACTTTCCTGATTAAAAACGCACTTGAGTTCCCTTCCATCGCGTAGCATAAACAAAACATAGAAGAAAAAGCTGCAAAACTCGCAACATAGTAATAGCCAAAATACACGACCACTCCGCGCTTTATTTACGGTAACCAATAATTTAGAATACGGTCATTCTTGCACAAACCAGAACGATGTCTTATCTTTATTTTAAGTTACTTCTTGAATTGAAGGTTGCACCGTACCGTGAACGTTTTAATGTTACTAGTTTTGTAGTGATTTCGAAAAAAATATAAGAGAGCAAATAGAAGGTATCGTTATCATCGTACTTCAAAAACAGTAACATTAGAATAGTAACAGTGCGAATAAAGTGGCTGTCTAGATCGTGAAGCGATCAGACTTCAAGTTCAGTTTTGGGACGCAACGACCTGGCAATAGGTCGTCCCAAAGCCCAGTCAAAAGGTGACAATAGGTTGTTTCTATATTTCAAGCATCTAACAAGGCAGCCTCGCAATAGGCTGTCTTATATTATCAATGTCAAATATATATGCATATTATATGAAAGATAAATAAATAGTTGGGCCTTATTATATAGGAATATATTAATGTAATGTATAAGAGTACAATTATATTAAAAATATATTTATTATAAGCAAATTATTTTTAGTCATTCAACTTTTTAAGACTATATCAAAAAATTTTTTAAAAATTTTTTCCCTAAAGTTCACTCCCCGAAAACTCATTTCCCGAGATTGCACTAACCCCCCGATTTCATGCCCTTACTCACGACGGCACAACAGCCATTATTTCACCAACCAACGACAGCGTAGCCAAAACCTTTAACAGCGACTTGTAGCGACTTGCAGCGCTGTTAAAGGCTGGATCCGCGTCTTCAGAGGTGTTATACATTGTATTATTAGCCCAACAACTTCGAAGAAAAACATAAAAAATAAAGTTTTCAAAAATACAACTATTTAAACAAAAACATAAGAATTCTAAAAGCCCTTTTAAATAATAATGATTTTAAAATCTCGCTAGCGGGCTTTTAAGGCAAATTCAACAGTTTTTGAAAATAGATTTCTAGTCAACAGATTGGTGAAAAAGTTTCAATTAATGGACAAAAAGAAGTAGTGTATTTTTTACAGGGTGTTCAAAGAAAAATGTTAACAACTAAAGTTATATTTTTCTCCCCAACAAAGCTACACATGCCAAAGTTGGCATGATGAAAATTAGGAACCACAAGTTTTTTGACACGTAAGCTTGGATTTTTTAAGTGCATACTAAGAGCGTTATAAATGTTTTAAAAATGTGCGTTTGAAACTCAAAAACTTTGCTAAAAATGTCATTTTCAACCAAAAATTTGTGAAAAAGAAAATTTCACTAAAAAAAGCATTTTTAACTGAAAATATGCGTAATTCAAAAAAAATAGACATTTTCAAAAAAATTATAACGCTCTTAGTATATGCACTTAAAAAATCCGGGACTTTGTGACATAAAACTTGTGGTTCTAGACTTTCATCATGCCAATTTTGGTAGCTTTGTTGGGAAGAAAAGTATAGCTCGTTAGTTTTTAACATTTTTCTTGGAACACCCTGTAGTTAATAGCTTATGGTTGAAACACTTAACTAATGTTAGTAGTAAAACATATTACAAAGAGTTGTTATATGTACTAATATCAACTTAAAATGTAAAGTAAAATAAATTAAAGTAAATGAATTAAAATCCCTAAAATACAGAATTAAAGTGAACAAAAATATCTTATCAAAGTTCCAATCTAAGGCCCCGATCGTTCCCAACCATCCTTCGCCAATGCGACTGATGGAAAGGCAGACGGAATCAGCGTCCTGGCAGATCCTTTTGTTAAAAGTGGCTTTTTAGCTGCGAAACCTGTGGACAGGTAAGTAAACGGAATATTTTTAAAAACCACGATAGAATTAAAGTAATATAAATAAAAAATAAAAATCCATTTTTGACCATTTTTAATTCTTACTTTCTGTATAATGTTCTTCTTAGGCTGCTGTACATATCACGAGGTACTTTGAAGAAAGTTCAATTTAATTTTGACCTTAAGCTTAAAAAAAGCCAAAAAACAAATATTTTTATTTTACAGTTTTGTAACAAAACAATTTTTATTAAACAAAAAATATGTAACTTTGATGAGAAAAAGAATGGCGTGTTTGCATTTGGTCCAAAAGTTCATAAAATCGCTTTTCAAAAATTTTTAAAAAACAAAAAATAATTTTTCTATTTACTTTTTGACCAAAATTTTAATTTCAAATCAGTTTTAAATAACGCGCCATTCCTTTCGCATCAAGTCTATATTTAAATAAAGACTAAATAAGGTCTTAATCGACCGAATAAATAGAGGTTCGTTTCGGCTGACCGGCCTGGAATTGTCGCAATTGGCTGGAATTGCTTTGAATGGACAGTCGTTTGGCCTGCAGCACCTGGCCCACCTTCTCCGGATCCTTTAAATCTTTCGCATTCAGCTCGAACACCTCAGGCACAGGCTGCACTTGCTGTGGCTGATCGGCCCACGGTCGAACCGTGACTTCGGCCGTTAAGTTGAAGATGGTTGTCACCACGATGACAAGGATGCCTGTGCCTATGAATAGACGGGCCCACTAAAAGTTTTTTTAACTTTAGAAATTTAAAAGAAAATTTAACTTTTGGGTTTACTATAATGTAATATACTTATACAAAGAATATAAGGCACAAAAAGATATAAAAGGCTTTGTATTAGATAATCGACTGAAAATCAGTATTTAATGTTAGAAATGCCATACCTCATCTGGACTGCCATTTGGAGCGAATACGGCTACTGAGAATGGTATAAGAAGTACCACAATACTGAATATAAACATGTTCAATGACATTAAGAAGTGAACGTATCTTCCGGATATCTGAAACATTTTTATGTCATTATATGCAAATTAATTTCAACTTAAGATGTTCACAGAAAATTAGGCTATTCACATAATTCTATGCCCCTTACCCTAAAAAATAGAATTGAGTAGCGGCACAAAATTATTTGAACAACCTAATAAATTTTTTTTAAAAAAATTTGTTTTATTTCCTATAGGTTAGTTAATGTGCCTTTTATCTTCCCTCTACTAGACCTAAAAGGCGGTCTAAGCCAGAGCTCCGAAGGCCCAGCTTAGGTCCCGCAACGAAAGATTTAACTTCAATATTTAAAAAAAATCTAATGTTAAAAGACAGAGCCGGAAAATTAGGCTCTGCCGGGATTTTCTATACCCTTTTAGAACCTACCACACCCTTAAACCTAAAAACATACCAACTGTGAGCTCTTGGTAACTCCAACAGCATTAAGACCGCTGAACACAATAGCAGCCGTAAAGAAGATTTGTGACAAAACTTGTTGTGACGGCGGTAAAAAAGCCAAGGCGAAGAAACATATAGCCATAGAGTACTGTGATATCGAAGCAAACAATATCACTCTCATTTTGTCACTGACGTACGGTACAGTGTCACTACAAGGCCCTACCATGAACTTGAATATCATAGATAATATAAAAGGTAAAGCGGCGGCAAATCCTGTGTCACGGACGTCGAATCCTTGAACCTGAAGAGTTATATTGAACTAATAGTAATGTATACAACATATAAAATGGCAGTTTAAACTTTAAAAGGGTGAAAAATGATTTTTAAAAAACCCGCGAAAATTTGAATTCACATTTTGGCGCCAGCTTTACTTTGAATATTTTATTAAAATATGGACGTTTACCTGATTTAAATAGACAGGACCGTACTGGAAAAAGAACTGGAAGGCTACTGTAGCACCAAAAGACGAGGTTAAGATACCCATTACAGCTCTGTCACACATTATGGCCTTGTATGGTACTCTATCCTTCTCGTTCTCTTCTAGCACTCGTACTATTTTGTTCTTCTGAAGGGTTGTCAATTCTTTTTCACTGACATTTCTGAAATGTAATTTCTTACCTAAAATACTATACTTGTAATACTACATCTTAAACAAACCTTACTATGTGTAAACCAAGTATATATAAACGTAAAACACTGTAACAAAACTAACCTATGTACAGTAGGAGTATCTTCGTAGAAGAGCCAAAAGATTACAAAACAAATTACAGTAATCCCGCCTTGGAGATAGTACAAAGCCGGCCAACTCAACGAACTTTCACACAAAGCACCAGCCACAGGCATGGTGAATATCTGGGCCAATTGAAGATGGGCAGATACAATAGCTACAAAAGTACCAGACTTTCGAAGCGTCGCCCATTCAGCTACAATAGAACCCATCGCTGGGAAAGAGGTGGCGACAGCTGCGCCCTAAAATATTTTTATTGGACAATTTCAAGAAGTCTTACTGACACAGTAATGTAAAACTATAGTAGAATAATAAAGCCCCTTACCTGTAAAAACCTGAGGAAAAATACAAAGTAAAAGCCCAATGGTACGATGGTAGGGAAGATCAACGTAGCCAAAGCTGAGATCGCTCCATAAAGTGTGAATAATATCCTAAAATACGCTATTTAACTTCATATGTAGCTCAAAACTCATTTTGAAGCCTGGCTGCGCTCGTGTTTCAGTCTAACCGGTAAACCAAAACTCTTTAGCTAGAATCGGTCAGCCATCTTAATAAAATCAACTAAAATTTGTTTAATAATTTTTATATTATCTATGGTATTAAAAATGTGCTAAACTTATAATATGGCCAAATAAATTACTTACTTCATGCCAAAAGTGCTAGTAAACAATGTCATTGGTATTGTACCAAACAGTGTACCAATAGCTATGGCTGCGAACAGCCAACTCTGCTCGAGTTCTGAGTACATTAGAGGTGGGTGACCTTTCTCTTCTATGTCTAAAACATGAAATATAGTATGAATATGAAGTTTTATCCCTGCCCACCCAAAATATAGTTTTAACCTCTCCCCCCCAACCATAAAAATAAATTTCACTCCTTCCCACCATAAAAATTTGTTTTACCCTACTCTAGCTAAGCCATCCTAACTTCTAACCCCCCCCCCAAACTTAAATTAACCCCCTTACAACTCTGATTCCAACTTCCATCGTCGTCTTTGAACATGCAGATTACTGTAAAGTTTAAAGCCAGTGAGTTACTGATAATGCATGTCAGACATAGTAAACTGAGTACGATAACCAAATGTCGAGTACGATGCTTAAAGGTCAATTCTGATTTCTTAGCTCCAGAAGCGTCGGCCGATGCCTTTAGCGTGCCCTTTTCGTCCAGAATCAAAACGGGGTCGATTTTTGGAGTAATCATCGTTTACTGTAACATTAAATTTAAAATTTAAAAAATTTGAATTTGCAAAAACTTTCTTTACAAAGCCGTTTTTGATTGCTGTTCAAATAATTTTGAGCCCCTTAACTGTAAAAATTTGTTGTGAGATGAGCACAGAATTATTTGAACAACTTGATATAATTTACAAATTAATAATTACAGCCCAATAATTCTGGAAAGAAAGTTTCTTCATAACAAACAACTTACAGTAAGTTTCGCACAAAAGTCAACCGGTTCGAGCGCCCGAAGCAATAGCAGCTTTGAAGCTCTTTAAAATGAATAAAATCGTCGAAATTTATGCAAATCTCGAGTTCGAAAAGCTAAAATAATCAAAATCTGTGATAAGGTTAGTATTATATCAGTGATAAAGTCAGAATTATTAAAAGCCGGCGGCCAATAATATTACAACATGTTTGGGAAGAGTAATGAGAATCTGAAGCCATTTGAAGATGTCAGACATGAGTCAGAACGTTATCACAACATACAATTATATTATCCATGACTGTCAAATAGATACGATTTTGGCTCAATTAAAAGAATTAAACAAATTTTTAAAATTGTAACGGCCAAAGAACGTTATTTTTTAGCCTAAAAGCAAAAAATTGAATCCCAGTGCATAAATAAGCCTAAAGTTCAATTTCAAGTTATTTTTCAAAAAAATATTTTCGAAATTGAACCACAAGTTATATATCAAACTTTTTACGACAAAAATATCTGATAAGACATCACAAGTCCATAGATCTACAGTCAATAATCACTACAAACAAGGAAAGTTCCTAACCTGCCCCGCTCTGATTGGCTTCGAATTTTTTATAAAGAAAAAGCATGTAAATACAAATTGTTCAACAAAGTACTAAATCGGGACTTTTAGTCAATCTCGAGAACATCGAGATCATAGAATTACGTTTCAAAGTTCCCGCCAAATTGGCATTGTGTTTCAAGCATATAACTTTGTCATTTTTTTGACGTTTAATAATTTTTCTTTAATGTACTGATAGAAAATCTTTAAATGAACTTACATTTTTAAATTTGTAAGCGTAGCTTGTCTGGAAGGTCAAAAAGTGCTGGAAATACAATGTCAACTTTGCCAAATTAGCGAAAAACCAAAATAATCCAAATTTAAAACTCAAAAGCGCGAGCTAAAATTTTATATCGTTACTATTGGTAATACAAAGAAAACATACAGTGAAACCTCCGTATAAGGAACCTCTATATAACGAAACCTCCGTATAACGAACAACTTTCGAATCCCCGGCTATCATTACACAGCGCATTTTTAACCCCTCTGTAACGAAACCTATACATAAAAAACGAACTTTAATTCCCCTAGCGATTCGTTATATAGAGGTTCCACTGTATAAGAATTTTGAGATGTTTTTAAGCGAGCCAGGTTAGGTAGTGATTTCCTTGTTAAATAAAACCTAAAGGCACAGACAACTACTATATAAAAATATAGTAGAGTACATACAAAAATCACAGTAAAACCCAGAAAAAACAAAGAAAAAATGTTTAAAAGTCTACTTTCATTTAGAACGGCTTTTGAGTTCAAACTTTAAAAAAAAACTATTGAAATTAAAAAAACGGCGGCAGATCGCGTCATTGTGGCCACACGCCAGATATACCCACAAAGAGCAAAGTATTCGCAATCATATCGTAATCGATTCATATCTGATCGATTTCGGTTTGTAACTATTTTAAATAGCTGAATTGATTTTCTTGCAAAATTATTAATCTTTGAAAGCATACTTATCAATAGTAAGGAAATATTGTAGTTGATATACCAAGCCTTCTTGGTTAAAATTTATAATACTTACTACAATATTGAGCTTATAACTGTCTCCATAAAAGGAGCGTTACAGTAGTATAACAAAAAAGGTTAAAATTAAAAGTGCCAAAAATTTTTATAAAAATGATAAGAAATGTTTGGTGGCTTTTACTCTGACTACCTTAATATAGCTAGCAGTCTTTGACCTCCCATACTCAGAAGTAGCTTGTCAGACCTTAAAAAGTCACTAAAACCACGCTTTAAGCCTTGAAATTACTATGTAAAGCAGCTCGTAATACCTATACAGATCAGTGATGTTATGGAAAAGTTATTTGAAAGCTCTTGGCTACTACAACATAGTCATATATAGTAGAGTTTATGGGTAATTCATAAAGTTATTTGAAAAAGTAACAAAAAAATAAGAGTAAGTATAACGATGACAAAAGATATATGCTCTTGGAAGAATTTTTTTTAATGTCAAGTTTGGAAAGAATGTTTCTTCGCTTTTACGGCTCTTTTAAACTTTTTAAAGTTAAAGAAACAAAAGTTTTAAAACTAACTTAATATTTGCACTATTACCTTTAAAAGACCAATATCATACCTCATACAGTAACTGTTCTACCTTATATATACAGTAATTGTTCAGCCTTATATAGTAAAGTTTATTGTCCAAACAAAGACTCAACTCCAAAGACCACAGGCAATGTAAACTCTATGGAACGTTGAGTGAGCACGTTTGACCTGATCTCAATTCGAGATCAAGTTCAGGGTTCTTGAGTAAACAGGTGTTGTTTTGGATATTACCCGTGGCAGAGAAATGAAACTACAACATGTTAATCAAACAAAACCGTTCGTAGCCTTTTAGGACTTATAATAACATTGTAAACTTGTATAAATATAGACAAAGCCCTTACTTGATAGTACAAAAGAGTTAGTAAAGAAAACACTTGTTATAGTCAACAAATTTTGAAGTTGAAATGAAGTACATTATTTTCTAAAAAAATTTTAAAAGTGTTCATCCCCGCTCCTCGAGGATACTCAAAAAACTAAATTCACATTAAAATTTTTTTGTGATTTTTCCAAAACCAAATTCACCCATATCACTATAATCAACAAATTCTTAAGCATTAGCATCATTGACCACTTACAGCACTGTAATATTTATTTAAAACGTTCAGAAACTTAAAAAATAGACGATTAAGACACACAATATCTAACCTATTAAACGAAAAATAGCAAAAAAAATATTAAAAGGATCCATCCTTACATACCCGGAAAAATATGGCAAACAAAATTATAACGGAAAAATTAAAGGATAGTAATAACATAGTATCTATGGCATAATATATAATAATAGGTAAACATAGCATAAAACAAAAGCATAGACCTGTGGGTATTTCCAATACTTCTTCACCTTCTGTTTGTTTTCTATAATCTGAACAGTAAGATCTTAGGTACAACACTATAATATCACTCACTCTTCTTCTTCATCATCTTCTTCTTCTTGCATGAAGACCAAGGGAGCCGTCGGCTTCGGAGCCACACGGCTTTTTCCTTCTGACGCCAATGTTTTAGTTTGCAAGTTGACAACTTCTTCAGCTACCTTTTCAGCTTGTTCGACTGGCTTTTCGGTTGACTTAGCTGGTTCTTCCTTGATATATGATGGCTGAAAGAAGATTTAAGTTGATAGAAAAAATATAATGTACAATAATATACACTTTAAAAAAATCTTTATTCCAAAGAATACAGAATTTACCACGCCCATAATAATAACAATAATAATCGCCCCTCCCTCCCAAAAGCCAAATCTAACCATTACTACCAAATAATACAAAACCCACCTCATACAAAACTCGACTTTCGTGAGCACTCGACTCATTCCTGAAGCTCGGGAATCCACTGCCATCGTCACTCATATTGGCCATGTCCTCTTCTTCTTCACTTACATATTCATCTTCAGAGTACTTCATGTCCGGCACTCGGTTTTCTTGGCGGACTGGTGACATTTGGGTTCTCTTCCTTGTTTCCTTCAACGGTTCTTCAGACGTGATCTTCGTCTTCGTGGTGGTGTTCTCTTCGATTCTAATTTTGAATTGACTTTCTGATTCTAAGGAGCTTGGCATCTCGACGATGGGCTCTGTTTGCTTCTGAAAACACACCTTTTAGCTTTAATTTTAAAATATTTCGACTTAACCTTATACAAGTATTTTAAAAAAGCAAACATCTCTTAAACCATATTTTCTAAGTTATTGCCATCAAAAACAATATAAACATTGGCCAAACCTCAAAAACCTACCTCAACAGTAGTAGTAGTGGTAGTATCAACAATCTCCTCGATCTGAACAACCTTTGATTGTGTTTTTGACGTAGTTTCCTTCGTGTTTTTAGCTTTGTCATTGTCCACCTTCTGACCTTCCCTGATATTCTCTTTTGGTTGATCTTGAACACCATCTCTGTACCGTCTCTGATCATTTTGGCCTTGGAAGCCTTGTTCATTACCCCCTTGTTCGTAGCCGCGGCCATTACTGGGTCCTTCATTCGAATTATAGCTGTCACGACGATTGTTGTAGCCATTGTTCGGACCATACCCATTGTTGAGACCTTGAAGATTATTAGAACCGTAGCCATTGTCAAGACGGTATCCGTTATTTGGGTTGTTAGAATCGAAGCCGTCGTAACGAGGATTGTCGTAGTATGACCGAGAACCGCTGTAGCCAAGGTTTGGGCCATAGTTCGGTCCACCGTACCGTGGATCATCGTATTTGTTCTGGAATCCATTGTAAGCATAACGTTGCTCTTGTTCGTAGTTAGACGGTCTTCTTTGCTGCGGTTGATCAAAGTTAGGCCCGTAGTTCTGATAGGGTCCGTTTGGTCCATAATTTTGATAAGGGCCGTTGTTTGGGCAGTGACTTGAGACACTTTGCTGATCGAAATTCTGGAATCGTGAGCTGCTTCTACCGCAATCGGTTGGTGCATAAGGTTGAGTTGAGTAACGACGACTGTCATAGTTATCACCTCGCGTCTCCTGATCGTAGTTCTGAGGTCCTGGACCGTAGTTCTGGTTCCTGGATGCACCAAAGTTGGGTGTTCGATTGTCGTAATTAGCAGGTCCATATTGTTCATAGCCTTTACTTCCTGCTGGGCCATAGTTTCGAGTTCCACCCATATTAGGATCGTAGTTGGGTCTTCCTCCGCTTTGACTAAAGTACTGACTTCCGGGGTTCGAGTTCTGATAACGACCATCATTAGATCTGTCATCAAAGTTTCCTTGGTCGTAGCCTTGTCTGAAGTTTGGATTCTGAAGTGGTCCTCGACCATAACTGTTCAAGTCATGGTGCTGTGGACGCTTACCGTAATATGGAGCTTGATTCCGGTTGCCACCGTGATATGAGCTTTGGTTTGAATATCCACCGTCAAACTGAGGATTATTGTTGCCGTAGCGACCACTCATGACGCTCATTCTGCCACTTGGTGGTTCGTTACCTCCAAATTGACCTTGATTCTGAATGTTCAGGTTGCTGCCACCGAAACGTTCCACTTGATCATTAGCTTGATTCCACGAGTTTCTGTTATCATTTCTAGCTGAATTCTGTAGCCATGGCGGTGGTTGAGCATTGTAACGTTGCTGATTGGGATATTCTTCCTGAAGATAGTCTTGTTCGGGAGGAACGTAGCCTTCATTACTAAAGAGTCGGCCGTCACGGTTCGAGAGTTTAGAGCTTCTGAAGTCTTGTTGAGATCCTCTCAAGTCTTGTCCTCTTCTGAAGTCTTCTTGTTCGGATTCCCTTCTGAAGGCTGGCTTCTGCTGCGACGGTGGTCTTCTAAAGCCCTCACTATTATCTCTTCCAAAGTCTAGCTCTCTTCTGGCAGTCGATCCAGTTGGATTCCTTCTCATTGTTGTACTAACTTCATCATCAGTTTGTTCGTTGAAGTCGTTGGCTCGACTCTCGAAACATGCAGGTGAAGCTACACTCGCCGACCAATGAGGAATGTGTTCTGGAGTGTTCTTGGTGCCCGTGAACTGAGATGGTTTGTAGGGAGTTGGAGTGGTGGGGTCGTTGGCCGAGAGAAAGACATCATCGTTCAGAGTGGATAGTCGAGAACGTTGATTTTGTTGATGATGTTGCTCTCTTAGTTGTTGCTGTTGTTGCGCTCTTTGTTGTTGCTGCTGTTGTTCTCTTTGTTGCTGTTGTTTCCGTTGCATCATTTGTTGATATTGAAGTTTGGCTCCGGGAAGAAGGTATTTTTCCCAATCAAAGTCTTCCATAAACTGAAAACGAAACATTAATTATAGTCTCAATATCTTTTCTATTTTTTGAAGTCAAAATAGACGTCAAAATTTATTGTTAGGCTTAAAACAGTTTTAAAGAATAAGTTATAGACGAAAAATCATTTTTACAACTTCAATCTTACCTTAAGAGTCCCATCCACCAAAGTGAAGTTCCTCTTTCCCATTCGAGCCACAAAATGATATGGTTTCCGTGAGAAGGCCGCTCTTTTAGGTATGATAACCTCGCCAAACTTTGTCCATGCATAAAACCTTCCCTTCTTCTTGACAGGGCACTTCAACTCGAATGACAGCAAGTTCAAGTACAATTCAGTACCAAACGGTGTGGTTCTTTCCAGAATGTTACCGGACGGAAGTTCAATATTCGAATTGTTTACTCTTGTACAATGAAATTCGTAGAGTTCATGGTCGGGGTGGTTCAGGAAATAGGGACGTACGTGCAAGATGCAGCCCAAGCTGAGGTCGTAGACACGTCTAAAGTAATTATAAAATGATTAGTACTGTTTTTATTAGCTCCAGTATAAGATAAAAGGTCTTTTCCATTATAAAATACTCAAAAGCTATCCCAAAACCCCCATAACACTAAAAGAGCATACTCTTGAGATTTGAGCATGATGCCAAACTTTCCAGTGGCCATCTCGTAGAGTACTACGCCATGATCTTGGATCTTGTGAATGACCAGACATTGAATCGGCTCTTGCAAACACTGCGAGTCTTCGATCAGAGCCTCGTACTTGCTTGGGATGGGGTAATCAAGTGGAGTTCCAAAGAAGAACTCCAGTTCTTCTCGAGACAACTCTCGCTTCGGCTTCAGTTGTTCGTTGATCAGGTTTTCTGGGTGATTCTTGTCATCGATGACCTTACTTCTCCACGGTCCAGTGTTAGACTGTGGAGCTCCAGAATTATTTTTTTCGTTTTTTCCAACCACATAAACAGCAGCTGATGGTCGATGTGCTTGAGGTCGTGGCACTCTGGTGGACTGCTTCTTTATTGGTGCAGCTTCATCTTCAGAATCTGGTCTGTTCCATCTGAAAAATAAACTTTCAACTTCAATTGATTTTTTAGAAAAATATGTGTAAAAAAAGTAACTTGAAAATATTCATTAAAACTATTATTCTAGGCAAATTTAAAAATTCCTCCAAGTTTCCAAAACTTTAAACTATAAAATCTGTAAATCAAGACTATGAACAACAATATCCAAACAAAGAATATTAAAATCAAATCCATAAATATCAAACTATCTAAAATCCCTATGAAATCAACATAACTTACTCATAAGGAATTCTCCGTTGAGCTGGAGGTACCACCTCCAACTTGGGTCGTTCTTCTTCTCTTTCTCGAATCATTGAGCCTTCAGGAGTGCACGTGTTATGATTTGTTGGAAAAGACGGTTTACCGAATACACTGTGATCAGGTCGAATCGAAAATCCATCAGAATAGGTAGAATCTTGTCGGAAGGGCTTTGACTCCAACGTCGAGTTCAGAGACTCCTTCTGAAGTGAAGTCGATGGTTGAACCGAACCCGATGGTCTTGCATTCGATGATTGTCGTGAAGATTTTGCTGATGCGAAACTAGACGTTGTGTTGGCCTTTCCGTCCGAAGTTGTCGATTGCTTAAGCTTCGTAGCAGAGCTCACTTTCGAGGTCGAGGTGTCGGATACCGTAATGGAAGACGAAGTTCGAGATCTGAGATTAGCCGCTGACTCTGCCGGCTTGAAGTAGGCCTTGTTGAAAGAATCGACGGTCCCAAAAGGATTACTGTCACAATTCTTCGACGAAAACATTGATTCATTTAGCTTTGACTTGGTCGAGACAAATGAAGCTCCAGAATTCATATTTGGCGCTGTTCCAAAGGACGATTTCGTGGTTTCTTTGTCTTCACCTTGAGAGTCGTCTGGGTGTAAGCCTGATGGGCGAACGGTACGCATTCTGGATCTGTCAGAAGCAGTTGGGGTTTCCGAAGGTTCTACAAAAGGTCATAATAAGGCAATTTTATATAAAAATACTACTCTACCACAACATAACAACTGAAAATGACCTACAACAACAAAAATTTATTAAAGCAAGACAAATAACAATAAACTAACGCTTTTTCTGGGCCACGTTTTTTGAGGTTGAACGTCCCGACTCGCCCCATTCATACTTTAAAAGGTCATCTGAAAATAGTTGATCTTCATCTTCGCTCTCTTCACTTCCATCTCCAACATTCACGTTTCCCTGTGGCTTCAAATCGGGCAAGTTGAAAGTGAAGTCAACTCCCTGAAAAATAAAAAAGTAAATATGCCTTTGAAGAAGTATTTCATGTCAATCTTACCTAGATATCTTTATAAGATATAAATTATCATCAAATAATTCATCAAAAACCTCATTTTCAACCATTTTCTTTATCATTTTCCATCAACATTAGCTTACTATCAATCATAATATGTTCACCTGCTCCTTCTTGACCTCATCGTACAACATTCTCTGTCTCCGACGCTCTTCCTCTCTCTTTTTGCGTTCGTTCTCCTTGATGAACTTGTCCATGTCCGCGACCGTCTTCACCTTAGAGAGATTGTTGTCTGGCAAATTCGGGAATTTGGGTACAAAGTTGGCATCTGATTCGTTTGGATCGTACAACTGCTCCTCGGTGAAGTCGCCGTTCAGAAGACGCTCCTTTCTTTCTTCCAGCTCCTTCTCCCTAGCCTTCTTTCCCTTCTCAAACTCGGCCTTGTACAAAGCAATCTTTTGTTCCATCGTGTCGCCCATGTAGTAGATTTTGCTGTAATATTGTGGATTAGTATGATTATAAGCTTCACATACATATATTAAAGGATATGATTGCTAGTTTTAGTATACGCTTATAATTAAAAAAATGTTATAAGTAAATAAGTCACAAATTTAAAAAAAATTTTATTCTCAAAAAGCACCCCGTCGCCCAAAACCGTACCCTCTCTTTCCAGCCGCTTCAATCCTCCTCCCCTCGACCACTTGGCCATAGTATTGCATTGGACATCGGTCTTCACACACTCCTCGATTAAACTCATCCCTCATCTTCTTCTGAAGCTTCGTTCTGAGTTGAGCTCCATCGAACCAGGATGCTTCGTCAGCCAAAATTGCACCACCTTCATAGAATTTGTGGAACTTTTGAATCTTGGTTTCAATTGTTCCGCTCGGAACATCTGCGAAGAATTCAATCTCCACCCAAATGTCAAACGGCGCCCTCATCTTCTTCTTGATGTAATACTCCATTTTTTCGTCGAAGCGTTTGTCCACGATTGTGCCAAGGTATTTGTTGAAGTACCAGCCTTGAGAGGTGCGACTGACTTGGCAGAAGAACTAAAGAAGTTAATATTAAACAACAGATTAATATTCATGATTTCAGACCTAATAAAATGATGTTCAGAACAATAATATTATAGGTAGCAACAAGACTTATCAACAGAAACGCTACTAGAAATTGAAAAGGTACAAGATAAGAAGTTAAACCTACAGCTAGCTTCTTCTTTCCCTTGTGCATGATCCTTCTGGTGTATATCGGAGATGTTATAACTCTGGCCATGACAACAACATTATTGTAAATCTCACACTTCAACCACGTTCCTGGGAAGATCCTCATCTGAGCCTTATGCATTCCCATGTGGGTCCGAATGGCAGTGTTATCACCATCGAAGACCACGGCGACTCCAATAACTGCCGTGAATCTGTCATTGTTCAAGTTGATGGCTCCTCTGTAGTCCGGGACCGGCTTAATTAGTGGCAGTGGTAGTCGAACTCCAGTCGGCAAGTGATTATCCGGAAACGTGACTCCAGAATCCTCTTCTGAATCCGCGTCTTCGTTGATAGCCAAACGAAGATTGTACATGATCGGCTTCTTGAATTCGGCGTCTGCTTCGTCTGGACTTTGATATTGTTTTTGTCTGTAAAAGGTCTTAAAATGGCACTTTTGAATTCTTCTGTAGCCATCTGGAACTTGTAACTCTTTTGAATAACAATATAAATAAATTCTTCCTTTTTAGAACATCAAAACCTAAACCTAAAACAACCAACTACTAAAACCCTACCTAGCCTCGTCATCGCTGTCAGATAAAAAGCCCATACGCTTCTCGTCATTATCATCTTCGTCCTCATCCGCTGGATTGTCATCATCATCCGAACTCACATTTTCGACTGTACTTTTCAGCTCTGGTTCTTCAACGACTTGAAAGTCGTGGATATCCGTTTCATCGCCAAAGTTACTCAAGTCAATGTCGTCGACTGACCTAAAACAGTTAAAAAATGGTAAGCGTTACCTAAAGATCTAATATAAGGTTAGAATAAAGAAGAATCGGCCATATTTTTCGAATTAAAAATTTATTTAAAACTTGTAACAAGATTGTTATTGGTTAATAAACAAATAAATGTATATTATTGAAAAATCAAATTTTAGATAAAAAATCTATTACCTACCATTTACAAACAAAATTTCCAAAGAACTTACTCCTCCACCTCCTCAGGCTCGTCCACATCCGCAGTCCACATTGGAGATTGCGCGGAATTTCGATTTTGAAACGGTTTCGATTCGAAATGACTTTTCGTTTCCCCGAGATTAAAATTGAAATTCGGCGCGGTTTTCTTGGTTTTGGACAAGTCTTCCCCTTTCTCTTGAGTTCTCATGAAACTTTGGCTGTCACGGTGATTCCTCGACGAGTTGTGACTGTCGCGGTAGCTTCCCCGACTCTCGGCACGATGTGTTTGAAACTCCATGAAATCTGATGACTGTTTCCTGAATGTATGAGATTCTTCAGCACGTTTTGATTCAGGTTCTCTCCAGAAACGAGCTAAAATACGTTTATTATGATTGAATTCGTGCCAATATTTGCTTTTTTTCGACTAAAATTTAAAAAATAATAGATTTCCGACAGTTTTAAGGAAATCTTTTGTCATCATTTTCAGCTTTTGTGCTAAAATCAGGTTTAAAAAATCATTTTTAATCTAATTTTCAAGATTACAGTAACAAAAATGATTCTCAAAAGCTGGTTCTATCAAAATCTTTAAATATAACCAAATATTTTTATAACTTAAGCCTAAAAACCAGTGAAAATCAAATTTAAAAAGTCTTCCTTGCCAACTAAAGCAAGGTTTTTCTTATAACAACATTGACTAGAATCATATTTAACCGCAGCAACTTATATTAATGCATTTCCTTATCTTAACCTTTTTGAATGCCTTTCCTTATCTTAACCCCGCCAAATCCTTTAAAACCTTACTCGAAGGCCCAACAATGTCCTCCAGGCTGTCAATGTGGAAGAAAAAGTTTGGTTTTTGAGGTTTGGCTGGAGATTTAACCCGCTTTCCACTGTTGAACGACCCATCAAGACTTGGAATGTCACTTGGATTGAAGGACAGATTGCTTTTACTGGCTTTGAATTTTTGATTTTCACGACTGATAATCATGTTCCTTACTCCAAAGTTGCCCCCATAGATTTCGTCAAGTGGCGGAAAATCCAATTCAACCTAAGAGCAAAAACGATATAAAATTTTTGCAATGAAATGAACGGTTTTGAGAATAAAGTGGTTTATTAGACCAAAAAGTAGGGTAATATACATTTTTTCATGTAAAATGAGTATGAACCTAAATAAAGAACAAAAAATACAAATATAAACTTACCCAACGTCCAGTACCATCAGTAAACATTCCTGGAGCAAAAGCACCTTTAAGATTTGATTTTACGAATTCGTCGCTGAGATCATTCAGAGTATCGAACAAAGCCACCTAAAACATTGTAATTAGTGAAAAACAATTCTTAAATGGAAATCCTTTCTATAAACCCAAATTACATCCCTCTAAATACCCTAAAATTCCAAAACAGACAAAATAAATGTTAACATAACCTACTCTAATGTTATCCTTGCTCGTTTTCAACAATTCAATGTTATTCTCATTCAAAAAGTCAACTTTTCCGAGGGTTGGATGCTCATAAACGTATTCCTGCTTCTTCAGTGCAGTCCCAACAAACGCGACGAGATCTTCATACAAAATATTGATGTAGACCTAAAAATTATAATGTTAATCAAAATTATGTCTTTCAAGCCTTTTTAAGACCTCCGACTTAGCCTTCCTTAAAAATGTTTCTAAGAAACAATTAATCACATGAAATCAATAGTCAATTGTAAAGTTTAAATCGAAAAAGATGTCTTACCACATCCATAGCCAAACGTTCAATACCCAAGTCTTCATACCCTGTATCGCCCCGTCTCAACTCATTCTTGTTCTCTACAATGTAATGTCGTCCAATGACAAGCGTTTCCCTGTCCTAAAACCAAAGAAAACGTTAAAATAAAAATTTTTTCTATATCAACTACAATAACATCAATATCAGATTAAATATAAGAAAACACAGCCAAAATAACCCAAACAAACAGATAAATGTAAAGATAATACAATAACACACCTTATCAGAACAAACCAGTGTAAGATAACTGCCTCTGAAAAAGACTTTAAGCTCGTTTTGATTAATCCCAAACAAAACTCCAATTGGCCTCGAGTCCTTTCCACAAACCCGTTTACTTCGTACCTAAACATCAAAATAACACTTTAAAATTGACAACTTACCGGTCTCATACCCGTCTTGGTTTTTTAGCATCTAAACTGATCTTTTCTGTCTGAAAATATTCACCTTTATCTCAAGTTTGGCCAAAAAATAAGATATTTCACGCTCGTATTATCAATAAAAAGTGTAAAAATGTCTTGAAAATGTAAAGCAAAAGTTAAATTTCAAAAAAAAAAGTTTTTCTAATATGATTTATATCGAAATCTTAACAAATAAAGATCAAAAAGAGCAGAGGAACGATAAATCGCGAATGTTTATATAAAAAATTCGGAATTTATTTCGGCTTGGGCGACATGTTATACGAAGAAATATGTACAGGACAACAAACTGTCGATTAGTGTGTTCTAGAACTTTTTAAATAAAAACAGTCGAATATTCTGGACTGTCAGTTATTTATCCATAATAATTCATATTTTTTCAAATTTCTTTTGAAATTTTTAAAATTATATTGTGATTGATTGAATTCTGTCAATAAAAATAATTTTTGATGTTTTACCTAATAAACTTATAATAAATTATAATGTTTTTATGTATGACCTTTTTGAAGATATATTTCGGATAAAAAATTATTCACAGAACAGTTCAACAATTCTTTATTCTATTTTAGTATATTGGTATATGTCACTTACAGAGTTAGAAACTTGATATCACTTCTTACATTTAAAAATAAAAACGATGCTTTAGGCTTTTCTTGGAACATTAGTTATTTATAGGCGTTATAATTGCTTTTACAACAATTTGTCATGTTGCTATTGGTTGTATGAGGCTTTAATTAGGTGTTATGGTAATGGCAGAAGAGGGCGGGAGGGAAGGGCAGGGGAAGTTTGAAATTTTGCGGCAGGATGAAAGAAAAAACAATGCAAACCCAGTCCAGATTAAAAGATATACTTTATTTGATGATAACGATCATTTACAGAAGCTTTATGTGATGATTACTATGATTTACTGTCATTTTTGATATAGACGTATTAAACAAAAATCATTTTTGCAGAAACTTTGTTTACAAGCCTTTGAACCTTAACAAACATTTAAGAACCATTCCCAAAATTACTTTGTTTACCGTACCCCCTATCCCGTCATGTCCTCATTATATTCCACATGAGTGGATGCCAATGTTTATGTCATGATGACATGTTGCTCATCTAACCTCTTTGGAATCTTTTTTTTTGGTTTGAAATTGTTAATCTTTTTTGAAAGGGGTTTATATACCGTAGCTGAACAAGTTTGGGTCATTGAATTCGAAATGTCATAAGGCAATTTCTTGCAAATTTCAACGCTTTTTTGGTTTTTATATTTGGTGGGTGTGGGGGTAGATTTTGCGGGAAAAAATGGCTAGGGCTCGAGGCTCTGTTTTCTGGGCGAGGGCTCTGGGCTAAGGCTCTGGGTTAGGGATCTGGGCTATGGCTCTAGACTATGGCTTTGGGCTAAGGCACTGGGCTATGGCTCTGGGCTAAGGCTCTGGGCTAAGACTCTGGGCTAGGGATTTGGGGCTAGGGCTCTGGGCTAAGACTCTGGGCTAGTTTGCTGGGTTAGGGCTCTGGGCTAGGACTTTGTGCTAGGGCTAAAGCGACGGTATGTAAACATGGGGAACGGGCCGGACCTAAGGAAAACTTAGATCGGGACGGGCTTAACATTCAGGTCCGCAGGCCGCGCTTAAACAATGCCCGGCCCATTTCTCATGTCTAACGATAGGGGCTATAGGAGCCTACCGTGCTTAGTCAGGATGACATTATGAAGGTACGATAGAAAATGTAATTATAATATTCTATGCCGCAGGGTCAATAAACTACAAAACGGTGTTATTTGTCTACAATTTCAAAACTGTTTTCCCTCGAATTTAAAATTTAGGAATAACTTAAATTTAGAAATTGTGAAAACACTAATTTCTGACCAAACGCATACTTACTGAGGTAATTTAAATTGTTATTTAAAAACGCTAATTAACAGGTTGAAAGTTGAGCGGGGGATTGTTTTCTCAACACACTCTTTTTCTACAGTATATCTACTTAGTTAAGGTAAACAATATACTGTAGTTATAAAAAGGAGGAAGTTTGTGTCTGTTTTATTCGTTTTTTTATTTTTAACTTTACCCAGTCGATAATCTTTGTACCTTTTTTTGTAGTTTGGTAATTCCAAAGACTTAAATTTGGTATTCAAATATTTAATTGTTGTAAACCTGCAACTAATTATATATCAGAAAAGGTTAATTTATAGTTTAACCACAACCTATAACTGTTTCATTGTTACACTGATGTTTACTGTATCATGCGCTTAAATAGTTTAATTTACAGTGTTTGTAAAGCAAGTTATACTAAAATTTGTATATTGTATGTAGTAAAATTGGAGCCTGCTCCGGGGCAGCACCAAATTTAAAGCTGGCATTTTGCGGAGATTTTAAAAAAGCTGAAGTTAGGGTCGACAATGTCGAAATTCAGTCCTAATGATCCCGGAGCCGAAGCTAAAATTTAAAAATAGCCGAAGCCAAAAGTTTTAAATTTGATAACTGCGAGCACGACCTTTTATGCCTTGCTATGTCTTATGAGCATGATTTAGTCACTAAGAATTTTCGCTTTTGGGCACGGTGTGTGTATGAGCCGGAACTAGAAAATGACAAATTTTAGTAGGAAAAACTCGAGGCTGGCGGTAAAATTAAAAAAAGCTGGAGCTGGAGCCGGAAATTTTAAATTTGGCAGCTCTTTTCTCAACGACTACGTCTCGGACTTCAACATTATTGTAGTTTAATAAAACGATGAATTGCTCTAAATAGTTAGGTTATGTTCAAATTTTTTAATTTGAATATGTTAAGTTTAGTATTTGGTCTTTGTGAGTCAGTTTGGGAGGCGGTTATGGTCGACCGGTCAATAATTTCATATTGAACGGGGGCAAAGAGGTTAATACCTCTCAAGTATAAGATTGGATTAGGCAGTGGAGCGACAACGTTCTCTAACACTTGAACGGTTTACAACGTTCTTTCCACCACAGTTCGAGCAATGTTACGTACTGGTCATGTACTGTAATGAGTTTTTTTTGGGATTTATAGTACTAAATATAGGTTTTTCAAATTTTTAAAATTTTAAAATAAAATTTTTAAAGAAATTACTGTATTTCTAAGGCTTACAGTACGTCTTTACATACTGTTACAAAAAATAAGGTTACGGTAGCATACTGTAATAAGAAATAACTTTTTTAGACATTTTTAGACAAAGTTCAAATCTATTTTTGGCATTTTTATGACTTTTGAGCCGAAGCGCCTACTGTAACATGGTGTAGGTGTTTGCAAAAATAGAAAGACAGGAAGTGGGTGCATAAGCATATATAAAGACAATCACGGGGTTAAAATAGCTGGAAGTGTAATGTTGAAACAGTTCACCTGGTATTACATGAAACTTGCTAGAAACGACTACGGTAGGTTTTCAAGTTTTTAAAATTTTTTGAAATTTTTGTGTTATGAAGTCGAGGAAAGGTATATATTGTAAAATACGGAGATGGCAAGTTAGAAAGATAAAATAAAGACTTTCGTTAACAGTAGCAACATTTTTTTATATTGAGAGCTGTTAGCTCTAAAAGGTATTGTCATGCTGAATTCAGCAGACAAAACCAAACGGTATTTTAGAATAGAAGCGTTGGAAGGGCGGGTAGAGAAGAAAGAAGTCTAGTGGCATAAGAATAAACTTAAATTTGTGGATGGACGTTTTTTTCACTTTCTTATTACCCTTCTCCTTCTACTACGAATCGTACAAACTTTTTTTAATACTGTAAAACTCCAGTATAACGAACAGCTTGCAAATTCCCATCTAACGTAGCAGAGCATGTAAACATACTGTATAACAAATTCATATATAACGAACAAATTTAAAATTTTGAGCTATTCGTTGTGTAGAAGATCTACTGTACTAGATTCTTTTCTGGTACTAGTCTCTATTTTTTTTATTGATATACTATACCTCATCTTACTGTCTTTTCTTCTCTGTCTTAAAGCTCAACTTATATCACGACTTTGACAAATGAAGCTTTTTTATAAGGGTCTACTGTTACTCTGACATTATTGTAAATTTTATGTATTTAAAAGGTAGGACTACTCAAAGATTTGGAATTTGTTTGTTATGAAGGAATTTTGTTATACAGGAGTTTCAAATGCACTGCGTAGTGGTAAACAGGGATTGGAAAGTTGTTCGTTATACATAGTTTTTGTTATAGAGGCGTTTTACTGTATTTAAAGCTGTCCTACTTTGAAATCTATAATTTAAACTTTTTTAACTTTGTCATACTTCTTCAATTCTATAATGTTCATCTTATCTTCTAAACACACACTTATCACTTGTAATCCCCAAAATCCCTAATACATTTCTGATCTCTTAACACCAACTTCCAGAAGTTTTGAGCAGAGCGTTTGCACGTCACTTGAGAAGTGATCAGCGTGAGCCTCTCGAATGTCCAGTTATTTCAGATTGTTTGTGGTTTTCATTGTTTCGAACGCGTCGTATGTTTGCGTTTGATTGTTACGTTGGGTTGGTGGCCCCATACAAGGCTGGTCAACAGCCGACTGTTACCTACTTTGGGATGGGTTAGGGCTTTGGAGGGTATTGGAGGTTAACGTGCTAATAGGTGCCAATTTTGTTTTGATAAGTACTGTTCGTTTTTGGTGGGTACTAGTCATTTTGGATATTTACTGACCATGTTAGATAGTTACAGATCATTTTTGATAAGACCTAGCCTTTTTAATAGGTATCAAACATCTTTGACATCTACTGAGCATTTTTGATAAGCACTGCCATTACCAATAGGTGCGGAACGTTGCTGATAGGATATGAGCATTATTAATAGGTACCGTGCTAATAGATGGTGAACATACGCAAATAATGTCATAAATGTTTCATGCCTTTTAAACTTTGTTTTGTTTTTTGGAAGTACATTACAATTTGGGTAGTCATATGTACATATTGACTTTGTATGTCATCATTTTTGATTATATAAATGGCCTGGAAGTTGTCTTTTTTGAATTTCGATAAAA